ACAATTGGAATTCAGGAGGAAGTTTGGAGTTCGCAAGAAGCCAGCGAAATCGACTATACAGTCTTTGGCTCAGAAATTGGAAAGGACAGGGACACTTTTAAGTGAACATGGTAAAAACCGCACAGAAATACCAGAAGAAACGATTGCAATTGTGCAGGACAGGTTACTGCAGTCTCCCAAGAAATCATTACGTCTAAGCCAGGAAACCAGGTATTCTAATTCAATGTGTCAACAGGCTGCAAAGAACGCAAATCTTCGTCCCTACAAGATTACCAGTGTTCAAGAACTGGGTGATGTTGATAAAGATAAACGGGTATGGTACTGTTTATGTTTTCAGGAACTCTTGCATGATAACCCCAGAATTTTCGATATCACTTGCTTCAGTGATGAAGGATATCAGGATATGTAAATGCACAAAATTCCACGATCTGGGTGTCTGAAAACCCTCATGAGATTGCTGAATCACCACTACACCCACAAAATGTGGGTTTGTGGTGCGCCATTTCTGGTTTACGAATCATTGGACCAATCTTCTTCGACACGAACGTGGACAGCACCTTATACTGTCATATTTTTTACGATCTCGTGCAGCAGCTGGATGATGTGGAACTTACACAGGGTTATTTTCAGCAGAATTCAGAAACATGCACACGTCCCACATGTATATGGAACTGATTGAGAGCTTATTCCCCGATCGCGTCACCTCTAAATAGATGTGGCCCCCAAAACCCCCAAACCTTAGCAGACCAGAATTTTTTCTCTGGTGTTTACTGAAGGACAGGGTGTATGCAAACCGCGTACGATACAGGATTTAAAGGACAACATTTTGGCTGAAATTGGGAACATCACTGAAGAAACACTGCAGCAAGTCACGGCGAATATGCAAATGCGGGTGAAGGAGTGCCTATTTGAAAACGGCGGACACTTTCAACACCTGCTCTGATCACAGCACACAATCAAAGATAAGATATGTGTAAATTACTTTAATATCTGTATGGTATATTTTATATTACAGCTCATTTCGTCGGGACGGTTCTATATGAATCACCCTCTATTATATTACTCCACAAGCTGATTAAACACTTCTTCATTGAACTTTAATTTGTAATCAACACACAAAATGATACTTTTCCTGTTAACGATCAATAGGTCATACAGTATGTTCATGTGACCAATCAATAATAGTCATCTCAATTTACCAAATTCAAATGATGTATCAATTTGTAAATAAATGAACAACAAATTATTCACAGCACACAGCGGAAGGGCAGAGATAACATAAGAGCAAAAGACAGATGATTCTGCAGAATTACGATTACAAGCTGTTGTTCAATTCTCAGTAACTATGCTCCACTAATCAATAGCTTCCACAGCTCAACTATCATGATAACTGTACATGAATATCAAGTCATGCCTGTTTCCACTCAACAAGACGGTCTTGTACACATTCAGCAATCAGAATAAAATAGTGAAACGCAATGACATTTTGTACCATGGGATGCAGTTATTTCCCATATCATTCAGAAAGGTTAGCAACGGCAAATAACTCCAGTTTCTTACAGGATTCTGCAAAAATGCATGATGCGAGGGAGTAAGTATGTGTGACTTATGGAAAGAAACACTGTAGCATGCCACATGTCACATATATTTTCTATAGTCTAAACTCATCTCTGCAGTTCTATGATTTATTACATATATCAAAATGTTTGCGCTGATGTGCCTTCAAATTATGCTGATGATGGAATAACTTATTACACACATTACAGATAAATGGCCGCTCACGACTATGTATGCGCTGATGTTTCTTCATATTACTCTGATCACAGAATGACTTATTACACACATTACAGATAAATGGTCGTTCCTCAGTATGTATGCGCTGATGTGTCTTCATATTACTCTGATTACGGAATGACTTATTACATAATTCACAGAAAAATGGTCGTTCCACAGTATGTATGCGTATGTGTCTCTTCAAATCACCAAGGTCACTGAATGACTTACTACATACATCACAGCTAAATGGCCGTTCCCCACTGTGTATGCGCTGATGTTTCCTCATATTACTCTGATCACGGAATGACTTATTACACACATTACAGATAAATGGCCTTTCCCCACTATGTATGTGTTGATGTCTCATCAGGCACTCCTTACGTCTGAATGACTTATTACATAAGTCACAGAAATATGGTCGTTCCCCAGTATGTATAACCTTGTGTTTCCTTAGATCACTCTGCCGATGGAATGACTTATTACACACATTACAGATAAATGGTCGTTCCCCAGTATGTATGCGACTATGCCTCTTTAGATGACGCTGATGATTAAATGACTTATTACAAATATCACAGCAAAATAGCCGTTCACCACTATGTATGCGCTGATGGTCCTTCAGTGATCCCTTTTGACAGAATGACTTATTACATAAGTCGCAGATAAATGGTCGATCCCCAGTATGTATCCGCTGATGGTTCTTCAGGGATCCCTTTTGACCAAATGACTTATAACATAAGTCACAGATAAATGTTCGATCCTCAGTATGTACGAGCTCGTGTTTCTTCAGATAATCCTGCTGACGGAATGATTTATTACATACATCACAGCTAAATGGCCGTTCACCAGTATGTATGCGCTGATGTCTATTCAGTTGACCCCGACGACGAAATGATTTATTACACACGCTGCAGCAAAATGTCTGCTCCCCACTTTGTATGTGCTGATGTGTTCTCAGATTAGACTGTTGACTGAATGATTCACTATGCTCATCACAGGAATATAGCTGCTCCTCACTACGTACGGGTTGAAGTTCATTGAAAGTACTCTGGAAAATGAGAGAGTAACATGACAATTCCTAGTTGGAAGAGAAATGAGTTTGACACCCCAGTGGAGTCAGATGTTAAAATGGGTTGGCATGAAAGTGGTGACAGAAAAAAGTGCCAAGGCGAGGAGAGGTACGAAGACAGAGTACAAGGCCTCTTGTGTGGTGCGAGCCTGTGTGTCCGTTAGCATGGATGTCAGTTTGTGAGTGAATAAAAGTTAAAGATTTATAAGTGACACAATCTTAAGGGGGGGAGGGGGACTAAATGCACTGAATTTAAGTATAACTCTTTCAAGTTGTTAGTGTTGTGTGATTCTACTATATTAAACTTCTGAATTCCAATTAATAATATTATCAACAGTGTGTAATTTTACTGAACAATTACACAATTACACCTAAATTTAAACGTACTTCAGTACTTTCAGTTGACTGCTCTCATCCATAGGAATGGTGATCGAAAAAAAAAAACGGAGTCCCTAATAACAAAACCGCCTTCTTTTTGGATCTCGTGAAAGACCACTCAATTTCTTTGCTATATGATATTAAGAGTAAAAAGAGGCATGCAAGTCTTTCATATTCCCTTCAATTAAATCCAAGTGTACTATTATATTACTCCACAAGCTGATTCAACACTTCTTTATTGAACTTTCTCTTTGTAATCAACACACCACTGACATTTTTCCTGTTAAAGATCAACTGGGCATGTTCATGTGACCAATCAATAATAGTCATCTCAATTTACCAAATTCAAATGATGTATCAATTTGTAACTAAATGAGCAACAAATTTATTCACAGCACACAGTGGAAGAGCAGAGATAACATAAGAGCAAAAGACAAATGATTCTGCAGAATTACGTTTACAAGCTGTTGTTCAGTTTCAGTAACTATGCTCTACTAATCAACAGCTTCCACAGCTGAAGTAAACATGATAACTGTACATGAATATCAAGTCACGCCTGTTTCTACTCAACAAGACGGTCCTGTGCACATTCAGCAATTAGAATAAAACACACAGTGAAACGCAATGACATTATATACCATGGGATGCAGTTATTTCCCATATAATTCAGAAAGGTTAGCAACTACAAATAACTCCAGTTTCTTACAGGACTCTGCAAAAATGCTGGATGCAAGAGAGTAAATATGTGTGACTTACAGAAAGAGACATTGTAGCATGCCACGTCACATACGTGGTATGTTCAAAAAGTATCAAACCCTTGGTCGGCAGAAATACATTTATTGATTTGGAGGTACAAAACCCTAATCCCCTTCAAAGCAGTCTCCATGGTAATGCACACACTTTTCCCAGCGCTTCCGCCATTGTTGGAAACACTTCTGGAACGCGTCTTTTGGAATGGTGATCAGCCGGGCCGTCGCATTCCGCATAATGTCTTGTCTTGACTCAAATCGGGTTCCTTTCAGCAGCATTTTGAGCTTGGGAAATAGCCAAAAGTCATACGGAGCCATGTCTGGGGAGTAGGGTGCCTGACGAACCACAGGAATATTGTGTTTGGCGACGAAAGTCTGAATCAGATGCGCACAATGGGTGGGTGCGTTATCATGATGGAGCTGCCAAGTTTTTGCCGCCCACATTTCCGGTCATTTGCGCCACACAGCATTACGAAGACGACGAAGGACCTCCTGGTAGTATTCCTTTGTGATTGTTTGGCCTTGTGGTGCGTACTCATCATGCACAACCCCATGGGAGTTGAAGAAAACAGCCAACATGACGTTGAGATTGCTGCGGACCTGCCGTGCTTTTTTTGGCCTCGGGAACATTGAATGTTTCCACTGTGACAACTGCACCTTGGTTTCCGGGTCGTACCCATAAACCCACGACTCATCGCCTGTGATCACGGTGTTCAGAAAGTTGGGGTTACTGTTTGCATTGTCCAGCATTTCGTGTGCGATTTCCAGACGGCCTTGCTTCTGCTCCATTGTTAGCAGTTTCGGTACGAATTTCACGGACACTCTCCTCATGCCCAAATCCTCGGTAAAAATTGAATGTACCAATCCAATGCTTAACCCTATCTTGTTCGCAAGTTCTCGGACTGTGATACGACGGTCCTCCATTACTAAAGTCCGCACCTGCTCAATGACATTCTCATTTCGGCTTGTTGAGGGTCTCCCTGAACGCGGTTTGCTGTCCACTGATGTGCGACCATTTTTGAAGCGGTTGTACCACTCCTTTATCAATGAGTTGCTCATGGCATTGTCCCCAAAAGCCTGTTGAATCTTGCAAATGGCTTTCACTTGGGAATCACCAAGCTTTTGGCAAAATTTGATGCAATATCACTGCTCATGTTGTTCCGTCATTTTACACCTTACTGGAATCCAACGAGCACTCACTACACGTCCTCACTCATAGGCCAACTGCCAGTGACTGACGCTATCTGTGGACGGGAAAAAATTCAGGACTGCGCATGGAGGTCACCTCCACATCTCCACCGAAGGGAGCCTCCCGCACTTCATTGGTTTACGCGGGAAAAAGAAGGTTCGCTACTTTTTGAACACACCACGTATATTTCCTTCAGTCTAAACCCATCTTTACAGCGCTATGATTTATTACACAAATCAAAATGTTTTCGCTGATGTGCCTTGAAATTATGCTCATGATGGAATGACTTATCACACACATTACAGATAAATGGCCTTTCCCCACTATGTATGCGTTGATGTCTCATCAGGCACCCCTTACGTCTGAATGACTTATTACATAAGTCACAGAGAAATGGTCGTTCCCCAGTATGTATGACCTTGTGTTTCCTCAGATCACTCTGCTGATGGAATGACTTATTACACACATTACAGATAAATGGCCGTTCTCCAGTATGTATGCGATTATGCCTTTTTAGATGACGCTGATTTTTAAATGACTTATTACAAGTATCACAGCAAAATGGCCGCTCACCAGTATGTATACACTGATGGTCCTTCAAGGATCTCTTTTCACTGAACGTCTTATTGCATAAGTCACAGATAAATGGTCGATCCCCAGTATGTATGCGCTGATGGTTCTTCAGGGATCCCTTTTGACTGAATGACTTATTACATAAGTCACAGATAAATGGTCGATCCCCAGTATGTACAAGCTTGTGTTTCTTCAGATAATCCTGCTGACGGAATGACTTATTACATACATCACAGTTAAATGGCTGATTATCGGTATGTAGGCGCCGATGTTTCTTCAAATCACCAAGCTGATTGAATGACTTATTACAAACACCACAGCAAAATGGCCGCTCACCACTATGTATGCGTTGATGGTTCATCATGCATCCCTTACGACTGAATGACTTATTACATAATTCACAGAAAAATGGCCGTTCCCCAGTATGTATGATCTTGTGTTTCTTCAAATCACTTTGCTGACAGAATGACTTATTACATACATCACAGCTAAATGGCCGTTCCCCACTATGTATGCGCTGATGTGTCTTCATATTACTCTGATCACAAAATGACTTATTACACACATTACAGACAAATGGTCGTTCGCCAGTATGTATGCGCTTGTGTCTCTTCAAGTCACCAAGCTCAGTGAATGACTTGCTACACACATCACAGCTAAATGGCCGTACCCCACTATGTATGCGCTGATGTCTATTCAGATGACTCAGACAACTAAATGATTTATTACACATGCTGCAGAAAAATGTCTGCTCCCCACTGTGTATGAGCTGATGTGTCCTCAGATTAAACTGTTGACTGAATGATTCACTATGCTCATCACGGGAATATGGCTGCTCCTCACTATGTACAGGTCGAAGTTCATTCAAAGTACTCTGGAAAATGAGAGAGTAACATGACAATTCCTAGTAGGAAGATAAATGAGTTTGACACCCCAGCAGAGTCAGAGGTTAAAATGGGTTGGCATGAAAGGGGTGATAGAAAATGTGGCAAGGTGAGGAGAGGGACGAAGACAAGAGTCATGGCCCCTAGTGAGGTGTGAGCCTGTGTGTCCATTAGCATGGATGTCAGTTTGTGAGTGAATAAAAGTTAAGATGTATAGGTGACACGATCTTAGGGGGGAGGGGGACTAAATGCACTGAATTTAAGTATATTAGTGTTGTGTCACTTTACTATATTAAACTTCTGAATTCCAATTAATAGGATAAACAACAAAGTGTAATTTTACTGAACAATTACACAATGTAACAGACCGCCGACTTACAGCTGCCACAATTGTCGCTCAAGCTTGAGTTCTTTTTCTCAGGATACGGGTGCTTCAGAGATGGGAGCGGAACACACTTCGGGGTTAATAAATCCGGAATCTCCATAACACCAAATATTGCACTTTTAATTTAAAATTTCATTAAATGGTTAATATTTGCATTGTCCTTCAAGCTGGCCGCTTCGTCCGCCCCACTCACTACCCTACTGCTAAACACTTCTCTCTTCTCTATCTACCTTTCAACTTCTGTCCTCCTCCACTCCCTAACACGGATTGCCCTCTCTTTACCAGTCCCCCAGTTGGCCAAAAAACGAAAAAAATAGAAACATAAAAAGAGAAAGCCAAGGGTCAAACCCAGCATCTGACCTACATTCGTATTTTTCGAGAAGCCCGTAAACTTTTTTAGGTCTTTAAGGCACCCAAGACCCTCCTGGCCGGTCTCACACACGGTCAGTTCATAGGTTTATGATACCAGGAGCAAACTGGCGACGTTAAGTACTATAGTGAAACCCTAAGGACAATAGCTGAATTACAACTAGACGGTCCCGGGATGGTATCTCGCCGGAGGAGTGTCTCTCATGGTATTAAACAATGCATTAGTTGTTCATACCCTTAATTAAATAATTTTGGCGAGGGACGTATGGTTACAATTACACCTAAATTTAAACGTACTTCAGTACTTTCAGTTGACTGCTCTCCTCCACAGGAATAGTGATCAGGGGAAAAGTAAAACGGAGTCCCTAATATCAAAACCGCCTTCTTTTTGGATCTCATGAAAGGCCACACAATTTCTTTGCTATATGACATTAAGAGTAAAAAGAAGCAGGCAAGTCATTCACGATCCCTTCAATTAAATCCAAGTGTACTATTATACGAGTATTAACCCACAAGCTGATTCAACACTTCTTTATTGAACTCTCTTTTTGTAATCAACACACAAAATGGCATTCTTCCTGTTAATGATCAGCAGGGCATACAGTATGTTCATGTTACCAATCAATAATAGTCATCTCAATTTACCAAATTCAAATGATGTATCAATTTGTAAATAAATGAACAACAAATTATTCACAGCACACAGCGGAAGGGCAGAGATAACATAAGAGCAAAAGACAGATGATTCTGCAGAATTACGTTTACAAGCTGTTGCTCAAGTTTCAGTAACTATGCTCTACTAATCAACAGCTTCCACAGCTGAAGTAAACATGATAACTGTACATGAATATCAAGTCACGCCTGTTTCCACTCAACAAGACGGTCCTGTGCACATTCAGCAATTAGAATAAAACAAATATTGAAACGCACTGACACTTTGTACAATGGAATGCAGTTATTTCCTATATCATTCAGAAAGGATAGCAACTGCAAACAACTCCAGCATCTTACAGCATTCAGCACATAAGCAGGATCCAATAGAGTAAATATGTGTGACTTATGGCAAGAAACATTGTGGTGTGCTACATGTCACATATATTTCCTTTAATCTAAACTAATTTCCAGAGCTCCATCATTTATTACACACATCAACATGTTTGCGCTGATGTGTCTTCATATTACTCTGATCATGGAATGACTTATTACAGATATTACAGATGAATGGCCGTTCCCCAGTATGTATGCGCTTATGTGTCTTTAGATGACCCTGATGATTAAATGACTTACTACATACATCACAGCAAAATGGCCGCTCACCACTATGTATGCGATGATGATTCATCAAGCATCCCTTACGACTGAATGACTTATTACATAAGTCACAGAAAAATGGTCGTTCCCCAGTATGTATGAACTTGTGTTTCTTCAGATCACCCTGCTGACGGAATGACTTATTACATACATCACAGGTAAATGGCCGATCCCCAGTATGTATGCGCCCATGTTTCTTCAAATCACCAAGTTGACTGAATGACTTATTACAAACATCACAGCTAAATGGCCGTTCCCCACTATGTGTGCGCTGATGTGTCTTCAGGTGACCCTGACGACTAAATGATTTATTACACACGTTGCAGCAAAATGTCTGCTCCCCACTGTGTATGTGGTGATGTGTCCGCAGATTAAACTGTTGACTGAATGATTCACCATTCTCATCACAGGAATATGGTCGCTCCTCACTATGTACATTTCGAAGTTCATTCAAAGTACTCTGGAAAATGAGAGAAAGTAACATGAAGAATCCTAGTTGGAAGAGAAATGAGTTTGACACCCCAGTGCAGTCAGATGTTACAATGGGTTCGCTCAAAAGGGATGACAGAAAAAAGTGGCGAGGTGAGGAGAGGGACAAAGACAGATTGCATGGTCCCTTGTGTGGTGCGAGTGTGTGTGTCCATTAGCATGCATGTCAGTTTGTGAGTGAATAAAAATTAAAGATGTTTAGGTGAAACAATCAGAGAGAAACACAGATTAAATTCCAATTAATGAATATCTGCACTCTGTATGTCTTAAAAAGTCAGAAGCAATATGTGGGAGTACAGTCAACTCTCGATTATCCGGGGGCGGATTAACTGGTTTGCGGCTTAACCGGGGCTACTGAGGCTTTTTTGAGGCTTATATATTGTTTAATATTCATTCACTTTTGTTTCACATGGTGAGTTGTGTAACACTATTTTCGCACCAGTGTGAACCGAGCTCTGCATTCTTTGGTCCCGTTATGCTAACACAATGTTCTAGGGTAGGGGTGAAAGAATGCAAGGATTTGTGGAAAGTTTCAAGGAAAGGTACACTGCCCCTTGGTTGGTCTCTTTGTATCGATCTTCAAATGCGTTAGCAAAATGTCAGGGCATAAAAGGAAGCGTGTTAAGTATTCAACAGAAACTCATGTGAGCCGGGCTTTGAAATGTTAAGCAGTGACGAAACCGTAAGTTCCAGAAGAGCGGGAAGAAAGTGAGAATGAGGAAGAGGTGGACAGTGTTGCTAGTAAGAAAATATCACATGGTGCTGCTCTTAATCATTTGGAATACTTACTAGACTATCTTGAGAGTGAAGAGAACAGTTTATTAAGTGACAAGCTAATATTACTTAGGTTTCGTACGGATATCCGTAAAAAGGAAAATGCCGCGAAAAAGCAAACAACAATATTAATTTTTTTTAAGCGTTAAGTGTGAATATTCGTAAAAAGTGTTGGATGTTGTTGAACACCGTGATTGAAATAAGTAATTCACACTTCAGTATAAAGTAAAAAAAGTATTAAATAGGCCATGAGATGACATAAAAATGAGGAGTAAATTTAAATACAAGTAGGCCTATAGTATTATGAAGGTACAGTATTACAGTACTACTTTTAATAACATTTGTCTTAACCGGGTTTTCGATTAATCGTGATTTCCATGCTCACCATTATCCCGGATAATCGAGAGTTGACTGTATTTGTATTTATTTTATCACATTTTGGCTATATTTACCACTTATGTCTCTTATTACGATACAAATTTTGATGATTATTACCCTCTTAAATGAACCTGACAAAAAAATAGCTGGATTTAAATCATTCTTATCAAAAGTAGTAAATCACATTTTAATATAAATAAAATGTTTATTTATTTTTTTACAATAAATATTACTTCAGTTTCATTCATTATGATTAATGAGATCTCCTCTGAGAAGAATTAATCTTAACAAAACTATAGTTTTCCATAAGTTGGCTGTCTTGCACAGTTCAGTACCAATGCCACAAATGAAGCTTTAGTTGACGCACTGTACAGATATGGATTAACTGGAACAACATTTCTTGGTTACACTGTGTTTTTCAAGCATCATGATGCCAAAAGCAACTTATGGTTGGAAAGGAAGAACAGTGACTAAAAGTACACATAAGAAAAGACTAGCTCAACAGAAAAATGACTGCACATTTTACAGAAACTTGTTTTATTTTCTGCTGTGCTACTTGGTTACTGTTTCCAGTGTTGCCACACATCTACAATGAAGTTTCCAAATCGTAAAAGTTGAAGTTTCAATACATTATTACTAATTTCTTCTGAATGGTGCATTGAATGTAAATGTAATTCTGCAAAATCATTCCTTAAAGGCCTAAGTTATAAGTGTAAATATTTTGAAACTCATGGTACCAATTCTTACATATTTTTTATCTAGTATAATGAATGAGGTGAAAAACTTCCATATGATCTCACATGTAAATTTAGTGAAAATTGAAAGTGCAATAATTTTTTAACAAGTTATTGAAATAAGTCCATATTTTTTATGGATTTCAGAATAAAAGAAAGAATAATCTGTACAACTTCCATTCATTTTGTACTGTTTATGTATATCCTATACATCCTTATGCTGCACTGCCACTGTTTAACAAATTAGAATTAAATAAAATTATGCATTTGTAAGGTTGTATAGGCAAAAGAGGCACAGTTGTCCTTGTGCTTAACTAATTAAGCACTATGCCATGAAGGCGTATGGTGAGTGGATGTTTAGATCAACATTTTTGTGACCTCGACACTAGCTGGAGGTGACTGGTCAGCTTCAAGCCCCTGCCACTTCACCCCCGGGGAAAGTGCCCCCCCACCTCCCATAACCACTGGATAGGACGTTAGGTGGACCCCATAGGCGGTATGGATGACATGGAGAATTGAAAATTCTTGACCCCACCAGGACTTGAATTCTGACCCCTCAGTCGTTCAGCCAGTAGCCAGTCACTATACTGACTGCGCTATCTCAGCTCTAAGGTTGTATAGATGTCTGATGAATAGTGGATAGGATCCTAAAATGAAACAATAATATATTCTGAGTAAAAATATAATGGTAAGACAGGATTCATATGATCTAGTGAAACCGCTGGAACAACAACATATATGAAATGACTCAAAAAGAAGATCAGCATAGAGTCAGTTCAATAGACATGGCCACCCCAATACCATGAACAAATCCGTGTGAGTCACTTCCGTGGATGCCATGCAATATTCATTCAGAATGAAAATGTATGGCTTTTGTCAGAACATGGGCACTCCTCCCGGATGTGTAAAATAGTAATGGGCACATCACACTGTGTAGAAGCAGGTGTGGGTACACTTCACAACAAATGCATATGTGTCAGTCAACTGTGCCTCATTCAAAGGCATATATGCATGATTCCTTCCTGATGAAACGGAATGACCGCCACGATGGAATACATCGCTGCACCAACTGCAGTTTGTTATCCTGTCTGTTGCTCCACACGTCTTGCTATGACAAGACTGGACACCAAGAAAGTAAACCCAAAACATTACCACCAGACATTTTTCTGCTGACAAACTCCCAAAAAACGCTGCTTCACTGGTTGCTGCATTCAACGTTGGTACAGTGGGTCCTGGTTATCAGTGGTTAATTGGAACTGGAAAGGTGCCACTTGAAGCAAATCCCCTTAAAGAAATGGACTTCCATCCACAACACATAATGTAAACAAAAGAGTTCATTCGAGTTTAACATGTGTTTAACACAGATTGCAGTGTTTACACAAGATTTATGATAATCTGGACTTCACTGTTGAGCCATACATGAAACATCAATAGTCCATTTTAGAGTGGAACAGAAGCAGCAGAACCTGAAACACTGTCATCCAGTCTCTGTTTCATAACATATTCACGAGCAGCAAATAATCAAATATTTAAGTAACAGGAAAGCACCAAGTATAACATGTAGTTAAACTTCACTTACCATGTAAAATGTGCCTTACATGTTTTGGCTCTATAAGGCCATCATCAGAGGGTTACATGTTCAAGAGGAAACTGCTTTGTGTACACTATTTATAGCACTAACATTTAAATAATACCAGCAGACCCTGTGAATCCTGTAACGTAGTACAAAAGGACAGCTTACTGGATTCGATGGACAAGGGACATGTGGTAGATTTTTCATGCAATGGAATTTGTCTCAAACATTTTTCAGTTTACACAGTATTTAATTTAATCTATGCTAGATCTTATTAAAAGAAAACAGGAGTGGCAAATCAGATGGAACATTCAACAAACTAAAGTTGTCTCAGACATTTCAGAAAATCCCTTCAAAATCCAGTGAACAGCATGATGAAGTTGTCATGTATGCAGACAGAGATGGGAGATCAGAAAGACAACTGGCATTTCGGCATATCTGTGATATCTGCCTAAAGATGGACGTACAAAGACATAGAGCTCACCTCAGGTTCACCCTTCACTTCTGGAAATGTTATTGGGAGAGGATCTGCTTTCTTTTCTGCGTCTGAGTCTTCTTCAGTTTTAATATTCATGTCCTGACTTCCATTACAACATGCTGGGTATGTCTCACCATATGGACCCACTAAAACTTTATCTGTATTTGTGTAGCTCTGTAAAACAATCATATCTTTATCAATGATGACTGTACATCATACATGAAACGGTGTCTGGCCTCCATGCAGTGACTGGTTTCCATTACATCAAACCCATAACAGCTGCTTTGTACAGATATTTTCTCTACAGCTTTGAAAATCATTAGAAGGTAGTGAGTTCAAAGCACAGTAACCTTGTTGAGAAACTAATGATCACTGCAGTAGAGCAGAAAATATCTATGACTCCTAAAAATTGCACAATGAGGAGCCTCATAACATGATCCTTTGCCAACCACAATTACAATGACCAAGTCAAAAGGGATGAGATGGAAAAGCATACAGCAGGCATGGGGGGAAAAGAGGAATGCACATAGGATCTTCGTGGGAAAGCCAGGAAGAATGAGACCACTAACAACACCCAGACATAGGTCAAAGGATATTGAAATGGATCTTACAACACAGGATGGAGTGGGGTAGACTGGATTTATCTGGCTCAGCATAGGGACCTGTGGTCAACGTGGAAATGAACTTTCAAGTTTCTTAAGATGCTGCAAAATTTTTTAGTTGCCAAGCAACTGACAGCTTATGAAGAAAGGTTCGGCTCCATGGAGTTAATTATGGCATCTAAGGGTTCCTTACTCTCTTCACACATGTCCCAACTTGCTCTGTATCCTGAGGCAAACATACCCAGTCCAAACCCTCTGAAATTATTTCTTTAAAATCCGTCTTAATAGTATCCTTCCATCTACACACAGGTCTCCCAAGTAGTCTGCTTCTTTAGCATTGCTGTCAAAAACTTTGTATGCATTTCCCACTCTTGAATGTGTGCTACATGACCTACCCACAGCACTCTACCTGAGTTGGTCACTCTCCTACATAATATGCCGAACGGTTATAATGTCTACACATGTGTAAGGAACTCCCAAGATGGAGTATGGAAACAAATTCAAGCTTGTCACAACATATTTACTTTCTTTGGCTAAGAGAACTGACATATGACAATAAAATTCTAGTCTGTGCATACAAGAATAAGGTACTCACCATGCTTTCTTTCACAGCAGGATATGTTTCTTCAGCTCTCTGTAGCACAATTCTTGGCAGTCTTGTTGCAAGAGAATGCAGAAACTTTTGTAACCTTGGAACTTGTTTATCATGTATGATATTTTGTGGGGCTGACTGAAATTAACATGTGACAACCCAAGTGACATATAATGTCTTGGTTCCAATAAGTGTACCAGCAACTAACTGTGAATAGTTCCCAAAATCTGTAAAGATTTTTCCTGCCACAGAATTTATCTCAAACATTCTGAATTTAAACAGTATTTAATCTCATATATATTTCATCTATTTAAAAAGTAAATGGATGTGGTATATCACAAGCAAGATTCAACAAACTTCCACTGTCACAAGCACTTAAGAAAAAGCTCCTAAAGTCCAGTCGGCAGCACAGTGAAACTGTTCCATTTGCATAGACAGAGATGGAGATCAGAAAGACAATTGGAATTTATGAGTATCTGTGCTATCTTCTGAATAGTGGACAAACAAAAACATACAGCTCACCTCAGGTTCAGCCTTCATTTCCTGAACTGTTATTCGCAGAGGATCCTCTTCTGCTGCATCTGAGACTTCCTCAATTTTAACATTCATTGCCTCGTTTGCATGATGCCATGCTGCGTACATCTCACCATGTGGACCCACTAGTACCTTCTCTAAATTTGCATAGTTCTGCAAAACCATATCATATCAATCATGGCTGTACAAGACCATACACAAAACAGCATATGCTCTTCTACCTACAGTGCTTCTCCAGCACTTCTAGCCCATAAGAGCTGTTCCATAGAGATTTCTTCTCTACAGCTTTCAAAAGTATTAGAATGCAGTAAGTTCATAGCACAGTGACCTTCCTGCCTAACTAGTGCCACTGCAGCAGCATGGAAAATATCTGTTTCTTATGGCACCTAAGAACTGTATAATTTCTGTTTAATTCGCTTAGTGGGAGGTGGAGTCCAACTGGGTGGCCACTGATTGGCCTACTGTAGCCTGCCCTGGGTGATTATGATGGTGAAATTGGTGGAATGAAGATCTGCAGGGGAAAATGAAGTACTCAAAGAAAATCCGCCCCAGCACCACTTTGTCCACCACAAATCCCACTTGACCAGACCCGGGATCGAACCCAGGCCACCATGGTGGGAAGCTAGCAACTAATCGCTTGAGCTATGGCACGGCCTTAAGAACTGTATAATGAGGAGCTTCATAATTTGTACCCTTTACCAAGCATGATTAGAATGATCAACTCGATGATGATGAAATGGAAAGGCCACACAGCACACATGGGGAAGAATAATTCATTTAGGATTTTGCTGGGAAAGTCAGAAAGAAAGAGATCACTAGAAAGACAAGGTGTAAAGGTAAAGGTAAAGCTATCCCTGCAACATGCCATGGAAGCCCATAGGGTTGTGAGGCATCAAGGCTACCACATTTTTTTAACAACTGGCTCAATGATGGAAGTGAGACTGTCAGCCTTTACAGATTTTCTGGTACTTACTTCTGTTACAGGGTGAGTTGACTCCAGGGTCATGACACAGCCACATTAGATCAATTGAAAAATTCAATTACCTCCAATGGGAATCGAACCTGCGTCCTTAGTGATTGTAACATAGTACCTCAACAAACTATGCTATCGTATGCCCAGGCCTAGGTGAAAGATAACATTAACCTTTAACGGGCGAATGTCACATATACAGGGTGTCCCAGGAGGAATGTGCCAAACTTCGGGAGGGTGTTCCTTATGTTAAAGTATGCCGATATAACCCAAAACACCTATGTCCAAAGTTGAACGGTTACGGAGCTAATGGCCCAAGAAAAGTGTGGTCTTCTGGCAGGTCCAAGCACTGTACCTCGCTGTACCTCTCAGCTGAGAGCCCTTATCTATGTTTGTCCTTGAGTGCGATGATACTCCCTAGCCGTGCTTATGTAGTTGGCTCATACCAGAACGCGCAGTCAGCACGTTACGTCATCGCTCGCCAGTCATGTGTTATGTATACTGCTTGGAAACCTAAGGACAATTATGACATGGCGAGCGAGTATTTTGTACTTCAATTTTATGGCTTTCCGTCACTCACAAGTTAGTTTGATGTTACGTACATTATTAACATTACAGAATCCACATATTCCTGCCAGTTTTAATATGTATTTTGTAATCAACAAGTGTGTAACCCCGGTCAAAGTTTGACACTTCTCTGGCCATTATCTCCGTAACCGTTCAACTTTGGACATAGGTGTTTTGGGTTATATCGGCATACTTTAACATAAGGAACACCCTCCCGAAGTTTGGCACATTCCTCCTGGGACACCCTGTATATGGCACAAGCAGCAACCTGATTTGGCCGAATGACACATATATATGACGCAGGACACATGCTCTCTTTGGGAGTGCTGACAGTTTGACCTTGGGTTTGAAACGAAAACAAACCTATGTGAGGCCATGTCAGTGGTTCATTCCTTAGCTCTGAACAAAGAAATCGTTTATCACGTTACCGGTTTTGATACTATTTACGTTTAGATATGACTGTTTATGACCTGGTCACCCAAATATAGTCCAGCTTTGTTTCGAGAACTGATGAGGAAATATTCTTCTGTGCTTGCATATGAGTGCTTCCAGAGCCTTCAAGGAAGTGTGAGGCATGCAAGGATTGGTTTTCAGTGATGAATTATCAGTTAGGAAGTCAGCGTCGGATTGTCTAATATATCTTTATCAGTTAAAAAGTCAGTGTCAGACTGTCATATATTTCTTTGTATATCACTTTATTTTGTGTCTTGGAAGAGGTATAAACCCACTGAGCTAGTATTATTTTGTGAGTAAAAGGCATCTTTGCCACTGCGACTTTCGGTATCAGTGTCGGACTGGCATTCTTTTAGACTAGTATTATAATTACTTTGCATCATTATTTTGCGAGTATTACCAACAGGTGAGAGTGTCGCTTTGTCAATCAACATAATTTATTCGATTTTGCTAGAATTCCCCCTCCCTCAAGATGATTCTTCAATCTCACAAGCCGAATATCACGGTCAGTGGCGTTTCTCGGGGGAAGGCCAAAGTTATTGGGGGGCCCAACTGAGTTGACTGGAGGTGAAACATTCACAACACTGGTCAACCAAAGGGAAAAAAAGACATTGTCATGTGTTTCGCTAAATAAGAAAAGCAGGAGCACACTCTTCTATTGTAAAAAGGGTGGTGTCGCTCTGTATGAGGTGGACTGCTTTGAGAAGTACCACGCGTATCAGAGTGTATTGTAAACTGTGAAGTGACGCAGTTCAAACTCGTGTACAGCCTGAACAAAATATTACTGTATATAGTGTGACTATATTTACAATATCACCATGATTCAAGGTTGAAGAAAAAACAATGGGTAAGTCCTCTGGAATTTCATAACATATTATATTTTGCATTTCATAACAAAATAATCACAGTTAATTTTCGTTTGTAAAAATTGCTCTTTTGAGTATAGGTAGAAAATTTTATTGTCTTTCACACTGTTTTAGTTCGTATTTCTATGCTGCATAGAACAGAAAATATGTATTTTTTTTTCTGAAAGTTTGCAATGTTAATTAATTAGGGCAATTTAAATACCGGCCCAAAGGGCTCCCGGCAACTTAAAAGTCCACACGTTAAAGGTTAAAATGGATTTTAAAGAGATGAAGGATTGAGCACTGTGGATTGGAATGATCTGGCTTATTATAGGGACTACTGGATGGCTCTTGTAAACATGGTAATGAACTTTCAGGTTCAATAAAATGATGGAAAATTCTTCAGTGGCTGAGTGATTGGTGTCTCTGATTGGGCTCCTTAATGTGGTCTCACATGGGCAACTTCGCCCTGTATTCTGAGGAAACCAGACACAGTCCAAACCCTCTCAAATTATTTCTTTAAAATCTGTCTTAATAGCGTCCTTCCATCTACACATAGGGCTCCAGTAGTCTGCTTCTCTCAGCATTTCTGTCAAAAACTTTGTATGCATTTCTCACACTTGAATGTGTGCTACATGACCTACGCACATCACTCTACTTGAGTTGATCGCTCTCCTACATAATATACCAAACTGTTATAATGTCTACAGCCACAGGAAGAAACCCACGCATGGATTATGAAAACAAACTCAAGCTTGTCACAACATATTTAGATTCTTTGGCTAAGAGAACTGCCATATGACAATAAAATTGTCTGTGCACACAAACACAATACACACATTTTCTTTTATAGCAGGGAATATTTCTTCAGCTCTCTGGAGAATAAATTTTTGGCATTCTTGTTATAAGAGAATGCAGAATCTTTTGTAACCTTGGAACTTGTTTATCATGTATATATTATAGTGTTGAGTGAAATTCAGTTATAAGAACCCAAGTGACATATAATGTATTGGTTCTATGAAATGTACCAGTAACTAGCTGTGAATAGTTCCCCACATATGCAAACATTTTTTCTGCTATAGAATTTCTCTGAAACACTGTTCAGTTTACACAATATTTAATTTATCCGCATTCAAACTGCTTAACTCTTTGACTGGCGTGATGGGTATTTAAATGCCACCCCTGTCCAGGCAGACAGTCGCTAAAATGCATGCATTTACTTTTTTTTTTAAATAACTTCAACAAAAATTGGTTTTTAAAGACAAAATTTTCATGAACTAATAAAAAGACAATATTTTATGTAAAAAATGTCTTTTCCTACATTTTTAGTAGTTTTTCTTCGTGTGATAAACATTGAAACATGAAAGTTTGCAGAGAGCCACACCACAGCTCGCACACATGACACTTGTTTCTTTTCTAATCTTGTGCTTAGCACACACGCGACACTTTCTCATGGCACCATTCTTCTTCTTGTTACTGGGAGGAACATGGACCATTTTGTGTATTTTCAGGCCACCCTCTAAACGATTTGCTGGGTCTTTCATTGGTGGTCTTTTCAAGGTCGCAGGCAGAGGCATAACTGCACTCGAGCCTGAAGCAATAGATTCGTCATCCACTTCATTTCTTGACTCTTCTCCCTCTCCACACTGTTTGATTGGTTCTGTCACTTTTTCTACATAGTGCAATATAAAATCTTTGAATTTGTATTTTCTCTTCTTGTATTTTTCATTTGTTGTGTTCTTTTTGAATAGAATGAAACTATTCAACGCTGCCATTTGCAACAAGAAAAACACCAGTTTCTTTGTCCACTTTAGAGTTTTGAGGGAACAAGGATAATCATGCAGCATTTGATCGGCCCTGTCAACCCTTCTCATATGTTTATTGTAGTCCCCAATTACCTCAGGCCTGCATATTTCTTCTCCTTTGCGATTCGTTTTTGAAGATTCCATTATTTTTGCTGTGTGAAGAGTGGAGATAAGTGTGACGTCTCTTTCATCTCTCCACACCTGTATCAGAACCTGCCCCTTCCTAGACAACACAGATTCACCCCCCTCCCTTTTTTTTCACATTTTTTACATCATCCTTTAGTTCTTTAGGAGCTCCTCTGTCCATTCTGAAGGTACCACACACATAGGTATTTCTCTGTAATAACATCTCACACAATTCTATACTATTTTAATAATTATCCTGGTAGAGATGATACCCTTTATCTAGAAGCTGTGGCCCCAACAGATCGACAACTAATTCCTTTATAGGTCTTGATTTTCCGCAATAAATTTCAGAATTCCAAATATATCCACTTGTCGATTCACAAACAAGATAAGCCTTTATACCGTACTTATCAGGTTTGTCAGGCATATATACTCGGAAGATAAGACGTCCTTTCCAAGCGATCATTCCCTCATCTATTGCAATTTCCTTTTCAGGGATATATGTTTTTCTAAATTTCCCCATTAATGAGTCTATAATTGGCCTAACTTTATACAGGCGATCTTCACAGTCAGCTGGTCGTCCATCGTTGTCTGCAAATTGAAGAAATTTCGAGATCTGTTGGAACCATCACAAAGACATCTTTTGTCAATATCATGGAGTGTGAAATAGGGGCCTAGTGGACCAACAGTCTTCAATTTTGGGGTGTTTGTCAATTCCTGTCATGAACACAATTCCTAAGTATGTCCACATTTCATTTGGTGTGACATATCTGTAATTGTGTTCTCAAGGGTGAGGAGCTAACTCGTGTGTTGAAGTGCTGGTGAGCATAGAGATTGGTTTCAGTTGTGATGTGATTTACTAAGTCGTCATCCAGAAAAATTTTAATCCATGAAAAAGGGTGCATTTTACGTGTATATCAATTTTGATCCTGGAACTACTAGTAAATGGAACTATTGTTGGTACAATGTATCTGTATGTCTATGAGATGGGCGTGTCAGGCACCGCACTAGTGGTGGCTAAATGTTCATGATTATTGTCTTGTGGATCACTGTCTATCACTGTATTATTGTCACTATCAACTTCATCTAATTCAGGAATCATTTCATGGCGACTTTCATCATCAGCACAAATCTCATTCACAACACTTTCCAGCTGGTCTGTAGGAACACTCCGACACTTGCTGTGAGAAGCCATGGTGAAAATGAATGTGAAATATTTTCTGACCTTTCCTTCTCTGAGGGTTCTGACAGTAATATAGACCCCCACAAAGTCAAGGGTTCTTTACAACCATGCACAAAATCTATCATAAATATGTCTTTGGTTGATGAGTGCCAAGACAGCAAAGAAGGGAAGAGTGTATCAAAGCCAGGGAACGGCTGGCATCGTCCAGGTACAAAAATGCGCCCACTCCAGTCAAAGAGTTAAATAGTGGAAGCAACATATAACAAGGAACGTTCAAGTAACTACAACTATATACAGACACTTCAGAAAAAGAACTTCAAAATTCGGTCAGGAGCACAGATGTTACATGTGCACAGACAAACAGAAAGACAGATGGAGATCAGAAAGCAAGTGGCATTTCCGCATATTTGTGATATCTGCCTAACAGTGGGCATACACAGATACACAACTCACCTCAGGTTCAGCCTTTATTTCCTCAACTGCTACTGGCACATGATCTGGTTTCTCTTCTGTGTCTGAAACTTCATCTCTTATGCTCATGGCCTGATTTCCATCATGGTATGCTGGGTATATCTCACTATGTTGACCCACTAAAACATTCTCTGAATTTGTATAGCTCTGTAAAACCATCATACCTTTATCAATTAAGGCTGTAGAACACCATACCAGAAACAGCGTATGCTGTCCTTGCTATGACTGTCTTTCATTACATCCAATCCATAACAGCTGTTCTCTACAGATTTCTTCACCATAGAATTCAAAATCATTAGTAAGTATTATGTAAACAGCACAAGGACCTTCATGAGAAACAAATGGTCACTGCGGCAGTACAGAAATTATCAGCTATTTATGGTACTTAAGGGCTCATTTCTGTGTCCTCATGTACCCATCATGGTTCTGTATCCTGGATGGAACAAAATGAGTCCAAACTCTCCCAAATTACGTGGTGCAATCCAAAAGTTCCTGAAATATATTAATAAAAACTATTACATCTTACCTGGATCTTATTCTGCACCATCACCTTCAAAGTAGTCCCCTTGGGAGCACATACACTGATCCCAACGTTTCTGCCACTTTTCAAATGCATCCTGGAAGTCTTTCTTTGTTAAGGTGTTTAGTACCGTCTGTGTTTCCACCTGAATTTCCTCAACTGTATCAAATCTTCGCCCCTTCAACTTGATTTTCATCTTGGGGAAGAGAAAGAAGTCACATGGAGCTAAGTCTGGCAAGTACGGTGGGTGTGGGACAAATGCCATCTTGTTTTTAGCCAAAAATTCCTGCACAATGCAAGCCGTATGCAGTGGAGTGTTGTCATGGTGGAGTACCCAGTCGTTTGTGCGCCACTTCTCTGGATGTTTTCTCCTCATGTTCTCCCTCAAACGCCTTACAACATTGCGACAGAACTCTATTGACTGTCTGACCAGGAGGGATGAACTCCTTATGAACAATCCCGTCAATATCTAAAAAACAGATCAACATGGACTTAATGTTGCTATTGACTTGTCGAGCTTTTTGTGGCCGAGGTGAAGAAGAGCTCTTCCATTGCGACAAATGCTGCTTGCTTGCAGAGTCGTAGCCATAAACCCAACTTTTGTCATCAGTGACAACCTTTGAAAGAAAGTTTGGATCCTCTTGAAGCTGTTGCTGAAGTTCCCTGCAGACTTCCAAGCGATGCTGCTTCTGTTCATTTTGCAGCAGTCGTGGCACAAACTTCGCCACAATCCTCATGTTCAGTTCCTCTGACAAAATTCGTTGACATGTACCATAACTTAGTCCCAAGGTGTTACCGAGGTCTTGGATGATCAGTCTACGATCTTGCAGAATCAGATCCCTAATTTTCGTGACATTTTCTGGTGTTTTGCCCATTGACGGCCGTCCCAAATGATCGTCATCATCAGTCAATGTTCGGCCATTTTTAAAATGCTTATGCCAGTTGTACGTTTGTGTCTGGCCTAAACTGTTTTCACCAAAAGCTTGCTTCAACATTTGGTGCGTTTCTGCAGCGGTTTTCCCAAGTTTGAAACAAAACTTTATACAGACACACTGCTCTCTCAAGTCAGCCATCGCAAAACTGCAAACCCACAGAAACGCAACAATGGAAATACGTTCACCAACAATAAACCTAACCACTCAACTTGACGCCGCTTGCCACACTGATTCAAGAAGGATGTGTGAGGAGACACCTAGCGGTATTTTAATGTACTCATAACCATTCGCGCGCAAAATTCAAATTTCAGAAACTTTTGGATTGCCCCACGTATTTCTTTAAAATCCATCTATATAAATGTCTCCCAAGTGGTCTCTTCCTTTCAAGTCATGTGTCCAAATCACTGTATGCATTTCTCATTCTCACATGTGTGCTACATGACCTACCCATTACACTCTCACTGAACTGATCATTCTCCTCATAAAATACCAAACTGCTGTAACATGAACAACCTTGTGTTACAAAAAACTCCCCAGGGAGATTATGAAAAACTAACTCAAGCTTGTCATAAAATGTTCAGTTTCTTAGGCCACAAGAACTGACAGATGATAATAAAAACTTTTTTCAGTGCACATAAGCACAAAACACTCACCATGCTTTCTCTTACGGCAGGAAATATTTCTTCAGCTCTCTGTAAAATTCTTGGCATTCCTGTTGCAAAAGAATGCAGAATTTTTCATAACTTTTAATATATTTTTAATCACACATGATGTTTTGTGGGTTGCAAATTAATTCACTTACAAGAATCCTTGCAATACAGTATCTTATTTCTAATAAGTGTACCATTACCTAACTTGGAAAAGCTGCCAAAGCCTGTTAGAAAAGATACTACTGATTGTGAACCAAGACAATATTAATGTGGATTTTTTGGTTCTCTCAGAAGAACTACGAAGCTTAATGTCTTATGTCATACAGTTTGTTATGTAAGTTTCAAAGGCAGCTGATTTATCAGTTTTGAAGGAACCCCCCCCCCCCTGCCCCAAAAACGTTGGTAATGGGTTACCAGACTGCACAGTAATACATCCTTGAAACAGTAAACATAATTTACATAGTTATTTTTCGGAGCCGCAAAATAGTATTCACTAAGCATTTGTACATTCTCCTGCAACTTTCTCCAGTTCAACATTGACCACCTGCTCTCATGACTTCCTTTATAAGTCGGATTGGCATATGTAACAGGGGGGGAAAGGTTATTAACTGTAAACACTTGCAATCTAAAGGAAACACGACGTTCAGAAAAGGAGCTGAAAAGTTTATAAGAATGCCAAGCAGAACTAGCAACAGTAGAACAACATCACGGAAACAAAATGTAACGTCGTTTACTTCTAACAATTTTTAGGAATCTGAAGAAATCGAGTGAAATTTTTCTAGTGCTCGTAATCATTCCCTGAAGAATACACACATTAATTACACAAACACAATGCTTACCTACACTCTATTCAGCAACATTCGCAACATTAACCATTACGGTCTTTACCGTCTTTACTGACCTTACTGACCATTGGCGTCGTTGGTCGTTGCCGTTGTGGTCCTTTTCCCGCTGATTAGTACACTCTGCGTCCACTGGGAGGCAGCACTAGCATGATCACATCGTGCGATTTAAAAAATGATAACCAGTGAATTTTTGGCTACGGACGGCTCAAAAATAAGGCACAAACCATTTGTAGGATTCGCATCGATAGAAATAAGCGATGGTAAAAAGGTAAAGTTTTCCATGTGCTTAACTATATTTTTTATTGCTAGTGGGGTGGGACTAAGTCCCTTGTACTACGGTCTCTTCTGGCCTATTGTACCAGCCCCAGATGATAGGTGAGGGTGATTGGCAGGGGAAACCGAAGTACTTTGAGGAAACCTGCCACAGCGCCACTTTGTCCACCACAAATCCTACATGAACAGACTAGGGATCGAACCCGGGCCGCCGCGGTGGGAAGCCAGCGACCCCAGCGACTAACCGCTTGAGCTATGGCTCGGCCACTTTGCTCGACTAATTAAGCACTACGCCATGAAGGCGTATGGGGAAGTGGGTGTATACGAGTAGATCAACATTTTCTTGACCTCGGCACTAGCTGGAGGTGAGTGGTCAGCCCCGGCCGCTTTACCCCCTGGGGAAAGAGTCCCCGGTACTCACTGGATAGGAGGTTGGGTGGACCCCCTAGCTGGTCTGGATTGCATGGAAAAAATTCTTGATCTTACCGGGACTCGAACTCCGACTCCTCGGTCGTCCAGCCCGTAGCCAGTCGCTATGCCGACCGATGCCGACTACGCTTATAAGTGTAAGTGATGGTGTTAGCTGGAAATTCTGGATAGCCAAGATGGCGCCCACTTTCACAACGGAAGCACTAGCTACTGGTGAAACATTAGAAATCAACGAAAAAATAAACTCGGAACAAAATTTCGTGATTTTGTCGGACTGGGAAAGCGTGCCAAACGGAATCTGTAACACATCTACAATGAACAACATATTGCACATCACTCAAATGCTTAAAGACAAAATAAAACGACTGGAATTGCGAGGGGAAAAATCCAATTTTACTGGATCCCCAGGGCCCTGTGGAGTTGAAGTTAATGAGAGCGCTGACTTGAAGGCAAAACACTCAATCAAAGTAACCAAAGATAGTCAACTACTACTACCAGTGGCAAATCTTAAAGCCCATTGGATAAAGAAGGGCAAAGAGGAGCTTCACAGTTTCTGTCAAAAAAGGACAGAGCAGAAAGCTAATTTGAAAGGTACTACAGGAATGGCTCGTCTCCATGGTTCCGCAAGATAAAATGAACCATCATTCCTTCGTATCAGTAAATCATATGAGATCAGGCCCCTCCAGTCTTAAAGCAAGCTGAAGTAGCTTTAACATTGTATGCACGGCTGAATGTGAAATTGGTGATAGGCTGCAAATGGAGGAACATGTCTTCTGGGATTGTAATCTGTACGAGGACTGAAAGGCAACAATGGTGCACGTTTTGTCTGAAAACAGCAAAAATAATAATCAGAATCAATTACATAGCCCTTAAGGCTAAGAGGAAAAAAGATTTGTGCAAGGCATCTGCTACTTCATACACAAAGATCCTAAATTAAAAATGTATATGTACAGGATTTTAACAGTACATCCTTAGAGTTAAATTAAGAGATATATTCAAAAATTGCATGGTGACTGCTATGATAGATACATCAGCTGTTTACAAGAATGTGCTACAGAGGGCCAGATGGGCATTGCATAGGCCATTTTTTATATACATGTATATTTTCCAAAATAAAATAAGATGCATTGTGTGGTTTCTTTTATAGATTCAAGGCAAATAGACTTCTCAGGAAATCTCTTAGCCTTCCTCTTTAACCTGCTCTCTTCGAAGGAACTAGGCACAAATTATGGATGTTTAGATCTGAAAGACTGGACATACAAAAGCTTACCACAGGGTACCATTATTAGTCCAACCTTATACTCACTTATGGCAGGGCTAAAAACCAAAATCAACCAGAACTGCAAATGCCTTGAATCCACAGAAGATGTGGCAGTTTATTCAGTTAACACAGCAGAATTGGTGTATCAAGAGTGGAAAAGAGTATACAAAGTATTCAAGTTTATTTAAACAAAAGTTGTATGGGATGTCAGTTCTGATAGCTATCTCGTCACCAAACTTCAGGGCCAAATCATGTCATAAAGATAGGTAACAGATGTTTTGAAAATGTGGCACAGTTCAGGTATTGGAAATGATGATGATAAATGAAAACCTGATTCAGGAGGAAATTAAGTGGCGATTGAATTTTGGTAATGCTTGCTATCATTCAGTCCAGAACATTTTGTCTTCTTCTCTGCTGTCTAAAATCATAAAAAATAGAATATACAAACCTATAATTTTGCCTGTGGTTCTGTATGGATGTGAAACTTGGTCTCTGACATTAAGGGAGGAACATAGACTGAGGGTGTTGAGAATATTTGGACCAAAGATAGCTGAAGTGACAGGAAGCTGGATAAAACTGCATAATGAGGAGCTTCATAACTTGTACTCTTCTCCAAGTATAATTAGAATGCTCAAGTGAAGGAGGATGAGATTGGCATGATATGTAGCACGAATGGGGGAGAAGAGGAATTCATATAGGATATTGGTGGGAATGCCAGATGGAAAGAGACCACTGAGAAGACCAAGGCATAGGTTGGTGGACAATATTAAAATGTAAGATTTGAGGTTCTCACAGGGGTGACTATGAAGAAAGCAGTCTTCTGGGATGTGGTGCCATGTAGATATTGTGTTAACCGATGTTTCAGAGGAACGTATCACCTCCATCTTCAGGGTAGAAGAAATCTGCAAGCGAACCAGCATGAGCAAGTGCAACAGACTGAGTTCAATCAAGTAAACCCAACTGTATAAAGGGCTCATTTCACTTCCTGCTCTTATGCAGCTGGGTTTACTTAGCTGGACTCAGTCTGTCGCACCTGCTCACGCTGGTTCCTCACTTCCCTTCCTGCTCTTATACAGCTGGGATTACTCAGCTGGACTCAGTCTAATGCACCTGCTCACGCTGGTTTGCTCGTGGATTTTTTGTCTTCTACTCTGAAGATGGAGGCGATACATTCCTCCGAAACGTCGGTTAACACAATATCTACACGGCGCACCACATCCCAGAAGACTGCTTTCTTCAATATTAAAATGGATCTTAGAGAGAGGGGATGGGATGGTATGGATTAGATTGATCTGACTCAGGATAGAGACCAGCGGAGGGCTGTTGTGAACAAGGTAATGAACCTTCGAGTTCCATAAAATTCTGGGAAGTTCTTCAGTAGCTGAACAATTGGAGGCTTCTCAAGAAGGCCTCAGCTGCATGAGTGAGTGAGTGAACTAGGGTTGTCTGTAGAGACTTCTGAAGCAGCATTGCATAAGTCTTAAATCCAGCTGTTGTCACTTGTAATTTAATTTCATTTTGTTGTATTTTAGCGTCCTGTTGCACTGATTTTCATCCATGATATGTATACAGTGGCCATCTTGTAGTGCATTCAATTTCACCTGTTACTTCAAGACATGTTTCGGCAACATAGTGCCATCATCAGGTGCCCTAATTACGCTAATCTATTGCATTGCTTGCCTTTATATGTCTTTATAAAATTATTTAAAAAGTGTGTATTTGTCAACTATAATAAATTTACACACACTAAAACTTGTTAAGATTATTCATCTTATGTGTCTCAATTAAAACTTGCATTTTAATTAAGTTTTAATTAAGACATAAGATGAATAATCTTAACAAGTTTTAGTGTGTGTAAATTTATTATAGTTGACAAATACGCACTTTTTAAATAATTTTATAAAGACATATAAAGGCAAGCAATGCGATAGTTCAGCGTAATTAGGGCACCTGATGATGGCACTGTGTTGCCAAAACATGTCGTGAAGTAACAGGTGAAACTGAGTGCGCTACAAGACGGCCACTGTATACATATCATGGATTAATTTTGTTTGTTATCCTATATTGTTCAGTCCACAACATGCTTCAGACTTCCACCCATATGGAAAATTCTTCCTTTTGGAACTGAATGGCTTGAGATTGAGCACCATGTTGACTATGGTTATACGCTCAGTATATTCCTGACTTGACATGTTAAATTTCTTATCTGACCCTTCTATCCCATCACCAATACTGTGTTCATCTTCTTTTATTTTTTTCTAATTGCTAATTGGGTGAGACTGAGTCCCTTGTACTGTGGCCACTTCTGGCCTATTGTACCAGCCCCAGATGATAAGTGAGGGTGATTGTGGAGCAATTGGTGGAATGAAGATTGGCAGGGGAAACCGAAGTACTCAGAGAAAACCTGCCCCAGCGCCACTTTGTCCACCACAAATCCCACTTGACCAGATCTGGGATCGAACCCGGGCTGCCACAATGAGAAGCCAGCGACTAACCGCTTGAGCCATGGCATGGCCTCATCTTCTTTTAAATAAGACTCTAATTTATACTGTAAGATCATTTTTTATTATGATGATAATAACACACAATAGCCATTACTGTTACACTAGGCAAGACCAATTATTTTGCCTTCATCCTAACCATGAGGCCAGGACTTTGAAAAATCTCTCTTTTTCTCTCACACGCACACGCGCGCACACCAACACATGGGTGCCAGTCTTTGGCAACAGTTCATGCAACACAAAATCCAGGTTATAAAATGATGTGTTCGAAAGAAATAAAGGAAATGTACAATGTCCAAAATAATACTCATTTTTATTATTAAGTACTTATTTCATTAAGTATACACTACTTGTAAAAAGAATTCAAAGTTAATGAAAACTGACTGAAGAATTTTATAGATGATTTAGAAAGTGTTCCACAGTGTATTAGCCAAACATAAGGTATGTGTTTGAGAGGTCATTTGGAGCAAAAAAATCAGGTGAATATGGAGAATGATCAAGGACTGTGATCCCTTTTGTGGCCAAAAAATCGCACACGATCTTCGATTTGTGGGGTGGGGCATTGTCGTGGAGGAGTGACCAGGAAGTTTGCTCTCAATATTCAGGTCGAATTCGAAGAATTCTCGCACACAAACGATTGAGGACTCTGAGATAATAATCAGAATTTACTGTTACACTTTCTGGCAGAAATTCCTTGTGAATGATTCCTTTGGAATCAAAGAAAATGGTTAGCACTGTCTTTACTCGACTCTTTTGCATGCTCACTTTCTTTGGTTTCGGCTTCTTTGGGCTTAACCACGCTGCAATCTGTCGCTTTGTGAGAGGCTAATATTGAAAACACCATGTCTTGTCACCAGTAACAATCAATTTTGTAAATTCTATATCACTTTGGGCCAACCGTAACATGACTTTGCAGTGTTCAACTCTGGCATGTTTTTCACTGCCTGACAGTGCATGCGGTACAAACCGCACACAGACCTTCCGTTTGCCCAAATCCTCAGTCAAAAGTTGATGCACAATACTTTTTTGTATTCCCAAAAGCTCCCGATGAATCTTGCAGAAACACATCTGTCTGATGCAAGGGTCACGTTTTTCGCATTTTCTTCAGTGTGACTTGTTCTCGGCTTGATGCGCGTCTTCAGTGTCCTCCCTGCCGTCACGAAATACAGCATACCATCAAAAAATGTTTGAGCGACTCAAACAATCGCTACCATAAACACTTTTCATCATTTCGTACGCTTCTCTGGATGTTTTATCTAACTCCAAACAAAATTTGATGTTGGCTCTCTGTTCAACCGCCATTTTCTGAGGAGCATCAGAACAGTACTGTTACATTCAAGATCAGAACACGTGATGCAGTGACACTTGTGCTTTGAAATTATAGACAGCCACAGCTGAAACTTCAAGAATCTTAATGCCAGAACTCGCCACAGATGGCATTGCAGGGCAAAATTTAAAAAATTAGTCCTAATGGATCCTGGACACACCGTGTAAATTGTCCTTCTTCAGATACAACATACCAGAGTGGTACTGTCATCATCTCATATGTTAAGGGTACTTCTGAGAAACTCAGACACACTGGGAACCACTTAAATCTCAGAACCATTTTCAAGACTGAACGTACGCTCTGTGGGACATTGATGAAAACTGGACCAGTCAGAGATGCCCAGCAGATAAAGCAGTGTGTACAGTATCCCATGTGACTGTGGCAGCTGTTACGTGGGTCAAGCAAGCAGACCTTTAGAAGTACACATTAAGGAGCACAAATATAACCTGACACAGGGTTTTCTTGAAAAATCAAAATTAGCCCGACATGCATACAGGAAAGCCACAAAATAAGTTGGAATGAAGTGAAGGTCTTGCAGACTGAGCCCAGCACCACATACAGGAAATATAAGGAATCAGCCCACATCTCTGCTGGACCATCCGATCAGTCAGCCCAGTCAAAAAACGACAATTCTGCCAAGTTGAGTGGAAACATTTGTTTTCTTCTCTTGGTACCATAAGGAGTATTTCTTCTCTCCAATGATGATTTCTATGGTGACAGTTCTCTGGTGCAAGGCCTCATACATGTAGAGTTTTTAATAATTGAATGTTTTCTTAGTTTTCCAGATGGTTTGTTCTGTGTTTGTCTTTTATAACCCATCTTGGTGCTGTCAGAGGTGTCCAGAAATAGAGACTAGCTCTATTGATTGGGTCCAACTGAGTAGGTTTTACCTGAAGACATAGACAGAATCCAGTCTCCGAAACATTGTTTTGAAAAATAAATATGAAGGTGTTTTTAGATAAAGGCAGGTTGATGGATATGTCCAGAAACATAATACAAGTATTTGCATTTCTTCATATCCATCTTCCTTCATAATCTTTGTTAAAAAATTCCATTACCACCCTGCCATAATGTGGAGGTGCTCCATCACCCTGTAGACATAATGTGCATCATGATGCAGGAGGCACATCCTCTAAACGCAGCAGTAATTCATTTTCCAGACAACTTCTCTTAACACTTTGCGGACCGCGCACCCTTTAAAAGGTTTTTCGCTTTTAAACATGGCGGACCATTCGCGTGTTAACAGGTTTTTAAAACACGATAAGTTGCAACACACTATACATCGCTCTGGCATCACCTACATTGCACGCGACCACCTACAGATACGTGATAAGACTCTGGAATGTTTAGTTAACAGTCAGTAACTTGACCTCGCTGTTTACTTAACCAACTATAAAGGAAAATGCTTTGCCTTCTTCAAGCTGTGTGTATCAGCCAGTATCTAGTGGGGAGAATGGATCAAGGACAAATTCTCCTACGATGACCTAGCTGACCTGCCTTGTGAGACACATAGTAATGGATTGTCATTCAGACAGCAACAGTGATGGGGGACAACAAAGAATTGTGGCCACAGACAGTAAAAGTGACAGTAGCTCCGACGATAATGTGCGTAATAACATTGCGGGAACAGCAAAAAATCTAAAAAAAATCTAAACCCTGATTCAAAATTGAAATACAAAGCATTTCTGATGAATGTGGCAAAGGCCTGTTAATTTTAGTTCAAAAATTTAATTAGGAGATTTTATATTAATTCTCAAAGTGAACAGTGGACAAGTTAGAGTAGTATGTTTAAAAATGCCGGTCCCCAGGGTGATTTAAATATTTAAATCACCGGTCCGCGAAGTGTTAATAACATGTGGTTCAATCAGGCTTAATATTCCATCCCACACATTAACTGAAAATTAGCACTGAAAATGACATTCTTCTACCTCATGTGGATTTTTGTGGGTCCAAAAATATGAATTCGTGTCTTAATACCATCCTGGGTAAACTGAGTCTAATCCATGAACAGAATGTGTAGCCATGGTTGAAGCCATGCACACAATTTTCTATGGTTGGCTTGATCTGGTAAGAAGCGTTGTACTCTAGGATAGATAAGACAGAAACCTGCATGGTGCAAAATTCTCCATATCTGTGCCTGTATTAAACCAACTGACCTGGAAATTCTGCACATTCTTGTACTGGGCTTTGCTTCACTGCCAGATGATCAGCTTCTCCATGCCATCACTGTTCACATTCTACATTTGTTTGTAGCAAGGAACCAGTTTCCCTCAAAGTTCTGCATACATGTTCAATTGTATTTCTACGTGGAATTCTTTGAAGTTGATATATCACTGCTGGCATTCTATCACAGCAGCCCTACCATTTCCATTGCAGGAACTTTATACAAAATGCATGTCAGCATATTTTTAATTTGTAAACATGTTAGGAATTTTTACTATGACCACACTACAATGCAACGCAGCCACAGCAGCCTAGACAGCATGCAGGCTAAAACTCAGTCAAGTTATAGCAGGTTCAGCTTCCTGTACTAGCATTCAACTCAACCATGGTGTTGAACAGACCCAATAGTTCATTAAACATTTTTACTCCAAATGACCTGTAGAATATGCTCCGTCGATGGGGTAGGTTGTTCTCGTTTCGGACCACCGGTCAAGGTCATCCTCGACCGTCTAAATTAATTTCTCTACATAGTATTCTATCTGAGAACAGCGAACTCTGCAATCATTCTCATACAGGTATTTACATTATGTTTGTATTCTTTCTTTATTAATATATTATATTTATTCTTTGTTAACATTTGATTTGGTTATTTCTGTTTGGGTATTTCCGCCTTGCTGATTTCTTTGTCCTCCCCTGCTCGCCCTGTCCTGTGATCACGAGAACCTATATGCAACCTGAAGGATCCTCTGTAGGGTACTTTCGCTTCAAAAAGTGGTAGCAGAGCGTGGTTTCGTTCCAAAAAAGTGGTAGCAGAGCATGGTTTCGCTTCAAAAAAAGTGGTGCAAGGAAGAGGAGGAGATAAATGAGTGTATGCACTGCAAGACGGTTTAAATAAATCATGGATGCTCCTGAAATTTGGCCAATATGTTCTGGAACACACTATATATGCACATGTAAATTATTTTCGGTTTAACTCTGCTTCATCAGTATTGCAACAATAATACATGACTAGGGAAAAATCATTCGAGTATTCTATCTTATTTCATTTTTATAACATGTCTGTATCAATAAAACATCACATATATGATTCTGAACTACTTGTACTTAAATTTCAAATGGAAGTTTTTACTGAGTATGTTAATTTATTATGAATCTACAGGAGCAGGATAATCTGGAAGTGGTGTCGGAGTTGGAGGTTCTCGTACCAGTGCCAGAAGTTTCTCCAACTTCATTAGTTCAAGCTCCCTCTCAGTAAGGACTGGACCTTTCTTTGGTGGTTTCACTTTCTTACGGAGATTTGGTGACAGTTTGAGAGCAGTGATGCAACCTCTAAAAGTCAAGAGCGTCACTTTAACACACATAACAGGATTCAAAAGCTAAAGAAAATTGCAAGATTTTTTTAGCTGCTACAACATGCACGCATGTATGCACACACATGGAGATGGACAAGGACAAGGACACAGATACAGACACACATGGACACACAAATATACATACAAAGACATTTTTTTCAGGTCCCCAACAGGCAAGCGAACAGCTTTCATGAAGTGAGCTTATGTATTATGAACCATCACGTTGCTTTAATTCCTGCTTCTGTATTGTACTTCAACTGTGTACTAAGCATTCAATCAGTCATATTATTTCCTGTGTCAAAATTACAAGTGTGATACACAACTTGGCAAAGGAGTGTTAATGTACACACCAAAGTAAGAAAAGTGTTCTGCAGGAAAGGTAAGCAGAAGATTCTGGTGTAAATTTCAGGACCTGGCAGTTCCACACTAAGTCCTATTCAAAGAACTGTAAGTATATTAAGATAGACAGGAATGTTACTGGACAAAAGTGAATTAATGTGTTAGGTTCACTAAAGAGAAATTGGATGAACTCAGTGCTAGGCTTGAATATTCTCCTTGCAAAATAAAAAATAAAACAAATTGCAGCATCCCATACCAAAACATTCTTCTTACACAAAGAAATAAAAATTAACCATACTGTACCTGCAACATACATAAAAAAGACAATATCAATATCCATAAGACATCTTGCAAAGGAGATACAGGTTTCAAAATACTCGTAATTGGTAAGAACTTCCACAAAACTTATGAAACTGAAACCATTTTAGATGATAGTAGTGCACAGATTGCAACCATGTGATCCTACTATCAGAGTGAATTATTGTAATTGAAACCTTCAGTTGGTTCATGATGATCCAGTTGACCTTCACCTGAATTTCTTTTCATATGAGCCTTGGTTTCAGTTACATGGCTAGGCAGATTCACAGAACATCAGAACTTGAGTTCATATAATCCAACACACAAGGTTCCACTACATTAAAAAAATTGCTATATGTTGTGTGAGAAAAGACAGAATAAGTGGATCAATTTTCTTCAACAATACCATTAGTTTTATGGGGAAAAAAAAAGAGCACATAATCTGCCCCTATTGACCGCCCAACAGATTAAGAACACTGGTTTGCATTCTTCCAACAAGATTACACTACTGCTTATACACGAAGTGCATCCATGGGTACTGAGGAAAGTGTTTTTGGGACAGATTTATTTGTAGTGGTTTGTGGCCAGCGCATTTCCCTAACCTCAGCCTGTCTGATACAGGGAACAAGACAGCAAAACGTTTACACATCAAACCACAATGCAAATGAAAAACTGAAGAAAAACATAAGAAGGCAATTTGACTTTGTACCCCAAAGAGCACTTGAATGCAGAACAACCAGAAAATTCCCAGCATCTTCTACTGTCCTGGCAAGTTTAATCTGTAATGCGTTCAGGCTTCATGATTGTCAGTTTGCTAGCAATCTGAATCTCCACAGAAGGAGTGTCCAACTCTATCTGAGATTCTGTATTTCAGCATCCCATTGCAATTGTTCAAATTAGCGTCCATTGTTTATCTTCCATCAAAATTGCAACACTTTTACATTCTACACTTCAACACAACATGTTTCGGCCTCAAACGGCCATCTTCAGGTGTTTTTTATGTTACAGATATTTTACTAAAACTGTATTAAAAACTGCTACACTGTTTTAATTCGTGTTAAAATCACACACTGTAGTCTTCTTTTTAAGTAAAATGAGATAAAATTCTTTAAAATTTCTGTTGCATATTATTGCACCTCACCCGGGGTGTCATCATATTCGTAAATGTATCAAGGTGTTTTTCTTGGCAGTTTGCCCCTCACGTTCATGGTCTACTGAGAAGTTAAATGACTTTTGGAATGCTTGATAAAATCTCACTGTGAAAAATGTGGTGTTATATGTGATGTTAATTACAGAACAGTAGTTGAGAAGCAATGATGCAGACAATTAGTCTTCAGTCTCACTTACCTGTCATCTCCAACAATTATGATGGGAAGTTTATGGTTAAATGCTATGCGTGTCAATCTGTTCCGTTTCCTATTCACTACAGCTTGCACACAAATGGGCCTGTACTTGTTCACATTCAAGTCAAAGACATGAACTTTCCCATCATTTGTTACAGCAGCAAAAACAGTGCTAGAATAAGGGGCCCATTCCACATCTGCTATTTCACATCCCAAGTCAAACACAAAAAGTGGATCACTGGAAAAACAGGAAAAGAACTTTTGTAGATGGAGGGCACACTGAGCGAGTGGTACATAATGAAAATTACATATCTTGCAATACTGACACTAGTAACATAATTTCACATCCTAAAAGAGGCAGTTTAGTCCTTAAAAATTTTCTCTGGCCCACTACCTGGGATATATTTTTAATACTCATGTGTGGGAATTAAATTCACATTCCAAGAAAACAATTTCTGTTTTCATTTCTAAACTTTACCATTGATACTGAAATGATTCAATTAATTTCTATTGATTTATGGATCAAAGGGAAAAATCGGTTTATGATAAACATTAATAAATACAGGAAAAATACTGTAATATTTAGACACCCAACGTTTTCTTAAAATCCCCTCACTAATGTTCTGACGATTTTGGAGAAGATCTAGAAACAATACAAATATTTATTCCAGTTAATGTTGCCATTCTACAGTTCACTATAAATTCCAAAAAATTCTAACAACTAAATATTATTTTAGCAATAAGTATTACTCAAGAGTGATATATAAATAGACATGAGTGTAATTTGAAAATTATCTGCGTAATATTCCTGTTTTATTTCATCATTTGTCCCACTGCTAAACGGAATCACAAATGTCGTTTTATTGTAGTGACTTATTTGATCTTCACCATTCAGATGTCCTTGACCACTAGCAACACAACATGGCTGTTCCTCTTACCACATGCATCAAAGAAGAGCAGTGTGCAGTTATTCGTTTTTTGTGGGCTGAAAGTGTAAGAGGTGCTGAAATTCATGGAAGACTACCAGCAAGTACAATGACAGTTACACCTCAGTGAAGCATGTATGAATGGATAAATATGTTTTGAAATGACTGAAAAAGTGTCACTGATGAAAAGTGAACTGAATACTTGTCCACATCAACTACTGAAGGAGCAGTGACCAAGTCTGCACACTAATTCTTAGCAACAGAAGACTGATACTGATGAAGTGATAACCAACCGCAGATTAGACATTCACCAGACTTCACTCTCATAAAGTGTGGGCATGGTGGGTTCTAAAACAGCATGGAACAGTACAAGCATAACCATCAGAATATTTGTAACTGCTTTTTAACACTTTGCGGACCGCACACGCATTAATACGTTTTTCGCTTTTAAACGTGGCTGACCAGTCGCGTATTAGAACATGATAAATTGCAACACACTGCTCTGACACCACCCAGCTTGCACGTAGCTGCCTGCAGCTGCGTAATAAGCCTCTGGAATGTTTGCTGACTAATCAGTTATGTAACCTCGCTGTAACTGTATGCCCCTGCAAAAGAAAATTAATGCCTTTATTTCTTCAAGCTGTATGTTGCATGCTGTCAGTGAGTAGTGCAATATGCGAACATATAATCCTGGGAAACTTACAAAGTATGGCCTACTTGTTCATGTAGTTACTTAAAGCACTTCAGGCTATATTGGAAATTTAGAATTTTATCCTGGTGAAGGAAAGAAATTACAAGAAACTATTCTTTCCGTTTTGGAACCCTATCTTGATCAAAATTACCATTTCTATCAAGACAATTATTATAACAGTGTGGCAACTGCAGAATGCTTACTTTTGAGCAAAGTACATGTTTGTGGAACAATTAGGGTGAACAGAGGCCTTCCTCCAGACCTGAAAGAGGAATGTAAATGCCTGAAACATGTCCATGGTTTAAGCTGACCGTCTTACAGTGTATACACTTTTTCACCTTATTCTTCACTTCCACACTNTCCTATATGACGAATACAGATTTTAGTCATTTTAGAATAAAGACATTACGGCATGCAGTACAATAGTTTAACATGCATAGGGACACCTGAANTAAAATCTGTATCATCATATAGGACAATGAATTCTAAATAATAAAATTTTTCAGGATTCTTCCTACGTCTCACTCAAACACATGAATTACGCCAATCCTCTTTTATGTGAGCATTCTTCCTACATATATTTGTGTATTGTGTTCTGTGTTGTGTTTTGCTCCTGTTACTGCATGCGTTGTATTGCTTGATCTGTGTGTGTGTGTGTGTTTGAGTGCAACGTAGGAAGAATCCTGAAAAGTTTTATTATTTAGAATTCATCATCCTATATGACGAATACAGATTTTAGTCATTTTAGAATAAAGACATTACGGCATGCAGTACAATAGTTTAACATGCATAGGGACACCTGAAGATGGCACATTAGTGCTGAAATATGTAGTGCGGAAGTGAAGAATAAGGTGAAAAAGTGTATACACTGTAAGATGGTCAGCATAAACCATGGACATGAATCAGTGTAACAGGATGCTAAAATATAACACCTGAAACATGGTGAAACAACATTCAGGAGGAAGGGGGATATTCTTCTTCAGTCCTGAAGGGATACTCATGTTGTGAATATGATTTCCACAATTCACAATTCGATCATGGTTGATGTTCAAAGGAGACATGGACAGGTAAAGAAGCCTGTTTGTATTTCCGAATATAATATGTTCATGAAGGGAGTTGATAGAGTCGATCAGTACATGGCCTATTATTCTTCTTCTCGGAGAACAGTAAAGTGGTCAAAGAAAGTTGCCTTGTGGCTTATAAATTGTGCCATTTTCAATTCATTTTTGGTTTTCAAAGATATAAATCCTCATTTAAAATTGAAATACAAGGCATTTCTGCTGAATGTGGTAAAAGCCTGGGCTACGGACCACACGGTGGCGGCAGAATCAGCGGCAGACACAGTCTTAGTACAACTGGGCCCGTCTACTCCCACCCCACACAGGCCTCATGTGGACCCCTGGGCGACTCTCGGGTGATATGCGGAAACATACTNCTGTTTGTATTTCCGAATATAATATGTTCATGAAGGGAGTTGATAGAGTCGATCAGTACATGGCCTATTATTCTTCTTCTCGGAGAACAGTAAAGTGGTCAAAGAAAGTTGCCTTGTGGCTTATAAATTGTGCCATTTTCAATTCATTTTTGGTTTTCAAAGATATAAATCCTCATTTAAAATTGAAATACAAGGCATTTCTGCTGAATGTGGTGAAAGCCTGGGCTACGGACCACACGGTGGCGGCAGAATCAGCGGCAGACACAGTCTTAGTACAACTGGGCCCGTCTACTCCCACCCCACACAGGCCTCATGTGGACCCCTGGGCGACTCTCGGGTGATATGCGGAAACATACTCTTGTGAAAATTGTGAAGAGTGAACATTCCAAGGGGAAGAATACTTCTAGGCAATGCCGTGTTTGCGCAGTTCACAAAAAAAGGAGTATGTCTACATTTGCATGTTCTGTGTAATGCCACTTCACAAAGGGGAAAGTTTCCAAAAATATCACACCCTCAAGCACTTCTAGGAGCATTGGTAAGTGTTCTCCAAAAGTTTTAGTTCATAAAATTAATTAGGAGATTTTATATTAATTTTTAAAGTGAACAGTGCACAAGTTAGGGTAGTAGGTATAAAAATGCCGGTCCCCAGGGTGATTTAAATATTTAAATCGCTGGTCCGCAAAGTGTTAAGTGCTGTCATGAGAAAGATACATCTTCTTGAGTCACATTATCACTGCTGATGAAACTCACTTCCACCTCTATAAGCCAAGGGAACAAATGCTAGAGTATCACATTGAAATGCCTGACATCCCTTGTCAAGGAGAAGTTCAAATCTCAACTACCAGTGCGAAAAATTTTTTCTTTGATTTGCAGCAAAGGAGTCTAAAAGTAGACAATGCATTTTATGGTCGGATGCTGTGACAAGATGAAGCTTGTGATTTAGAGTACACACTATGAACAACTGCCATAGGCGATGCGTTATTGCATGACAATTTCTGTCCTTATACTGCTGCCCATACAGTTTAATTGCTCAGCAGTTACACTTCATAATTTTAGAATATTCACCATCCCTGGCCTTGCCCTGTCACATTATCATCTATTTTGACCCTCAGAGTTTCTTCAAGCGGCTGTTATTTTGTCAACATCCGTGAATTGAGAAAGACCATGCATACATGGCATGCCAAAATCCACCAACTGAAGGAGACTGATATTATGACTTGCCCCCGGGGGGGGGGAAGAAAGAAAGAAAAAAAGAAAAGAAAATGGCAATTATAAGCTTGTGCAGTGCTGGATGAAATATAAAATGGTTGACTTGTTGGATACCATCAACATTTCAGAGACTGGACTCTGTTTCTGTCCTCAGGTAAGAAGCCTCCTAAGTTGGGCCCAACTGTTAAGGCTAAACTCTTATCATCAGACACCAGAGCCAACATAAGGTAGGGTAGACAAATCAGACACAACATACATCATTTGCAGGCGTTAAGACAAAACTTTAAAACACCACATTAGACCTTGTGCCTGTGGGCTTGCATAATACAATGGCCAGAGACCAGAAGTTCAGAGACAGGCTACAATAGAAGCTGAAACCACTGAGTCAAGTTTTAAAAATGGCAACTATAGACATTATAAAATTCAATGGTATGACATAGTTTATCAATGTGTTCGATCACAGATAAGAAGAAGATGGAGAGAAATATATTCCACACACAAATGCAGATGATTAAAACTCAAGCAGATAAAATTTCCTATTTAGCAATGAGGACGTAGCAGCAAATAAACCCATGTCAAGTAGTGTGAAATAAATTAGACCCATGTACAGTATCAACATAACATGGCACATTTCCATATAATTTAACTGGTTGGAGTTGTAATTTTCTAACTTTCTCCTCATAGAATCCAGATGGGAGAGATATCCAACTAAGTTCCTCAATAGATGAGCTACCAGACACATGTGAGCTGATTCCTTATTCCCCATAGGAATATATTCAATATGCAATACCTTCATTTCTTTCAACCATACTCTTTGGGCTTCATATATTCACAGAAATAAGGAAAATGTTGCAGCCACAGAAATTAAAAAACAAACGCAGCACAGGCTGATGTGGCAACAAATAGAACTGAAAAAGCTCTCACTGTTGTTATTGCATTTTGTGAACTAATGTTAAATCTGCAGAATAAATCTGAATTCCAAATGTCATAGAATATCTAGACTCATGTCACAGTACCCCATTTGAGAACCGGTCATCAATAATTTGTCAGCAAAGATCTATGACATTCTGCAGTGTAAGAAGTTATTATTGTGTACAGGCAGGTCCAGCATGAATCTAAATACAATCTCAAGCAACAACAGTTCCCCCCTCCCTGACTAATAATCGATATTTCTTGGAATTTGATCATAACACAAAATCCCCACATGCTATGCTGAAAACTGTAACTCGTGTTGTAATTCTTAGAAATTTTATTTATATTGCTGCATAATATAACTGCCAATTATCATAATGTAAAAAAAATATTGTCAGAAATTAATTTCATGTAAAATGAAATCAGAGAAGTAGGCTGTGAAATGTGCTGGCCCTAAAATTGTGTCCCCCCCCCCCAGCAGCCACTTGGTTTGCTGGCTCTTTCCCACCAGCCCTGCATACATTTTAACAGAGCACAGATTTACTGCATTACCTAAAACATAAATATTGTGACATCTCACCTTCGTGTATCTTCCCATATTTTTGCTCTCCAGTCTGCACTGCATGAAATGAATATGTCAGGACAGAACTTATTATAATCCACTTTATATACAGGCATATGATGTGCTTCATATGTGGCCAAGTAAAGGGAGGCATATGCAGTGCTGCATTTGTAAACACTCCCTTCCTCTGTGCCAACCAAGAAGATAAGCCGTTCAGTCGGATGGAATGCAATGGTTGTCCCACATCCTGTAAGATACACCAGTGAACTGTAGTTTCAAGGAAACTAAGCATTATTAGAATTTACAGGTAAAAGATGTCTACTCAGGGATAAATGTGATGAACAGAAAACAGAAATAGCACCTTTCTTACTATAAAAGAAGCCAAGTGTCAGGTCAATTTAAGGACTGAAGATGTGCTAATGTGACAATCAAGGTAGTCATGCACCTCAGTAAGAGATAAGTAGAAATCTGCTTCAGTGTCATTTCATCCACCATGAATCTCACATGAAGTCACCCAGGCCCACTGTGAGAAACCAGCATCTAATTGCCTCAGCTATGGCAAAGACAGTCAAAGGTAGCTTATTCTTAAAAATATGTATTACAAATTGACAGTAATATGAATATAGGAAATATCTGTCTCTTGGTATATTACTTTGTTCCTATTTTGACTCTTCACCAGTATAAAACAACATATGATCCTCTTCTGTCGCCGTCTGCTTGTTTGTCTTCTTGTCCTTTGACATTCGTTTTCTCTAAAAATACATAAATAACTGAAATTTATGTTGTCATCTGTACTCCTAAAGACTGCCATAGTCGTAATAACTAAATTAAGATCTTCATATTATTAGTGCTTCTGTGAATGGCCATTTCAGAGACATGCAGCAGCACAGTATTTGTCCAGTGCAAGACATGTGATAATTAGAAACTCAAGAAGCACATCCCATCACAAGTTACATATCGGAGGAACAAAAAAAAGCAGGAAAAATATGGAATGTTCAAGCATATGAGTATAATCTATGCAGTGGTGGTAATTAGAGGAAATGGTTTTGGCAAAGATTGCCTCTAACAACAAAATCTTTCGGAAATATGTACCTCTTTTTTCCCTTCAACTGGCAATAAACATGATTACTGTTTAGTAACTTAGTGTAGACTCTAATTCGTTGCTACACAACAGATAGACATTTTTTCAGTTTCAATTTGATGAACCATAACAGCCAGTTGTTGAGTGATCTAGCCTTCAGGTACAAAATAAACTCTAACAAACATTTATAAATTTCACTTATAGCTATTACTTCAACATTACATTTTCAGCTTATGTACAATTTGTAATCTTCTCTTCTAGTAACACACACCTGCATGTTCTTCTGAATGATTTTAAATGAAATGAATGTGTGGAAACTCTGAAGTAAATAATTCCCATTCTCACTACATTTCCTACAAGTAGTTCCTCCACTGAATCAATCTTATGCATTAAATCTCGATTTCACTGAATATGCAAGCAATCAACAACAGTCACCCCCTCCCCTCACAAAGGTTGAGAAAGCAGTGCTGACTGAAGCATAGGCACTGCCTGGTAGTTCTTTCCCTAACTACTATGGACTTTTACATAAGGACAGATTAAAAACAGAATTGCAAGCCTTAGGCTTTTATACACACAGACTGCAAAAAGATGACCTATGTGACAAACCTGTCAGTGGAATTAATGTCCCATCAGGCCCAGGTATGGGATCAAAGGAAAAAAATAATGATATAATTAATGTCTGTGAAAGCTCATGTTGTGTAAGCACCCAGTTGTACACATTGCCATCTGCAGACACGGAGAAGAAGTTCACCTCACCATCAGGCATGTCAATTCCCCATCGAACCTGGATAACAAACGTTTACCATCAACTCAATTGTAAATAAGACTGTTCTACTCTTCAGACGTTATTCAGTTCAGTAGCTGACTCCCTGAATATATCGGTCTTAGGAGGCAAAGATTAATTTTTATCTTATTTCATTTTTTAGGGTTAGGTACCTGGCCTGCAAGGCCTCTTGCTTCAAAAATCACTACCTGAAATAAACATACTGCTTTCAACCATCACTGCCTATGGAGTACAAACCATACAATGACTTTCCACATAGTATTCGATAGTATTCACGGACGTTTTCTGCAGTGGCAAAAACATATGATACTGCATATCATTGCATACTGTCAGAATGATTAAATCATGCAGGATGAAATCAGCAATACATATAGCATGCATGGAATGAAAGAAAGAGAGAAATTTCTGCACCTGTTAGAATCAGGCCAAAATCATCATGCTGGGGTCAGGGTAGAGGCAAACTCATGCACATCACTTTCTAGATGGTGCAATCCAAAAGTTCCCAAAATATTTTAATAAAAACTATTATGTCTTACCTGGATCTTATTCTGCACCGTCACCTTCAAAGTAGTCCCCTTGGGAGCACATACGCCGATCCCAGCGTTTCAGCCACTTTTGAAATGCATCCTGGAAGTCTTTCTTTGTTAGGGTGTTTAGTACTGTCTACGTTTCAGCTTGAATTTCCTTAACTCTATCAAATCTTCACCCCCTTCAACTTGATTTTCATCTTGGGGAAGAGAAAGAAGTCGCATGGAGCTAAGTCTGGCAAATACGGTGGGTGGGGAACAACTGCCATCTTGTTTTTAGCCAAAAATTCCTGCACAATGTAAGCTGTATGCAGTGGAGTGTTGTCATGGTGGAGTACCCAGTCGTTTGTGCGCCACTTCTCTAGACGTTTTCTCCTCATGTCCTCCCTCAAACGCCTTAGAACATCGGATAGAACTCTTTATTGACTGTCTGACCAGGAGGGGTGAACTCTTATGAAAAATCCCATCAATATAAAAAAACAGATCAACATGGACTTATTGTTGCTCTTCACTTATCGAGCTTTTTTTTTTTTGGCTGGGGTGAAGAAGGGCTCTTCCATTGTGATGATTGCTGCTTACTTTCAGGGTCATAGCCATAAACCCAACTTTCATCACCAGTGACAACCTTCAAAAGAAAGTTTGGATCCTCTTGAAGCTGTTGTTGAGGTTCCCTGCAGACTTCCAAGCGATGCTGCTTCTGTTCATTTTACAGCACTCATGCCACAAACTTTGCTGCGATCCTCCTCGTGTTCAGTTCCTCTGACAAAATTCGTTGACATGTACCATAACTTTCTTTATTGCTAGTGGGGTGGGACTAAGGCCCTTGTACTGCGGCCACTTCTGGCCTATTGTACCAGCCCCAGATTTGTGAGGGTGATTGTGGAGCAATTGGTGGAATGAAGATTGGCAGGGGAAACCGAAGTACTCGGAGAAAAACTGCCCCAGCGCCACTTTGTTCACCACAATTCCCACTTGACCAGATCTGGGATCGAGCCCGTGCCGCCGCAGTGGGAAACCAGCAACTAACCGCTTGAGCTATGGTGTGGCCCTGTACCATAACTTAGTCCCAAGGTGTTACAGAGGTCTTGGATGGTCAGTCTACAATCTTGCAGAATCAGATCCTTAACTTTTGCGACATTTTCTGGTGTGGTGCCAGTTGACGGCCGTCCCGAACGATCATCATCAGCTGATGTTCGGCCATTTTTGAAATGTTTATACCAGTCGTAAGTTTGTGCTGGCCTAAACTGTTTTCACCAAAAGCTTGCTTCAACATTTGGTGCGTTTCTGCAGCGGTTTTCCCAAGTTTGAAACAAAACTTTATATGGACACACTGCTCTCTCAGGTCAGCCATCCCAAAACTGCAAACTCACGGAAACACAACAATGGAAATACGTTCACCAACAATAAACCCAACCACTCAACTCGACGCCGCTTTCCATACTGATTCAAGAAGAGTGTGTGGGGAGACACCTAGCGGTATTTCGATGTACTCATAACCATTCACACGCGAAATTCAAATTTCAGGAACTTTTGGATTGCACCACATATATGTGCAGACAAATTTCTACCCATGTTAACCATTTCTGATCCCTGTTCTGAAATCATGCACCAGCTTTCCCTGTTATTTTATAAAATGAAGAAATATTTTATATATCTTCACAAAACCTTGAATAACTTTTGAACCACATAACACATTTTAATTAAATTTTCAGCATTTATCTGAATATTATAACATATACACAGTCACAATTCTGGCTTTCTGGATGACTCAGTTCTCTGCCTCTAGGTCCTTCTTTCGATTATACTGCAGGAAGCAGCCTATTCTGAATATAAGTCATAATTTTTTTTTCCTTAATCTATGTTTCACTTGTGGCCTTATTTTTAAAACGGACCAGAAACACTATAAACATATTTAGCTGTATTAGGTCCAAAAAATTAATAAGTTAANTCGATTATACTGCAGGAAGCAGCCTATTCTGAATAGAAGTCATAATTTATATTCTTTTTCTTTAATCTATGCTTCACATGTGGCCTTATTTTTAAAACAGACCAGAAACACTATAAACATGTTTAGCTCTATTAGGTCCAAAAAATTAATAAGTTAACCAAAACACGGCAAGAGATGTTTGAGGGCACGTTCATGCACTCTGACTGTCAGGTGTTATCAGTTCTGATTTCCTGTACTCAGATCACCTACCAATAGTATTCCATATACTGGATCACGTTAAAACAAAGACTTTTCAGAATCAGAAGAAAAATTCACGGATTGGGAGCAGTTTCAGGGCCTAGCCTCTAACTTAGTATCACCTAGAATTGATATTAACACACAGGAAAAAGCCGAAAAAAGCTGCATGCCACTTTACAACCTCTATAGCTTTGGCATATAGGATATTGAGAAGTAAAGTTATGCGTTTGGACAATAGCCACAGTCTAACAGGATTAGATCATTTGTTAAATACAAGCAGAGACTATGAAAACTGGCAAGAAACTGGGGACCCAGGTTGTAAAACAGCAGGGAAAATGAAAAGAAAGAACTGTGAGGTCACACCTTAGGCTGTATGGCCTATTGAGAAGTCTCTCATAAAGAGGGACCAAAGGCACCAACAGATATTCATGGTGTGTTAGGCCTTAAACATTAACCTCTAGAGAAAGCCACAATGACAGCCAACTGTTTAGAATATCAATTCACACCACATGACTTTTGTGACAAAAACCTTTAATGGTGGGTGCAGGCCAGAGTTCAATCACTGATTGAAGCTGCAGACAACACCTCCTTGGAAAAAGTAAGACCCTGTGATATACAGAAAGTAATAAAATCATTGAAATTACACATAGTACATAGTACATTAAATTCAACCCAGGAGTAATTCAGAAACTCATGTATACATTAATGTGGTCCACCTTACAAGACCAAGTAATGGGTTGGCAACATTGCATACAATGGCCCAAAGTCAGTTAACTGATTAATAAAACATATACTAAAAAAGTTAGAAATTTATTTATTATTGTAGTTAATCAAAACTGTTCAAAATGAGAGCCAACATGCTCAATGCACAACTCACAATGTTGTCATACTGTTCTATGAATTGAGTGGCAGGTATAAATCTGAACTTTTCTGTTAATATGACAGAAAGTTTTATGTTAACCGACTTCTGGGCCACTCTATATAATAATTACCTTTATGAAGTTGCACTTCTATGAACATTCTGTGGTCCAAGATAGATTCTTCTTTTACAGGATTCACACTATATTACACATAGACTATGTTATAGCTGTACTGCTGTTCTTGTATTACCTGCCAAACAACACCACAATGTTTATTGGTCACTGAGTTGCTTTCACACTGTGGCAGCTTTCCAGGTGAATGCACATCATAGACAGCCACACTGCCATCATACTTTCCAATGCAAACAAGAGCGGGATGTGTGGGGTGTATATCAACACACATCACTCCAGTTTCTGTGCTGCAAACATATTCCGGAAATGAAGGATTCTTCAACGTGAACAGGCACATTGCGCCCTCAGGCTGAGGCTTCATGAAGTCAACTACAAAGTACCAACAGATATGAATGTATGATACTCAAGACATACTGGAATCTATTCACTCTAGCTACTTACTGTGGCACATTAAATATGAACAGGAAAGTGCTGCCTTCTGGGATGAGACACTGTGTAATCTTGTAGAAGCTTAGAAACATTCTGGAACAATTTGCTGCCTCCATCTGCAGGGAAAAAGAGTGAGCTGAGTGCAGAGGAAAGTGATATAAATGCAGGGTGAGTTATGGCCAGACTATGAGCCATGGGTAAATCAACAGGAGTATAGGAAACAGAAGGAAATCTGTGAACTTTTTTATTTTTCCTGTCCTCCTCACTCCATCTGGTTCACTCAGAGCTTGAATCCTAACCATCCCTCTCCCTGTATCTGTACCATTTTTTCTCCCATGCTCAGCTTACTCTTCTACCTTAGAGATGAAGGCTGCATATTTCTCCAAAACTCTGGTAAACTTTTATCAGACTGTGTCACATCCCACAATACTGTGACCATTGTACTTACTGCCATTAGAACCCAAACCTCTCAGTGAGAGGAGAATATGATGTTTATGCACTTTTACTCTCAAAGCCACCATATTTCTGTTTCCTCAAACTGGCTTGTAATGGATTTGTACTGTAGCATCATGTTTAGCTGTATTTCCAGTTGAACTTATTTCAAAAAGTTTGTGATGATGGTATATTAAAACAATAATGGTGTTTCTGGAAATTATCCATCAGCCTGATTTTATTTAAAACACACAGTGTTTAATATACTTGATTCTGTCTGCGTCTTTCGATGGAACCTATGCAATTGGTTCCAATCTTTAGAGCTAGTCCGAATATCTGGAAACCAGCACCAACACAAGACAGGGTATACTACTACAGTCAATAATTTCGTGGACTGTGGTTTTGTCAGACCATATTATGAGATACTCACATATGCTTACCCATATCCACATCCTCCCTAAAATAATCATCATTGGCCACTATGCAAGTCTGCCAATGTTGTTATAGCTGCTAAAAACATTACTGAAAGATATTTGCAGGAAGGTCCCATATGGCCTCCCATGTGGCAGTGATGATCTCCTTGGCTGACTGAAATTGAGGCCCATACAGCTCTTCTTTCAAGTGGGGAAAGAAAAAGAAAATGCATTGTGTGAAATCAGGTATGAAGGGTGTGACAAAATTGTGACCTGTTGTTTGGCCAGCTCCTCTTGGACAATAGCCAGTTCTTCCCGCACCAAAGCTCAGCTTACGACAAATTGAATTGTGCAGATGGCAAAGGATCTCCATGTAGTGGTGCTTGTTTACAGTCACTCCTTCTGGGATGAATTCCATGTGAACAATTCCTGATGATGAGTTGAGAAACAGTTCAAGCATTACCTTGTATTTTGACCTGTCCTGTCACAGTTCCTCCTTTGTTGGCAATGATGGCAATTTCCAGGTGGCTGATTGTCACTTCAGTTGTGGACCATACAGAAAACACCATGTGTGATCTGTTATGTTCTGGTTGAGAAACATCCCATGTTTGTCAGCACTATCGATCAGGTCACCACATATGCTCCTGCAGTTGTCCACCAAATGAAAACTTATACAAGGAAAAGAAAAGCTGGGCATGATCGATAGAGTGGAACACAATGACTCAAAAGGTTTGGAGGGGGGGGGAGATAGAGAGAGAGGACATGCAAATATAGCAATTGCATCAGCTGCCTCCATTTTTCCTCATTATCTTCTACATTTTCATGCACCTGGCAATATTTGTATGCACACTGATTGCTGATACCACACCATTTGAGCTTGTCCCTCCTCATTTTTGCCAGGCCCCATCTGATGTTGCTGTGAGATGAGAAGACCCTTCCATTACACACCACAGCCTTTTACTACATGACACATTAAATTTATAACATTATTTTACTACTTTGTAAGTCTGGAAGTTGGAAGGTGGCTTTGATATGTTCATGACAACACATAATGTTTTACATGATACCTGACCCTTACCAATGTACCACAGTCCTTATACAACTCATACCTTATTCTCATATACATTCTTAGTGTCTTCATATGCATCACACATTGTACATAACAATACTAGTTTAGATGCCGAACCTACCTTTTCTCTGTGGAAACTCAAAGTATTCTATACTACATATTATTGACATTACAATATTTAGAATGTACATAGCTATTCACAAGAAGCTGGGATAGCGTAGTCAGTATAGCTACTGCCTATGGGTTGGATGACAAAGGGGTAGGAGTTGAAGTCCCGGTGGGGGTAAGAATTTTCACTTCTCACAGTCATCCAGACCAGTTCTGGGTTCCACCCAACCTCCTATCCAGTGGATAATGGGGGCTCTTTCCCCGGGGGTAAAGTGGCCAGTGCATGAAACTGACCACTCATTTCCAACTGGTGCCAAGGTCAAGAAAATGTAGAGCTATACATCCACTTCCCTATATGTCTTCATGGCATGGTGCTTAATTAATTAAGTAGAGGGACAACTTTACCTTTTTACATTTACCATAGCTATTCAGAGCATTTTAAAGAAGGTCTACTAAATTATGACTTCAATTTGTGACTTCAGACTTGCATACAGAACTGTAATTCTCACTGAACACTTCTTTACTTGAACATAACTTTTTGATATAAGTACTTCCACCAGATGAAACAGGTGCATTGCAGCAAGAAGCTACATGTGTATTATCTAAGCAAACACTTTCTTCACTATCAGAAATAATATTCCTTGCATCATGCAACTTATTTCCAGTGTACTTACAATTATAGCTTTTCAACTACCAGAACCTCCTGGTCTGTTCTTGAAAAATCTATTCTCTTGACATAAGGAAAGGTTGTATGTATAATTTTACACAGTGCAAACATACACATGCTTCTCAGTGACAAAGACAGAAAAATCAAGGGAACACCAGGGCACTTAACAGTGCTGCCACTGTAGACATTTCTCTACCCAGTAAAGAATTTTCCTTCAGCCCTCAGGAATTACAAAATATTTAGTTATTGTTAGCACAAGATGTATAACTGAAAAGGGGGCATGTCACCAGCTATAACTTGACATTTATATAGACTCTTAATGCCATCATGTGAAGTTCTCATACCATAAAACACCACATTATCACAAAGGAGACTGTTCACTATCAAAATTAATTACAAAATTCAAAACTGATATTTCTTACCCAAACTATCTTACCACCTCCCAAGAACATGATGCTACAATACAATATCCCATTTAAGAAACAGAACATTTACCTCTTTCTAATCCTAATTTGTATATTTATCCTATAGTAAAATTTGTCAAGCAAGTGACATTTTGAACTTTACTCTATCATAGTTGCTAACATTGTTATTACTGATATGAAATACTGTTATCACTTACAACAGCCAAAGGCCACAGCAAAGAGATCATAGTAGCAAGGATTCCACACCAAGGCTGTCACACTATTCTTCTTTGTTTTTTCATATACAAATTTCCAGAGAGGTAGCAGTGTTCCTTCCTCATCTCGGTACTCATCTGATGGATCTTCCCAGTATCTGTAATCTGTCAATTTATTATCGATATCTGTCAAAGATATATGAGTATAAATAAATTATATATTTGACAAAGGGATACAAATAAAAGTGCCAGAGAAGAAGTCCCTAGGAACCCTTAAATTTTATATTACTAGAATTCATCCACAGTATAAACATTCTTAATAGAATCAAAGTGAGGACAAAATATAAACAAAATGTTCCCTTAATATTTCACTTGAGAATCCTAGAGGGACCCCACATCATCAAACAGAAAATCTGTATGTGTGATACTTAATGTCAGCAAAAATATAATTTCTTTGCCAAATACATATTTGAGCCATTTCACAATTGAGAATTAGGTATAATTAATTGTGAATACATGTGAGGGTGTGTGCGTGTATGCATGTGTAACTTTTCCTATGGGAGGGAGGCAGAAAATTATGACCGGTGCTGGAAACGAGACGAAAGACCTCTGAGAGGCATACAGGAACCAGCGAGAAAGTCTGAATACCTACCAAGAAACAAAGCGGAGGCAGACAGGATGGCCAACCAGTGAGAAACAAACAGGTGCTACAAAAAAGGGGGGACACCAATGTACTCATTAAGGCCCCAACACCATGCCCTGTCATAACAGAAAGGGCAGAGCCTAGTCACACAGGGCTGGGTTGGTGACAAATCATGCCTCGTGACCGTCATCTGCAGGGTGTATATTGACTGCAGCTAGGCCCAACAGTGCCGGCAGATGCCCTGAGAGACAACCGAACCTATGCTAGGTGCTGCAGATGGTATATGGTGAAGCCCTCCCTGTTTTGAAGGATGCTTTTCTGACACTGACCCTGGGGCAGCACCACTGAAAATTTGCATATCTGTTGCCAATATCACAAATGATTTCATCTCGGGGCTGGATATCCTGTGCACATACAATGCATCTGTGGAATTAGGGGGCCAAATGCTGCATTTTGCAGAGGAAGCATTAATGTTATGAAGCCCTGGGGCGGGGCTGGGCCTTCCAACCTGGTAGTGACCAACTGATGCCACATAAAAACAGCAGTTCATAAAGCATCACAAAATAAATGAAGAATTGTATTTACATCTATATATACCTAGTTGAGTGTTCAAACATGTATTTTTTAATGATCTTCTGAAGTTATGGTATAAAGAAAGTGGCCTCCGTAGTCTAGAGGTAACATTCCCACCTCATGACTCGTAGTACGCGGGTTCAAATACCTGGCGGAGGTCGTCGAATTTTTAAGGGTGGAAAAATTCAGGGAACAAGTCCTCCGGGAGGAACTTTAAGCCATGGGTCCCGTGTTGTAGCTTTACGGCACGTAAAAGAACCTCATATCTCCAAAGGAGGTCACTGAGCCAAATTACGGACGTTTCCCACCCAACAGCAGTCTCTAATACCTCTGGTAGATGGGGGAAGCATTATAGATACCTCTCAGCTAGTAGAGCCGGTCTCGCTGGCTGGGCGGGACTGATGGTAAGCACTAACTAACTATGGTATAAAGAAAACCAAATTTTCTTTACATTATACCATTTCTCATTTCTCCAATTTTACATTTACTTTAGACAGTCTCTTAAAGTGTAAAATTGAAGTATCACTATACACACACTCCAAACTGTTAAACAAAATACTCGGTGTGATCAGGCAACTGGGTGACACCTCTGCATTATGAGAGGGGTACAACACTGCTTGCTAGTGCCACAGTTCTAGTACTGTGCAACTCAGCATCATAGGTAACATTCCATCAAGTGGCCTGTGCTTATTATAATTTTCCTCATAAGTTGTATGCTGAACAATTATGAGAAATGATTACGATAATCTATCCAGTTCCCAAATTATTACATGTTTCACTTCACTAACCTTGTGCAATTTCATCAAATGTGTTTTGATTTATCATTCTTTCAAGAGTTTTAATTGCAAGAAGAGTACGGTTGGAGATATCTGCTGTTGCTTGAAGATCCTTTCTCTTGGCTTCAGGTTTCTGATTTGGAACAACTTTATCTTTCTTTTCTTTCTCTTTCTCCCGCTGTTGCACTTCAAAATCTTGCTGGTATGCATCATAAATTATCCACTGCATGACTTGTCCTGCGAAGTTAGCTCGTGGGGGAGGCACAGTTTGTGTTTCAAGATTCTGAAAATAAATTAATCTTGAGTGTTTAAAACAAAAATTGAAAGAAGTAATCTGATTTAAATTATACTTATTTCTCACATGTTTTCTTTGCAAATTTGTAAACCTCACTGGTTCATTTACTGCACCTATTGTTGAAAAAATAATTATATTACAGACATCACAATGTGCAGCCTCATATTATTGTATTTCTCCTTCTATTTTGTTAAATATTCGCAATATCAAAAAGTGTTTTTTATACATAAGAAGACCTCATCAGTCTTTGACATGATGAACATTCAACCCAATACGTGCAACAGTATTTTATGATCGTGTAGTGAGACTAGCTCTGTAAGAACACATGCAGGTCATTGTCAATGCCTGAAATGATTTCCACCAGCCACTGTGTTCATGATTTCTGTATGAACAATGGTGAACAGAAGAACTGCCAGTGAGGCAGAAAAACACATGAGAGTTACAATAATTTATTTTTATCACAAATAAGTAAACACTTATGCTGTGAGGAACAAAAAACTGTAAAGAACGCATGTAGGAAATATGTGTACAACAGTTTAGAATACTTACTCATGACTGTGGAAACAACTTACACTGTGACTAGATCTAGCCGTAATTTGTACTAAAACTTACCCTGAATGGATTATTGTATGTAAGCGCTCCTCGTTCACAAAAATTGAACTGGTTGGTGAGCTTCTTTGCACCTGATTTTATAAAATGAGCAGACCCTCCAGGCGCTTGTTTTGTTGGCACTGCTGATACTACTTCTGCTTCCTCTTCACCTTCACCTTCACCTTCTCCTCCTCCTCCTCCTCCTCCTCCCTCTCCTTGTTTATCTTCTCCTTCTTTAGCAATCTCATTTTCATCTTCTTTTCCCTCATACTCTATTTCTGTATTCTCTTTCTCTGCATTTTCATCCTCTAAAATAATTTCATTCAATTCTTCAGAATTTCTTTTCATGCTTTTGTCTTGATCTTCAACTTTAAAATGAAAAAGCATTCCACATCATATATCCCCAGTATCAACATATTCAATGACCTTGTTGTATCATACCAGGCAGTGCTTTATTAAACCATGCCAAGATAACAGAAACAATTGATATAACTGTGTTCTGACTAGGGACTGTGTTTTCCATGTTCACAATCCAATCATAACATAAAATATAAAAAATAAAATCTAATTTAGCATTTTTCATGATAACAACAACTGACAATAGATTATTGGCAGATATGTAAGGGCAGAATTAGTACTATTTACAATGGGCATGTGTACACTAATAATCTCACACAGCAGTAGTACAGTTGTATTGTACAGAGAGATATGAAAACCCACTGAGGCTTATTACAAAACAAATAAACAAACGACATAAACCAGGTCTTCCACACAAAACTCATAAAGCCTACTTTCATACTGCTGACTTCCAGCCCTATGAATCTTTCATTCTTAAAGTCTTATTTAGGCAAGATGTCATGCTCTGAGCGAATCAAAATTTTAAAGCTATCAAATGTAAATATGTTACAGAAACTACTGCTATTGCTAATGCGGTTGCTAATGCTACTATTACCGCCACCACCACTACTACTGCTGCTACTACTACTGCTGCTGCTGCTCCTACTACTACTACTACTAATTATCACTACCACTCTTTCCAACGTGGCATCAACTCTAATGTCATTGTATAAAACTGGAACAACTATAGTGAATTTATAAATGGTACCTAAAACATTTTATATGTATACATACAGTCCAAATTTCCTTCCAACTGGAATTTTGCTTCATCTGAGTCCTTACACAGGATGGTACCTTCAATTTCCAAGAGCAATATTGTTTGTGTAACTGGTGGTACAGGTGTAAAGCGACCTTCCTTAAAACTGAATTCAACAATATTAGAAGGAATTTGAGGATTTTGCATTGTAAGTACTCGAGTAATTTCCTCCTTCAGGTCCTGTACATAAAGAAAATATGCATTAATGGTGCTTAACCTTAATTTAGTACTCTCACTTCACTGTCTCTGTGCAACTTCATCCATATATAAAATTAACACTTCTTTGTCACCTTCTATTTTTTATTTAACACTACATGTTTCGGCCTAACTGACCATCATCAGGGGTATAAGATTGTAGATGAAAAATGCTGCTGTTGTTATGCTGTTGTATTTTACATTTTACAAGTAATGTAAAATGCTCATAAAATATTTTATTTTAAGTTTTTCTTTAGATTATCATGCCGGTGTTACTTTTGTTGTTCATACGTGTTGTGGGTCTGGTTATCTGTATTGTGTTAACAGTGGGTTATATCAGTGTTCTATTTAAGAGATATGCTGTTATTCTATCTGTGTGAATGTAATGTTAGCTAAGAGTTTTGGTGTGCAGGTTTCTTTCCTTTGTACTGTGTGTAGCTGTTCTGGTTATTTCATGTACTAGTTCTGGTTTTATAAAAGGGGGCAGGTTGTGTATGCTGCTAAAGCAAGTGTCACGTAACTTTAAACAAGGCCAAGAGTAATCTTGAATGCACAGAAGAAAAATTTCAGACAAGGGGGTGGGTTCAACGGTGTGAGAAGTGACAGGCGGCCTTTGAACCCACCCCCTTGTCTGAAATTTTTCTTCTGCCAATTCAAGGTTTAAGTAATTTTTATTGATTTTATGTACAGTCTGGCATGTACACGATCATGAAATTAGTGACTGTACAACAGCCGCTGCTAGGTATAGCCCTGTCAACAGACACAAATGCAACAATTCCACGGCAACAATCGCACTGCAACAGAGGAGCAGTGTTTTCTACACTGTTCATGTGGAGCTGTTATAAGTAGGTCAAGTGAGGAGTTAGTGAAGAGTTGGTTGGCAAGTTGGTCAGTTGGTGAGTTAGTGAGAGGACTGTTGTGGTTGCTGTTAGAAGCTGGTAGCTGAGGCTGGGGACAGTTCAGAAACCCAGAGGAAGGGGAATGCCCACCATTGAAAACCTCAATCAAGAAACGGCTAATAGAGACTGTAACAGATTGAGAACAGTAGTTTGTGTGTGACAGTGATTTGTAAATTGTAGTCACAGGTTGTGTGTTAGAGTGTTCAATATATCTAATTACTAACCCAAACTCGGTCTATTGGCACTCCATACACATGACAATTTGGCAATTTTTCCAAAGTGTTCAAGTATTTTACTTTTTTATGTGGTCTTATAATGTCCACTGTATCTGTTATCACTCCATATGTATGCCCCATATTTAATATGTTCACTTTGACAATATTTAGCGTGAAGCAGTTTGGGACATATTCTCGCCAATTTAAATATATTAAACTTATCATATGAAATAAAATATCACATCATTTTGAACAGGACCAGAATAGAAGTTTACTTTGATTGTTACAAAACCTTAGAAGAGTAAGTATACTTTGATGTATTGGTTTATTTCTTATATGTTTATCTTGTGCTTAATTAAACACCACACAATGAAGATGTGTGAGCAAGCAGAGGCAAAATTCAACACATTTTTAACCTTGTCAATAGATGGAGGTGAGTGGTCATGCCTTGGATACTTAACTCCATGAGAAAATACCCATAATACCTATTAGATAGCAGGCTGTGTGAGCCACAGATGTAACCTGAATGCTGTGGAGAAGAGAAAAATCTCTTGCTCCTGTCAGGAATCAATCTCCTAACTCCTTAGTTTTCCAGCCATTAGCCTACTCACTATACTGACTGAACTACTGTTTCCACTGAAATGTAGGTTCCATACAATTTTTGACATAGTTTGGATTCCAGAATGACAATATTATCCACTGCACACCACTGCATATCACAAAAGCAATGTTGTTCCTGTACTTAATCAAGCACTGCACTATGTTGGCACTATGTTGAGTGGAAGCATAGCTTCACACATGCTTCAACTTGGCACTAGTTAGAGGTGAATGATCAGTTTCCATACCCTGGCAGTTTTCCTAATGGGGAAAGGACACCTAATACCCATTACCCAGGAGGTTGGGTGATCCTCAGTGACTTCAATGCTGTACAGAAGAGATAAATCTCTTGCACCAAACAAAAATGAAATCCAGGTCTTTCACTCATCCAGTCTGTAGATTAGATGCTATACCAACTGAGCTCTCCCAGCCCACGTGTAATTAATAAGCTTTCACACAACAGAAACATAGTTCTACCTGTTCGTTGAGTTCCACCTGGTCTTCAGGTCTGATCATCTGCTTTGTTTTCATCCACGAGTCCAATTCATCCGTTACTGCTATATCAGATGTGGTCTTCCCCGAACCACCTTTACCTTTCACCACCTTTAGTGAAGTCTGAAAAGGCAATATCAAAAGTACTTACATTTAACTTTAATTTGCAACATTATGAGTAGTTGGCCTCATGAAGAAATGTCTGCTTGTGAGAAACAATACAGGTAAAATCAAATTCATTTCATTCTGATATAATGTCTTCATTTGTAAATTATCACATCTAATATGGACTCCACCTAACTGAAATATATATATTGCAGAATTAGTGCAGTTCCATTGAGCCAAAGTCAAGAAGTATCCTGTTCTTGACTGGCTAAAAGGAAGCTGAAAGTGAAGGTTTCACTTCCTCGTTACTTCACGTGGAGTCACTGCTATTATAACATGATTGGCTGGATGAAGTTGACCCTGTGCCCACGAACTATTCCACATGATATATGAGGTACGAGGCAGCAGAACTTCATACATTCTAGATCAGTTGTAGTGCCAACGCCCATTGGGCTGGACATAGCTAGCAACAGTGGATAATGAAGTGGACCACATCGTGCTAGTCAGTCAGATGGGGATACTCTTATGTCGAGAGAGCTCATCTGAGTGAAAACAGCAGCAATGAGTCTCCTAGCAGCAACACCATTAGGCGAATCTGAGAGCAGTCACATAGACCCAGTGGGAAGTCCACCTCCAGAGCTTTCCACCCTACAGCCAGCTCGCTGCTACTTTGAAAACCATAAAAATATAACTTCTGAATATATTGGTGCAATAAATAACTGGTAAATTCATTTTATTAGCTTTGATGTGAGCATAAAATGGGTTCTGTGTCTTAATTTGGGCAGAAGTAATGCCACTTTTTCTGCAGCTTGTGAACAAAACACACTGTTGACAGATTTTCCAAAATCTTGTGGCCATGGAGCAGAAAAGTTTTGCAGGAATACTTACCTTACAAAATATCATTCAGTTCTGAAGTCAGGCTGTGGCCTATATTCATCTGACATGGAGAGACCCAGTTATGCAATTTGTCCATTGGCAGTACTGTTGTTACAAGATATTCAGCCAGTAATGCCTAAGGTATGAGCTAGTCAGCCATCTTCTCAATAACCCTACACATTTTTGCTTCCCTAATACATTAACATGCATTGAGAGCTAGCACTTGACATTTTGAAGCTCAAAGTATGAAAATTAATGTTCCCAAGTCATCAGCTCTTATTGAAATTAAATTTGTATTGTACGTATTAAAGATAAGCAGCGACACACACAGAGAGCGCCTACACTGAACAACACATGAACAACGATAAAAACAAGAAGTGGCCGCTGCAGCACCGTAGATATAGGGCATGTACCCTGAAAAAATTTTAACTAAAAATTTGAAAAAGAAAGAACAGAGATCTTATAGACATTTTAACTTGAATTAAGTTTTAAAAAGTGCTAATTTAAAAATCAAATCGACGCGTGTAGATTAACAAAGATTTTATACAATTAGAAAGACTGGTAATTTTAAATTTTAACAAGCAGTGTAACAGCTACGTGAGTGATACACACCTGATGATGGCCATTTAGGGCCGAAACATGTAGTGTGGAGGAGGAAAAGAAGTAAAAACTACAATAAAATTTGTTGCACTTAAGACGGTATTTATCCATATATATTGTATTGTACTAGTTAGAGCCCAGAATATAGTGATTTTGTGGAATGAATACAGCCAAGTCCATTATTTCTGTCGACAACGGCCATAAGGCTTTGAAAATACAGGATCAAATAAAAATAATTTCACTTACAACTTTTGCTGTTCCACTTCCTACTCCCTGGGTCTTCTTTGGTGGCATATTTAGAATTTATTTTATTGCTAAGATATGAGGCTTGTGATTATAATAATTTAAAATATAAATTGGTAGTCACAAAAAACTGCTTCGAACAGTAACATTCGAAAACATGTATGCAACCCGGTTTGTTTATCGTTGTTATAGCAACAGTCACGGNGGGGGGGGGGGGGGAGCCAAGTTATTATATCCTCCTGAAAGATGTGAGGGAAATGATACTGAACACAATTAATAGAAAGGATATGGGGACTAAGAACCTCTGCAGGACAAGAGATCTGGTTGCAAAATTATTTACTACTATTCTTACAAACGTCTTCCTTGGTGGGGAGAGGAGCATACAAGAGCAGCTCCTATGTTAGCATACCTTTTTACCGATTGTGCTCTCGGCGCTGGCGGCAATTTTGTACCTCGCTACCAAGACCCGTTATATGGATCGCATCATTAGGGAGGCCATTGAGATTGAACTCCATCCCGACGATCCCGACAGTACGAACAGAGAGGCAGGGTTTTATCTCGGCAAGTCATGGAAGCCTCTCATCTGTTCCCTCCAGTAACATCCGAAATGAGGCCAACTCTATAGGCCACTCAGATCCTTCGCAGCCCCCGAGCTACAGGGTTAATGCCCTGTAATGACAGTACGAACAGAGAGGCAGGGTTTTATCTCGGCAAGTCATGGAAGCCTCTCATCTGTTCCCTCCAGTAACATCCGAAATGAGGCCAACTCTATAGGCCACTCAGATCCTTCGCAGCCCCCGAGCTACAGGGTTAATGCCCTCCATTTAACCTTCCCTTTTCTCCCCCTAACACATACTCAATACGCTCAATACTAGCTCTGTCCCACTACCTGCTGGCTATTCCACCAGACCCTTCTCCACCCCTCACAACTATTTCCTATGTAGCCACACTCACTTCCTCTCACTTCTCTCCTTCTCATATACAGCTGTGTTAACTGGACTGGACTCAGCCTGTTGCACCTGCTCTGCTGGTTCGCTCGCAGATTTCTTCTTGTCTTCTACCCTGAAGATGCAGGCGATACGTTCCTCCGAAACGTCCGTTAACACAATTTCTACATGGCGCCACACCCCAGAAGACGGCTTTCTTCAATTCTGTACTTATTTCGGGTAGGGTGGGTACAGATGGCAGAAGTAATTCGCTCGAGACGTCATGGTAACAGTCTTGACGATCTTGACCGGCAATAACATGGAGTTTAGAAGGGGTTGTTTATGAGCTTTATGAGTGGTCCCAAAGGTTATGTGTTTTGCTCATACGTGATAAACAAGTTTAAAGGTTACGAAAGATTTTGCATTCTCTTGCAACAAAAGTGCCAAGAATTGTGCTGCAGAGAACTGAAAAAAATATTTCCTGCTGTGAAAGAAAGCATGCTATATTGTGCTTGTGTGCACAGACAAGAACGACAAGAATTCTACAAGTTGCGTCAGAGAGAATGGATGGATTTCAAGCGACCCCGCCGCGACGGGTGGGGATTACCGGGGTGACCGTTGGGTCGGTGGGAGAATACTAGTTCAGTTGGTAACATGGAGTGGTCGGGTGAGCAGCGTGCTTTCTTCGTAGAGACGTTTTTAAGAAATAGAGAGTCTGTAATCGCCGCTCAACGAACCTTCCGTACCCATTTCGAGCTCGGACGTCACGCTAGGATACCTACTCGGAACACAATTTTGCGGTGGGTGGCTTCATTTCGTGCCACAGGTTCAACCTTAAAGAAATCACCTGGACGGCAAGGGAATGCTCGTACGCCTGCAAATGTGGAGGCAGTAAGGCAATCAGTTGTGCAGTCACTTCGGCGATCAGCTCGCAAACATGCTGCTCTGAGATTATCCAACGCAACGGTAGGACGCATTTTGCATTTAGACCTTAAATTTCACCCCTACAAAACGGCAAATGTACAAGAACTTCATGCAGGAGACTGAGAGAATCGTGTTAACAGTTGCCAGCGTGCCTCCCTTCCGCCGTTCTGCTGACCAGTGACAAAGCTGATTTCCACCTATCCGGCTGTGTAAATAAACAGAATTTCCGGTATTGGGCAGGAACCAATCCTAAACAGCTGCACGAGAGACCTCTTCACAGTGATAGAGTAACTTTTTGGTGTTCGGTAGCAGAATTTGGTGTTAGTTCTTTTAGCCAAAGAAACTAACGGTAGCGTATATGGTCGCGGATTCGAGTCCCGATGAGGTGGATTTTTTTTTCCAATTTACCTAATCCTTCCAGGCGCATTATAGCCCTGGGGTTGACTCAACCTCCGCTCCCAAGAATCTTTCTGGGGGCGTAAAGGAAGCCTGATAATCTTACTGCCATCTGTGAGGCCATTTTCTAGAGAAAATATGGGAGCCTCGACGTCTCACGGCTTTGTGGATCTGTTACAGGGATAGCTTTACCTTAAAGAAACTAAATATGTTGTGACAAGCTTGTGTTTGTTTTCATAATCGATCTGGGAGTTCCTTACACGTGTGTAGACATATAACAGTTTGGCATATTATGTAGGAGAGTGATCAACTCAAGTAGAATGATGTGGGTAGCTCATGTAGCACACATACCAGTGTGAGAAATGTTGAGAGAAGCAGACCACATGGAAGACCTGCGTGTAGATGGAAGGATACTATTAGGTAAAGATAGGTAACGTTCCTCTGCTAAACTAATGACACGCTAGCTACGCCGTGAAGGTATGTAGGGGAGATGATATATAGATACACATATTCTTCACCTAGGTAGTAGTTGGATATGAGTGGTCAGCTTCATGACCCTGCCACTTTACCCCCCACAGAGCCTCGGTGACCATTTGAAAGGAGGCTGGATCCAGAGCTGCTCTGGACAGCCTAACACTTTCTCATGATTTTAAAACTATAGGGAAGAAATATGTAGAGAACAACTGTTATGGGTTGCATGTAATGAAAGACAGCCATAGCAAGGACAGCATATGCTGTTTCATGTATGTTGTTCTACATCCATGATTGATAACAATATGGTTTTACAGAGCTATTCCAATTCGGAGAACATTTTAGTGGTTCCATATGGTGAGCATGCCATGAATGTTAAAGCTGAGGAAGTCTCAGATGTGACAGAGGAAGAGGATCCTCTGCGAATAACAGTTCAAGAAATAAAGGCTGAACCTGAGGTGAGCTGTATGTCTCTGTATGTCCATTGTTAGGCAGATATCACAAATATGCCAATTGTCTTCCCAACCTCCATCTCTGTGGACTTGCAAGAATTCCACTGTGCTCCTGACTGGACTGTCAAGATGTTTTTCTTAACTGTCTTCAGACACCTTTAGTTTGTTAAATTTTGCCTGTGACAAGCCACTTGCATCTTCTTTTAAAAAGTTCTAATGTCGATGAAATTAAATATTGTGTAAACTGAACAGTGTGTCAGAGAAATTCTGTAGTAGAAAAGTATTTACAGATTTGTGGAACTATTCACAGTTAGTTACTGGTACACTTCTTAGAACCAAAAAGTTATGTCACTGTGGTTCTTGTAAGGAAATCCCAATGAACCCCACAATATCTCATAAGTGATAAACAAGTTTGAAGGTTATAAAAGATTGTGCATTCTGTTGCAACAAGAGTGCCAAGGATTACACTGCAGAGAGCTGAAGAATTATTTCCTACTGTGGAAGAAAGCATGACTAGTGTCTTGCGCTTGTATGCACAGACTAGAATTTTATTTTCATATGTCAGTTCTCTTAGCCAAATAAACTATGTTGTGATAAGGTTGTGTTTGTTTTCATAATCCATGTGGGGAGTTTCTTATGTGTGTGTGTGTAGATATTATAACAGTTTGGCATATGTAGGAGAGTGATCAACTCAAGTAAAGTGATGTGGGTAGGTCATGTAGCACACATGAGAGTGTGAGAAATCCATGCAAAGTTTTGGACAGAAATGCTGAGAGAAGCAGACCACTTGGGAGACCTATGTGTAGATGGAAGGATACTATTAGGTAAAGAAAAGTAACACCCTGTTCTTAACTAATGAAGGTGTATGGGGGAGTGGATATGTAGATCCTCATATTCCTGACCTCGTTACTAGTTGGATATGAGTGGTCAGCTTCATGACATGAAGGTGTATGGGGGAGTGGATATGTAGATCCACATATTCTTGACCTCAGTACTAGGTGGATATAAGTGGTCAGCTTCATAACCCAGCCACTTTATTCCCCACAGAGCCCTGGTGCCCATTGGATAGGAGGCTAGGTGGACCCCAGAGCTGGCCTGGACAGCGTGGAGATGAGAAAATTCATGCTAATATCTTCTGATGATTTTAAAGCTATACGGAAGAAATCTGTAGAGAACAACTGTTATGGGTTAGATGTAATGAAAGACAGTCATAGCAAGGACAGCATATGCTGTTTCTTGTATGGTGTTCTACAGCCATGATTGATAACAATATGGTTTTACAGAGCTATTCAAATTCAGAGAACGTTTTAGTGGTTCCATATGGAGAGCATGCCATGAATGTTAAAGCTGAGGAAGTCTCAGATGCAGCAGAGGAAGAGGATCCTCTGCGAATAACAGTTCAAGAAATAAAGGCTGAACCTGAGGTGAGCTGTATGCCTCTGTATGTCCACTGTTAGGCAGATAACACATATATGCAGAAATGCCAATTTTCTTTCTGATCTCCCATCTCTCTCTGTGCACATGAAAGAATTCCACTGTGCTGTTGATTCAATTTTGAATTGATTTTCCTGAAATGTCTCTATACAAGTGTGGTCTGTTGAATGCTCCTTGTGATGTGCCACTCCTGTTTTCTTTTAAGCAGATCTAATATATATGACATTAAATACTATGTAAACTGAAGAATGTTTGAGATCACCTGCATAGCAAGAGAGGTATTCCACTTTTTCCTTCTCTACTGAATGCAGTAAGCTGTGCTTTGGTACATCATAGGGTGTCCAGGGTCTACTAGTATTATTTAAATGTGCTCGGAATTAATGTACACAGAGCAGTCTCCTCTTGAACATGAAAGCTGATGATGGCCCTGTAGTGACAGATCATGTAAGGCATATTTTACATAATAAATTAAGTTTAACTACATGTTATACTTGCTGTCTACTGTTCACTGTCATGAAACAGAGACTGGGGGACAGTGCTTATAATAATAATTATTATGAGTCACAAAGGGCTTGTCACCAAGATAACTAATTGGTGGTAAACTGCCAGTCATAATGTAACTCTTGACTGTGAGCTGGAGTCAGTGCCGAGTTGAGAGTGAGACAGTGAAGAGAAGACTTTGTGTGTGTTGTAGTTACAGTGATCTTTGGAGTGTGCAATTCAATGAGACTGTCACAGTTACTGTGTTAAAATCTGTTGCCAGGAAACCTCTTGAAACTGAAAGGAGCACATGCTGGAGTGATTGGTAATGTGTAGAAATCAGTGACAGTATTACAATTATTTGTAGTTAAAACCTGTATGTGATCAATAAATCCAGTACCCAATCCAAAACCCTGTTGAGAATCACTCTGAATCATGACAATGTGTCGTTTCAGGGATTTCACTAGGTGATACGCAACTGTCTTACTGTAATTTTTTAACTCTGCATTTTTTGGTGTTTCATTATAGGATTCTATCCACTAATAATCAGTCCCATACGGCTTTACAAATGCATAATTTTATAATCTGCTGAACAGTGATAATCCACCTTAACTTGTATTCGTTCACATACTGCCATTCGTTCTGACGGACACACAGCCTCACACCACACAGGGGCATATACTCCCCCTCCCCCCTCTCACACCAACCCATTTAACATCTCACTGCACTGGGATGTCAAACTCATTTCTCTTCCTACTAGGATTTTTATGTTATTTGCTCTCATTTTCCAGAGTAATTTGAATGAACTTCAACCTGTGCATGGTGAGGAGCGGCAATATTCCTGCAATGAGTGTGGAGACTCATTCAGTCAACAGTTTAATCTGAGGACACATCAGCGCATACATAGTGGAGAGTGGTCATTTTGCTGTGATGTGTGTAATAAGTCATTCAATCGTCAGGGTCATCTGAAGACTCATCAGCGCATACATAATGGAGAACGACCATTTAGCTGTGATGTGTGTAATAAGTCATTCAGTCAGCGGAGCGATATGAAGAAACATAGGCGCATACATAGTGGGGAGCGACCATTTTGCTGCAACATGTGTAATAAGTCATTCAGTCAGCAGGGTCATCTGAAGATACATAGGCACATACATACTGGGGAACGGCCATTTAACTGTAATGTTTGTAATAAATCATTCAGTCTTAAGAGTTGTCTGAAGACACATCAACGCATACACAGTGGAGAGCGGCAGTTCTGCTGTGGTGTATGTAATAAGTCATTCAGTCGTCAGGGTCATCTGAAGACACATCAGCGCATACATAGTGGGGAACGGCCATTTAGCTGTGATGTATGTAATAAGTCATTCAGTGAGCAGGGTAATCTGACAAAACATAGGCGCGTACATACTGGGGAACGGCCATTTAACTGTAATGTTTGTAATAAGTCATTCAGTCGCAAGGGTTGTCTGTTGACTCATCAGCACATACACGTTGATGTGTGTAGTAAATCATAGAGCTGTAGAGCTGGGTTTAGACTAGAAGACCAATATGTGACTTGTACCATGTCACAATGTTGCTTGCTGGAAGTTCCACATATTTAGTCTTTTGTGTCTGCATGTTTGCAGAATGCTGCAAGGTACTGTAGTTGTTTGCAGTTGCTTACTTTCCAGCTGGCATGGGAAATGAACTGAGTCACATGTTACAAAATGTCACTGCATATCAGTATTCATATAATTCTGATTGCTAAATGTGCACAAGACCCTGTCTGGTTGAGAGTAAACATATGTGACATGACATTCTTCTATAGGTATGAAGTTTCCTTCAGCTGTGGAAATTAGTGACTAGTAGAGCATGGTTATTGAAACTGATTGGCAGTTTGTAAACATAATTCTGCAGCACGATTTGACTTTTTCTGTATGTTATCTAGGTTCTGATTAAATTTGTTGATCAGTTAGTTACAGATATAACATCAGAAATGAATATATTGAGATAACTTTTATGGAGGATTGGTCAAATTAACATAAACTATGCTTTACTGATCATTACAGACAGAAAAGGTCATTTTGTGGGTACTTGGTATGTTGATTACAAGTAGAAATTTAAATAAAGATGTGTTGATACTGCTTTTGGAGAAATATAACTGTACAGTGGATTTAATTGAAAGGATCATGAAAGACTTGTATACCTCTGTTTACTATATCACTCAAATACTCTGAGTTAAGGCACTTTATCCTGGCAGTTGTCACACTGCAAAATGCAAATGATGCTAACACTGCACTGAACCTTTTATTCACATGTTTTCCTGATTTCTCAATATAAGTTAATACTCTCTAAGAACTCTAACAGAAGACAGGATGTGGCATTTTATGGCCCAGTGGAAGTTCACTGACATTTTGAAGGAATCTAGTGCTTTCTTCTTTGGAGTCAAAGAGCAAACCAAGCCAGAAGCCAGCAAACCACAGAGCCTATGGTCTTAATTCCATATGCGTATGTGAGGAAGTCATAAAATTTTAATAATCACTCAGAAGAAACAGTAACACAGGTGCAAGAAATTGTATGTGAGTTAGTCCTCTACATATGCCCCCTGCAAGGCCACACATTTTCCCCGATGGATTAGCTGCTGGATACCTTGATCATAGAAGGTCTCATTTTTGACTGTTTAGGAAGTTCTTCACTACAGAAATGACATCTTGAAATCACCACAAAGTGGCTTCTTTAGCCATGGAAACAGGAAGAAGTCACTCGGTGCCAGGTCTGGTGAATATGGTGAATGGGGAGAATTTCATATCCCAAACTGGCAGGAAGTGTTGTAGCTTGAACAGCATGAGCTGGTGCACTGTCATGAAGATGTTGCACATCTTTTCCCAGCATTTCGTGTCACGTTTTCATGATTTTCTCCCATAATTTTCTCAGAAGTTTCTGGTAGTACTTGCCAGTGATGGTGACATCCTTTGCGCGTAATCGGTCATGATGACACCCCACTGATCCCAGAACACATTCAACATCACCTTTCCTGATGACAGCTGAGATCTGGCCTTCTTTGGTGGCAGCGAGTCTGCATGGTTCCACTGCTTGCTCATTTCCTTTGTTTCAGGGTCATAATGACAGACCCAACATTCATCCATTGTGATCAGGCAGTCAAAAAATTTCACCTTTTCATCTTGATACAACAGCAAAAGTTTCTTTGCCACATCCATCCGTTGCTGTTTTTGAACTGGTGTCAACAACTGTGGTACCCAACACGCAGCGACCTTTGTCATGTGTAACTCATCGTGGATGATGTTGAAAACTGACCCATGACAATGGGGACCTCATGAACAATAGCTTCGATAGTTAGGCGCCTATCAGATAGGATCAAAACTTCCACCTGTGCCACAATTCCTGGTTCCTCAGCAAGAGCTGGTCTTCACTTTGGGGTTCATCTTCGAGGTTTGTGTGTCCACAATGAAAGTGCCTCTTCCACCTGACCACTGTGTCATATGATGGTACACCTTCCTGATACCCAGCGGTCATCTGGTTGTGGATCTCCCTGGCAGACTTCCTTTGTAAATGCAGGAACTGTATCACAGCACGAGCCTCCACTTTCTCAACTGATGTTGCCATTTTGCTTCTGCCTCTTCTGGTGGCTCCCTCTGTCCAGTTTGCGTGGGAAAATTTGACTATTTGGCAAGCTCTCCTATATAGAACGATATTTTGGGATTATGATTTTCTCATGGTGATAATTAAAACATTATGTTGTGCCCTGATAGGGGTCAGTGACTGTACTCACCTATAAGACGTTCGTGGATCTTTTAACCTGTGCGTTGGGGAAAACTTGCATAAAGGGGACCCACAAAAACTCAATGTCTCAAAACAACAGCAATAAAGTAATGTATCATTAAAAAAAAATTACATCATACAACCTATTAACACACACACACACACCATCTTCAATTACACACCCTTTTTTAACTTCTTACAATTCAAACAAACTCTGTGGCCTCTTGTCTGCAAGCAGCCACCGCTTGTTGGCGAAGTTTAGTGCCAACCTTTGTGGACAGAGGGTGTCGCGTGGTCAGCGCAACGGATCCCTACAGCCATTAATTTCAGTTTTCTAGACCAGACTTCTTACAATTAACTGCCCATAATCTACTAAACCTACACGGCACAAACCACCATTGAACCAAAATCTGTACAATCAATCAGTGACCCGACCATGGGCAAGTACTCACTCGTGCTGAACACAGTAAAAATGATGAACAAAGGTGCCATCACAACTCCTTCCCACAGGCTCTCTCGCACACTTTGCTTCTGTCCGACTGTTTAGAGCAACTGCTAGAAACAGAATGCTCCAAACGGTTTTTTTTTCTAATTCCAAAACTCAATATTTACTCAATTCACAAAAAGGCTGCTTGTGCAAAACCCCTAAGGTCAGAAAATTCTTGCTGGCCGCTCACCTGTCACGTGAAGTGAGATTTGGCCAGGTTGTTCAGCTGATTCGTAAGCAATCTTTAATAAATATTGTACAATCACCTAACAAGGAATGTGAGGCACCAGCCGTGGTTCTGGATCCTCACCTTCAGCCAGTCATATGGTGTGTCCTGTCTTACAAAAACTGTACTTAACGTCTAATAAAATGGGCACAACAGTTATGACTTCCCATTGTAAAAATGCTTTACATTGGTTTTATATTTCTTTCTAGGTATACCAATATAGGGAAATGTTCAAAATTTAAACTCTATGTGAGGCTTCTCTAATAACAGAGTAGTTTGTATGTAATACAGACCTCAGTTATATGTAACTGAATTATAAGAAATGTTTGTCTAAAACAATACAAATATTCATGTGCCACGGTAGCTCAATGCAACAAAACAGACGGAGGTTTCATGTCCACACAAGCTACTGAATAATAGGTTCACACTCAATAATGACTAGCACAGAATGCATCATACGTAAATGTGTACGCCAAACAACTTTATATGTCGCGCATGTATGCACGCACACACACACACACACACACATAATAATGATGACCTGCATCAATAAGATGTAAAATTATGATCTATGAACTTTGCAACAGGTACACACTTCTGTGCCAGTATGCCACAACAGAAGAGAACTGCTGTCAATCTCCACACCAAACCAAAACAGCCACTCTGCCACACTATAGCAATCACAGCACAAGCTGGTTCATTTTCTGTGCAGCATGTTACAACACCTGACACCTCATTATTCTGGCAATATATATGTTACAATTCATTTAATATCATCATATGTCACAGTGACTAATATCCAGGTTTGGGTCTTCACTAGTTGTAACTACAAATAATTGTATAATTTTTAGTATAATCCTATTACAGAAAAATGATTTATTATTTTGGTCATCCACTATTATTTAAAATGTAAATAAAATATTATGACATAACATGGGAATTTGGAAACACTACCTCAGATAAAACAAAAATATTACAAGAGAAGTTTGTTCTTAACTAAAAAATGAACTCAGTTGTGACATCCAACAATTCCCATACCACAATGTGAAGATAAATGAAATTCCCAAGTAAAAGTATAAATGAGAAGCGGGCTTGAAATAGAGGGAATTCCATTTAGTACATGCTAAAATCTATTCTATAAAGAACTGAGAAATGTGAAATATTCCACACATGTGATGCAGGGCACACTCAACATTGCCTCAAAACCACCTGACCTTAGCCACACAGTGCAAAATTGGGTCACATCCAGAAACCTGTCCTGTCATACAGAATCAGTGTGAAGAAAAATTCCACGACCATGGTAAAACATGGCTTGACCTAACTTTGCAACGAATACAACACAAATATAGGGAATGTGAAATAATTTTTAAGGCAACACTAATGGTACTGTTATAAGTTTAGTAGGAGTGGATAGTAATAGTGACAAGAGTAGTGCTTCTAAAGGGGATGAATTTACAAACAAGAATTTTCAACAGTGACTCTTAGCTTCAGGCAAGCAGTAAATGCTTTTATCTCAGGTTGCAAGCAGCAGCAGCATGAGAGTGCAGTGATGTCACCCATGCTTCCAGATATACTGTGTCTGCTGTAAGTAACTGATCTCACCATGAGCATTTTCAAATCTGGTCTCTTGGCAGGATTTTTCTTCAGGCAGCTGTCAACAAATTTCTTGAAACTTGCAGAAAAAATACCAGCTGAAAGTTTGGATGCGGGGTTAATTCACTACATAATCCAATAATTAAAATTTGCCATTGACCTGGGGCCCTGAAAACTGTTACCTGTGGAATGAATTTGTATTATATTATTGTACACCTTTCAGTATACTACTTTTATAACTATAGATGGTAAAAATAATTTTCTCATTATATACATTACACAATGTTACTAAAATTCTTGTTCACAAAAGATGAAAAAAAAGAGGATTAATTTTTATGAATATACCGTATTTACGCATGTATAGGCCGTACATTTTTTGCCAAAAGTTCAAGAGGAAAACTGGGGTGCGGCAAATATTCGAAATCACACTTCATTTAAAAAAATATATATTCATAATTAGTAATACAGGGTGTAATACTCCTGAAATAATATTCCAAGAAAATTATTTTTTCTATAATTTCTGTCTGAAAATTGTGCTGCGGCCTATACATGCGTAAATACGGTAGATCAAATCAAAGAAAATTGTGAATTCATGGTCCAATCACTGTTTCCACACTTTCCTCTCTCAAAAATTAGGCATGTGTAGGAATTACTTTTTAGCCTATTTTTCTTATGTTGATAAAGTAAAAGGAGGCTTATGAAAGCATTATGCTGTCTGTGTATCCCCTTAATGTCCGATGCCAGAATGGTGGAGCGTGAAGAGATGGCTGTTGCTATACTCGTATGCAATCACCTTGCTGTCTGTGTACATGTGTCGCCTATCTCTGGACTAAAACGAAAGATGCGTATCACAACATAAATATGATTCATATGAAATGTCATCATAACATTCATATACACAAGTAACATGTCTAACATTGTGATGTATTTTGTGGGTTAACGTCGGCTTCTGTTTCACAACCACATCAAATCGAAAGCAGTACTTACCAGCTTGCAGAAGACAGATCACCACAACTGCAGAACATGAAATCGAACTGGTACGTTAAGGTGGTTACACACGTAACTGCATGCTTGACTTTTTGTAAAAACGCACAATTTTCCTTCGCCACCACCACACGGAACAAGTATGCTTGAAGTGCTTGAACAACACCAGTTTGTGCTTGTAATATGTCGAGTTCGGACGACGATGATGCACTCGCTTTGACTGCTTTTGTCCTGGTTTTAAAAAGAAAAACACGAAATAAGGAGCATGACAGTGGTGTACGCGCTCTGTCATGTCTGTAATTTGGCGGTCAGGAACCAGGACAATATACGACAGGTGTGTATTGTGATTGGAACAGCTGATAAGCAATTTTTGCCTCTGAAAATAGATGGCAATAATGGTATGCGCAGAAGGCGAATGCGCATGTTTCATTTTGTCCTATTCCATTTGCAACCACTTAGACGTTTTTAGTAATGGGTGGTCGGAAAGATTATGAGTTTATTGTTTTCAGACACAAATGAACAAAGTGCAGGGTAGTTGAGACGTTTATGGCGTCGCAATCACCGGAAGTGTAGTGTAAATAAATTATTTTCCCTGTATCTCCTGAGGTTAGGATTAAGCCAGATAATTGGCGAAAATGCCTGTGATTTATACTCTTATGCCTCTCATATTCTTGCCATGTTTCCGTGAGTATTTGTGTGGTAACGTAGGTTGTCTCCTATTGTTTGTAGATGTTGAAACGTTATAAAACTACGCAGAACGTTTATCATTCAGTGCCAATGCTCGAAGAAATTCAATGTCTTTCCCAATTCTGTGACGGTGCACTCTTGTCCGATGGCCACATTATGAGAGGCATATGCCCACACATGGCGGTCATATCTGCGATGAATGCTGTTATCCCTTCCGCAAGAGTAGGTTAGGGCTACATTGCTATCTCTTATGCTGTGAAGGATAAAATACTGCAGCGAACTTACTGGGTACTGAACACTGCACAATTTCATATAGTCATGTTCAGTCATGTTTTTGGTGCTGCCTCCCAGTGTACAAAGACAAGTAATTGGTGGAAGGTTATTTGGAGCATTTATTTGCAGGGTTTGAAGCGTTCGGAGAGGATTTGAGCAGTTTGGGTCCGGGGTATGTAAGTTGCGTGTTTATGTATGCAGTCAGTTTTTTAGGGGGGAATTAATATTATCACTCGAAAGAAATTCAATTTCCACAATTATTTTTTTTTTACAATTGTTAGAAGCAAACACCTCTGGCGTTCATGCTAATCCACTGCTGTAGGTCTACTTCGGATTCTTCTAAACTTTTCAGCGCCTTTTCTGAGCGTCATGTGTGTATTTGATAGCACGTTTTAAAGTTTATAACCAAAATCGCCTGTTAGCACATACCAGTCCAGTGTATAAAGTAAGTCAAAAGGGCCACTGGTCTATGGTGAACTGTTTGAAGTTGCAGCACATACAGATGCTTAGCGAATACCATTTTGCGGCTTCACAATTTAACTCTGTAGATTGGGGTTACTGTTTCTGATATGTGACATCATGAAGTCTGAAACCTGGTAACTGACATTTGTGAGCAGGGGTTCCTTCAAAACGGTTGAACCAGCTGACTATCTGACTTCACAACGTCTCATGAGACATTAGGCTTCAATATATCTGCTGTGAGAACCTAAAAATTCTCTTTAATATGACCTTGTACACAGTCATTAGCATCTCTTCTAACAGAGTAGTGCAACTATTCCCAGTTAATTATTGGTACACTTCTTAGAAATAAGGTGCTGTATCACTAGAATTCTTGGAAGTGAATTAATTTGCAACCCACAAAACGTCTTGTGTGATAAAGAAAAGTTTCAAGGTTCTGCATTCTGTTGCAACAGGAATGCCAAAAATTGTTGTACAGAGAGCTGAAGAAATATTTCCTGCTGTGAGAGAAGGCATGGTGAGTATTTTGTGCTTATGTGCACTGAGAAGAGTTTTATTGTCATCTGTAATTCTCATGGCCTGAGAAACTAAAACATTTATGCTTGTGTTAGTTTTTCACAAACTTTCTAGGGTTTTTTATACATCATCATCCACATCATAACAGTTTAGTATATTATATAGGACAGTGATTGTTTAAAGGAGAGTGATATTGGTAGGTCATGTAGCACATAAGGAGAATGAGAAATGCGTACAAAGATTTGAACAGAAAACCTGAAAGAAAGGGACCACTTGGGGGACATTAGTGAAGATGGACTTTAAAGAAATAATTTTGGTTTGAACTGGGTTTGTTTTGTTCAGGATGCAAAGCCATGATGAGCATGTGTGAACATAATATTGAGCCCTTAGGTACCATAAAAAGCAAATATTTTCCATGTTTTCAGTGATCACTAGTTTCTCAGGATAGTCTGTGAACTTTGGAGTTAATACTTTGTAATGATTTTGAAAGCTTTAGAGAATAAATCTGTGCAGAGTAGCTGTTATTTGTTAGGTGTAGTGAAAAACAGTCACAGCAAGGAGGAGCATACACTTTTTCGTGTATGGTGTTGTACAGTCATGATTGACAAAGACAGTGGTTTTACAGAACTATACCAATTCAGAGAAAGTATTAGTGGGTCCACATGGTGAGACATACCAAAGATGTTATGATGCAAATCAGGCAATGAATATTAAAGCTGAGGATATCTCAGATGCAGCAGAGGAAGAGGATCCAGTGTCAATAACAATTCAGGAAATGAAGGCCAAACATGAGGTGAGCTGTGTCTCTGAATGTCCACTTTTTATCACAAATATGCTGAAATGTCACAACTATAAAGGAGTTCTAATGTAGATGAATTCCTTAGAACCAAGAAGTTATGTTACTGTGGTACTTGTAAGCGAATTCCAATGAAGCCCACAAAATGTCTTATATGATAAACAACTTTCAAGGTTACAAAAGATTCTGCATTCTCTTGCAACAAAAGTGCCAAGAATTGTGCTATAGAGAGCTGAAGAAACATTTCCTGTTGTGAAAGAAAGCATGGTGAGTATTTTGTGCTTGTGTGCATAGACAAAAATTTTATTGTCATATGTCACTTCTCTTAGCCAGAGAAATTAATTAGGCATGCAGTAGCATAGTTGGTTGAGGCACTGTGCTGCAAGCCGGAAGGTCATGGGTTTGAGTCCTCATGAGGGTTTTTTTTTTTTTTTTTTTTTCAATTTACCTAATCTTCCCAGCTGCACTATGGCCCTGTTGTTGACTCAGGGTTTAACAGAAAAGAGTCCCAGGAATCTTTCTGGGCAGTAAATGGCGGCTGGTGCATAAGGCTGACAACCTTACCACCATCTGTGAGCCGATTGTCTAGAGAAAATATGGAAGGCTCGATGTCTCACAACCCTGTGGGCCTTCAAGACCTGTTACAGGGATAGTTTTACCTTAAAGAAACTAAATATGTTGTGACAAGCTTGTGTTTGTTTTCATAATCCATGTGGGGAGTTTCTTACATGTGTGTAGATATTATAAACAGTTTGGTATATTATGTAGGAGAGTGATCAACTCAGGTAGAGTGATGTGGGTAGGTCATGTAGCACATGCCAGGGTGAGAAATGCATGCAAAGTTTTGGACATGCTGAGAGAAGCAGACCACTTGGGAGACCTGTGTGCAGATGGAAGGATATTATTAGGTAAAGAAAGGTAACATCCCTGTGCTTAACTAATTAAGCACTACACCATGAATGTATATGGGGGAATGGATGTATAGATCCACATATTCTTGACCTCAGCACTAGTTTGATGTGAGTGGTCAGCCTTGTGCCCCAGCTGCTTTAGTCCCCATGAAGGAACCCCCAGTACCCCTTGGATAGGAGGCTGCATGGACCCCAGAGCTGCTCTGGACAGCCTAACACTTTCTGATGATTTGAAAGCTATAGGGAAGAAATCTGTAGAGAACAACTGTTATGGGTTGCATGTAATGAAAGACAGTCATAGAAAGGACAGCATGTGCTGCTTCATATATGGTGTTCGACAGCCATGATTGATACAAATATGATGATTTTACAGAGCTATTCAAATTCAGAGAACGTTTTAGTGGGTCCATATGGAGAGATGTACCCAGCAAGTCATGATGCAGATCAGGCCATGAATATTAAAGCTGAGGATATCTCAGATGTAGCAGAGGAAGAGGATCCTCTACCAGTAACAATTCAGGAAATAAAGGCTGAACCTGAGGTGAGCTGTATGTCTTTGTATGCCCACTGTTAGGCAGATATCACAAATATGCCGAAATGCCAATTGTCTTTCCAACCTCCGTGTCTCTGCACATAAAAGAATTCCACTGTGCTCCTGACTGAACTTTCAAGACGTTTTTCTAAAGTGTTTTAGACAACTTTATTTTCTTGAATGTTGCCTGTGACAAGGCACTTGCATTTTCTTTTAAGAAGTTCTAATGTTGATGAAATTAAATGTTGTGTAAACTGAACAGTGTCATACAAAAATACTGTAGGAGAAAAAATATTTACAGATTTGTGGAACTATTCAGCTAGTTACTGGTACACTTCTCAGAACCAAGAATTTATGTCACTGTGGTTCTTGTAAGGAAATCCCAATCAACCCCACATCGTCTCATTAGTGATAAACAGTTAAATATATTGTGACAAGCTTGTTTGTTTTCATAATAAATCTGGGGAGTTTCTTCACATGGCTGTAGACATTATAACACTTTGGTTTATTATGTAGGAGAGTGAAGCTTTCAAGTAGAGTGATGTGGGTAGGTCATGTAGCGCACATGCCAGGGTGAGAAATGCATGCAAAAGTTTTGGACATGTTGAGAGAAGCAGACCACTTGGGAGACCTGTGTGCAGATGGAAGGATATTATTAGGTAAAGAAAGGTAACATCCCTATGCTTAACTAATTAAGGTGTATGGGGGAGTGGGTGTATAGATCCACATGTTCTTGACTTCAGCACTAGTTGGATGTGAGTGGTCAGCTACATGCCCCAGCTTCTTTACCCCCCCATGAAGGAGCCCCTGGTGCCCATTGGAGAGGATGCTGGATGGACCCCAGAGCTGATCTGGACACCCTAACACTTTCTGATGATTTGAAAGCTATAGAGAATTCTGTAGAGAACAACTGTTATGGGTTAGATGTAATGAAAGACAGTCATAGAAAGGACAGCATATGCTGTTTCATGTATGGTGATCTACATCCATGATTGATACAAATATGGTTTTACAGAGCTATTCAAATTCAGAGAATGTTTTAGTGGGGCCATATGGTGAGCAGGCCATGAATGTTAAAGCTGAGGAAGTCTCAGATGTGGCAGAGGAAGAGGATCCTCTGCGAATAACATTTCAAGAAATAAAGGCCGAACCTGAGGTGAGCTGTATGCCTCTATATGTCCACTGTTAGGCAGATAACACATATATGCAGAAATGCCAGTTTCCTTTCTGATCTCCCATCTCTGTCTGTGCACATGAAAGAATTCCACTGTACTCTTGATCCAATTTTGAACTGATTTTCCTGAAATGTCTCTACAGAAGTGTGGTTTGTTGAATGCTCCTTGTGATGTGCCATTCCTTTTTTTCCTTTAAGCAGATCTACATGATATTAAATACTATGTAAACTGAAGAAACGCAAGAAAGGAAGTGAGCATGCAATTGATGTTGCAGATGTTCTCCAGTTTGCATAAATTATGATTCACCGTATTTTGAACATTATACAGGAAACTGACACAAAGGCTCTAAATAAGATTTGAGGCTTTCAAAGGCTCTAAACTTGTTAAACCACTCAAATGTGAAAATTACACACCAAAAGTGTGATGTGACAGTTTTTGAGAGGTGTTTGGCAGCATGGTCCCACAACGTTACAAACACATTCCTGTGAGCCTAGCCTTCAAGAGAAGGCTGTATGTGTACATGAGGTGGTGAAGGAGGAAATTACAAATGTAGCAGAAGAGGCAGGATTGCATTCATTCTGCCGAGGTCGAATGTGAACTGGAAGGTGTTATCATATAAGAAATTTTACAAGAAAATATGCGAGCTGAACCCAAGGAATTTTGTGAACTGCAGACCATTCAGGCAGGTCCTTCCAGGTTTCAGTGCACATGCACTGAGTGAGAAAGAATATATAAAGTTATTCTTCTGTATAATTTGAAAGGTAATAACAGTTGCGAACTCAAGGTAATGATATGTAAAATTTATATATGTAAAGTATTGTTATTTTAATACAATATATAATTAGTTTGGAATGGCAGCAGGTTACCTTCTCAATTTACAGACATGTGGTAACCTCGACTGTACCCGTCCTTATTAACGCTTGTTTCATTATATGTTGTGGGCGAAAATTCACCCTTTTAGGGGGTTCTGCATCAAGTCCCAATTAACTACCAATTCTCAGGACCCCCTGTATTGTAGTTGCATGCAACAGCTATCGAAGCTGGGTTCTTTGGAAGTTTGTCAGCAGAACAACCTCTAGGTGATAATATTTCTGGCTTACTTCTTTACTGTCTAATCTCATCATTGCAAGACTTGTGGAGCAACACACATCTGCTTCTACACAGTGTGGTGTGCCCATTACAGTGTTACACATCAGTAAGGTGTGTGTGTGTTCTTACAAAAGCCAAATATTTTCACTGTCAAGAAATGTTGCATGGCATCCTAGGAGACAATTGACACGGATTTGTTCATCTTATCAGGGTGGTAATGTCTGTTGAACTGACTCAGTACTGATTTTCTCTTTGAGTCATTTTATATAGGATTGTGCCATGCCACCTGAGAGCTAGAATAGTGTAGCCAGAAGGGACAGCTGCTGCTAGAGTGGCTCAGTAAACATGTTTCCGTGGCACTGGATATGCACGGAACAACAGAGAAACTGCTGGAAATGGTGTCTTCTGCAGGTCCGTGCCAAGGGGTTATATGAAGAGGGCACAAGCTGATCTGGAGTCATCCACTGTGGAGGTAGGGTTGAATACCTCCACTGTAGCCCTGCAAGTTGTAGGAAGCAACGAAAAGAACCCAGTGCCTGGGGGTATAATCAGACCACCTTGTTCCTGGGGGATATTAAAATGGGTACTTGGCCCTCCAGGTTGGGGGACTCTCAAATCTGAGACAGTAAAATGTCATTAGTCTCGTGGGACTTGGACCTGAAAAAGTGCTGGCAAGGACAAGCAGCAGTTGTAAATGACAAATCCATCCTCTTGTGAGAGAGGATGTTACATAAGGACTAGGACTGGAAGTGTTCAGTTGGAAAAAATATTACTGGCTTGTCACCAAGACAACTAATTGGTGGTAAACTGCCAGTTGTAAAGTAACTCTTGGCTGTGAGCTGGAGTCAGTGCCAAGTTGAAAATCAGGCAGTGAAGAGAAGACTTTGTGTGTGTTGTAGTTACAGTGATCTTTGGAGTGTGCAATTCAGTGAGACTGTTATAGTTACTGTGTTAAAATCTGTTGCCAGGAAACCTCTTGAAAGCAGATTGAAAAGAGCGTGTACTAAAGTGATTGGCAATGAGTGGAAATCAACAATAGTATTAGATATTTGTAGTTACAACCTGTAAGTGATCAATAAATCCAGTACCCAATCCGAAACCCTGTTGAGAATCACTCTGAATCATGACAATATATTCTTTCAGGGATTTCACTAGGTGATACGCAACTGTCTTACAGTAATTTTTAACTCTGCATTTTTTGTTTCATTATAGGATTCTATCCACTAATAATCAGACCCATACAGCCTTACAAATGCATAATTCTATTTAATTTTGCAATTTGTTAAACAGTGGTAATGCACCTTAACTTGTATTTGTTCACAAACTGCCATTCGTTCTGATGGACACACAGCCTCGCACCACACAGGGGCATATACTCCCCCTCTCCCCTCTCACGCCAACCCATTTAACATCTCACTGCACTGGGATGTCAAACTCATTTCTCTTCCTACTAGGATTTTTATGTTATTTGCTCTCATTTTCCAGAGTAATTTGAATGAACTTCAACCTGTGCACGGTGAGGAGAGGCAATATTCCTGCAATGAGTGTGGTGATTCATTCAGTCAACAGTTTAATCTGAGGACACATCAGCGTATAAATAGTGGAGAGTGGTCATTTTGCTGTGATGTGTGTAATAAGTCATTCAATCGTCAGGGTCATCTGAAGACTCATCGGCGCATACATAGTGGGGAACGGCCATTTAGCTGTGATGTCTGTAATAAGTCATTCAATCAGAGGAGTGATATGAAGAAACATAGGCGCATACATAGTGGGGAGCGGCCATTTTGCTGCAGTTTGTGTAGTAAGTCATTCAGTGAGCTAGGTGATTTGAAGACACATCAACGTATACATAGTGGGGAGCGACCATTTTGTTGCAACGTTTGTAATAAGTCATTCAGTTGTCTGACTAATCTGAAGACACATCAGCGCATACATAGTGGGGAACGGCCATTTTTCTGTGATGTATGTAATAAGTCATTCACTTGTCTGAGTAATCTGAAGACACATCAGCGCATACATAGTGGGGAAAGGCCATTTAGCTGTGATGTGTGTAATAAGTCATTCAGTGAGCAGGGTAATCTGACAAAACATAGGCGCATACATACTGGGGAAAGGCCATTTAATTGTAATGTTTGTAGTAGGTCATTCAGTCGCAAAGTTTATCTGTTGTCACATCTGCGCCTACATGTTGATGTGTGTAGTAAATCATAGAGCTGTAGAGATGGGTTTAGACTAGAAGACCAATATGTGACTTGTACCATGTCACAATGTTGCTTGCTGGAAGTTCCCACATATTTAGTCTTTTGTGTCTGCATGTCTGCAGAATGCTGCAAGGTACTGTAGTCGTTTGCAGTTGCTTACTTTCCAACTGGCATGGGAAATGAACTGAGTCACGTGTTATAAAATTTCACTGCATATTAGTGTCCATTTAATTCTGATTGCTAAATGTGCACAAGACCCTGTCTGGTTGAGAGTAAACATATGTGACATGACATTCTTCTATAGGTATGAAGTTTCCTTCAGCTGTGGAAATTAGTGACTAGTAGAGCATGGTTATTGAAACTGATTGGCAGTTTGTAAACATAATTCTGCAGCACGATTTGACTTTTGCTGAATGTTATCTAAGCTCTGATCAAATTTGTTGATCAGTTAGTTACAACCTGATATAACATCTGAGTTGAGTATTTCGAGATAAATATTATGGAATGGTCAAATGAATATAATGTGCATTATTGATCATTACAGTCTAAATGTCTTTTTGTGGGATACTTGGGTTGATTACAAAAAGAGTTAAACAGAGATGCACTGATTTTGCTTGTGGAGGAATATAATAGTACAGTGGATATAATTGAACGGGCCATGAAAGACTTGCATACTTCTTTTTGCTGTGAATGTTAGATAGGAAAGAAATTGAGCGGTCTGTCATGAGATCTGAAAAGAAACTGGTTTTGTTATGAGGCACTCCTTTTCTCTTTTGTCCTCCATCGCCTTAGAGGGGAACAGTAAACTGAAAATTGTGAAGTTTAAATTTAATTGTAACTGTGTAATTGTTTAATAAAATTACAGTGTTATTTATATAGCTTTATTGGAATTCAGAGGTTTAATATAGTAGTATGATGCAACAGTAATATCTTTTAAGAAGTGTATTTAAATTCAGTGCAGTTACCCCCCTCCCCCCATTTTCTTCTCTGCCTCAGGGAACTGCACCCTAATCATAGATGGTTCTTGGCAACTGAGCAAGTGATCTCTGATTACTGGCAGTTTTCTTGCCAAGGAACCCTTCATTTTGTATAGAATGTACCATGCATTCTTCCATCAGTACCTTTATATATGGAGAGCTTTCCTTGGTGTTTCACCACATATTGGCTGTTGTCATGTCACCAGAAGTGATTCTCCCCTGTTGTCCTGGAATACATATCATTTTGTGTGTCTTCACCATATAAAGTACTTGGCAGTGCATAAATGGATTATATAATGGGTAATATTGCTTTAACCAAGGGGATAACCACCGACCCCTAGAAGCTCAAAGCCATATGAGAATGGCCAACCCCAAAGAATAAGTACAAAATTAGAAGCTTCCTGGGTCTGTGCACATATTAGAGGTGGTTTATTTCTGGTTTTGATAACACTTCAAAAACACTGACCAAACAGATGGAGGAGAAGCAAGCCTTCCAGTGGACTCCAGAAGTGTAGGCCCTCTGTACTGCCCCTATTCTTGCTTACCCACAGCCAAGAGAGAGGTTCATCATTGACTGTCATGACTGGAGGAGTCCCGTTCCCAAGTACAGAATGGACAGGAGCAAGTAACAGCCTATTACAGTAAGACGCTGAAAAAGGATGAAATTACTGCGTCACCCAATGGGAACTACTTGCAATCATTAGAACACTGCAACATTTCTATAAATACCTCTACAGACAAAAGTTTCACCTGCACACTGACCACTCTGAGTTAATCTGGCTCATGAGTTTTAACCTCAAAAGACAAACTGTAATACTGGATTTAGCGCCCGCAAGAGTAAAACATTGATTCTGAGCACAATGAGGGTCAAAAACAGCAATGTCAATGTCCTTTCATGATGATCATGCCAAGAGTGTACACACTGCCAAAAAGTCAAGGCATAGGCAGAAATCAAGCAGATACGAGCTATTGTGGCTGTAGCAACAGTTGGCTGGGATCCAGCCGCTCTGAGGAGGGAACAACTGAATGACCAGGACATATGGCCTATTGTGGAGGAAGTAGAGACCAGACAATGCTCAGAATGAAAAGATGTTGCTGGCCACAGCCCCACCGCTGTGACAAACAGCATGCTAGAGTGCCACTGGCAATTTGCTGATGGACAATCTAAAATAACCCAGATAGTTTCCTTCGAAGCAGAGTGAATGACGTGCTGACCAAACTACATGGTGGACTGTCAGGAGGTCACTTGGGTGTCAGCAAGACCCTGAATAAGATCTGGCAAAGGTGCTACTGGCTCCAGACAGGAAGTGATGCCGGCAGTGTGACACCTGTGTAGCCAGTTGGTTCCCTGGACCAGGAATTGGGACCAAATACATCAGTAAAATGTTGAGGCCATGTTTGAAAGGATAGCCATCGATGTAGCAGGGCCCTTCCCATGGAGCAACAAAGGAAACTGATTACCTACTGATAGCTATGGTTTATTTTATGAAGTGGCCAGAAGCCTACGCCATTCCCAGTCAAGAGGCTTTGTCAGTGGTGGAAGCACTAGTACACTTTGGAGTATTGCAGGAGCTACATAGTGACCAGGACTGTAACTTCATGTCTCGTCTGACACACGAGGGTTTGCAATGCCTGGGAGTAAGCAAGAAGTGCACCATGCTTTTGCACCCACAGTCAGATTGCATGGTGGAATGCTACATCAAAATTGTTGAGCACCTACGGAAGGTCACTGCATTGCACCAGAGCAATTGGCATGCAAGAGTATCCATCTTCCTCCTGGCTTACATGGAATCCTCTCACAACACAATGGGCTTGACCCCAACTAGCCTAGTGTTTGGGAGAGAACTCCAACTGTCCTGTGACCTGCTGTTTGGGGCACCCCCTGACAAGAGATGACCCACAATTGATCATGCAGCAAATTTAATGGACTATCTACATGACATCTACAAGTATGCCTGCCAACACCTGAAGCTGGCAAGTGACTGGATTAAAACTTGTTACAACAGAATGGCGAATTGCCCGGGCTACCATCAGGGAGACAAAGAGTGTTCCTCTATCGCCCAACCCACACGAAGGGGGAATGGCCCAAGCTCCAAACCTCATGGGAGGGCCCATATGAAGTAGTTGCCCAGATAAATGATGTAGTATACAGGATCCAGCAGAACCCTAGATTGAGGTTGATGGTGGTACACCCGGACTAGCTTGCACCTTATCAGGGAGCTGCTTGGGATGAGTAGTCTTAAGGAGGAAGCAGTGGAGCAGTTGGAGAGTAAAAACTGTGCAAACGAAGCCACGGGGAGGAAGGTGAGACTACCACATGTGTCACTAGCACAGCCCTTGGGAAAGAAGAAGTGGTAGTATGCTTGTAGGCTGTTTGGGACGAATAGCCTTAAGCGGCAAGCAATGTGGTGTATAGACCTGTTGCTATGTAGTGACTCTGTAAACAGCTGTTGGTGCTAGGTAAAGCCCACAACAATAGAAAAACAGTGTTTTCTGTGGTCTGCATGATTGCAGTAGTTACTACAAATAGAACCTGAGAGAGAGAACAATCACTGTCTAATAAGAAGACATGGTACCCTATATAGGACACAATAGTACATGCAAGTAAAAGATATCAGAATTATAGGAAATAACAAATAAGACAAAAGTAACATTAAAACATATACCCTCATTACAGAATAACTTTACTGCTGTCCCTCATGGCACCACAATAGGAAAACAGAACACACCAGCTACATGCGGAAAATTGCCACATAATAAGTAAATATCCATTTACACTATACAATATGACTATACATCACTGAAACCATATAACATCTGTAATCTACTTTAAGGTGCACAAAGAATTATAAAACAACGCACACTCCCAGAAAAACCCTCTAATCTATGATACAACATGGCAGACTTACATTTAATGCTCAAATAAAAAAAAAATTAATTTCTAACTTTTAACTGCGTTACATGTTACATTTTAAGACTAATATTCAAATATAACAAAACACAGGAATCATAATGAAATTTGTATTAATGATCACTAATAGGGACCCACTACCCACGAGTAGTACATTTTTCGAAAATTTCCTGATGACAATCCACCTGGATCGAAACATGTAGCAAATGTACATGATAAATGAATAATAATACTATAGTGTAACACAGAACAGGATGCAAACAGTAAGATATTACATCTGAATCTGTAGGTTCACAGTGTTCATCACAGCCATCGGGAAGCATTTGGACTGCAGCTTTACAGTATGGTTATAATATTATAGGCAATGAAAAGGATGTGCTGTGTCAATGAATGTTGCATTGATGCAGCTTGACCATGAATACCATCTGCCAGACCTCAAGAGAAGTTGTTGTTGGCTGTGAGAAAAAATATGCCATGATACACCAGACTGGCTCTTATACAAGTATAATAGACCTAATATATATTCCTTCTCCTTTGATTTATTTTGGTTTTTCTTGAGTTTTTCTGGGTAACATGTTCAGTCCCCTGTCTAGGCTACCAGCATTTTGCAGGGGAAGTCCAGTGATGGAGGTGCCCCTTCAAGCCTCTGAGCAGGCCCAAGAAAGATGAAAACATCAGGAACACAAATAGTAAGCAAACAAACAAATGTACGCTCTTTTTTACAGATACAATAGAGCACTGTCTCCAACTGTAAATCATTCGAGGCATAATCTTAAATTCTCACCTGCAAATACATATTAAAAGAACAGGAGATCTCACAGGAACTCTGAGGCCATCCTGTAGGGGTCCATAGGCGGGCACATTGAACAATTCCCTGCTCCGGATGAAATGGGGAGCAGACCAGCAAGAAGAAGAAGACTGCAGTGATATGTCATATGCGATCCCTTGTTAACTGGTCAAGAAGCAAACCTCATAAAACACTAGAAAATCTTTCAAAGTTATTTAAAATTGTCTTGAATACTCTTGAGTATGAACATAAAATATATCAATGGTGTTAACTTTGTTAGAGCTGAAAAACACCAGTGAATAATCACTTGCTAGCATACAGAACTAGCTTTGCAGAATATGTTTCCATGTTGACTACTTTAGTGAATGGAAATGACAGATTCTGCATTTGTTTAACTGTAGAACACATCACTGTATTTACATTGAAATATCACACATCCCCATACAAAATATGCACTTCCTAGTTTTTAGAGACAAACCTTAAAGAGTCAAATGCCAGTTTACTGTGCAGTTAGTAATCAGTTATGGTATACAATGCATCTGAACACAATACTCTCACTTAAGGCACTTTATCCCGGCAGCTGTCACCCTGCAAAATGCAAACGATGCTAATGCTGCACTGAACCTTTTATTCACATGTTTTCCTGATTTCTCAATACAAGTTGATGCTCTCTAAGAATTCTACCAGAAGCTAGGATGTGACACTTTATAGTCGAGCAGAAGTTCACTGACATTTTCCAGGAATGTAGTGCTTTCTTCTTCAGAGTCAAAGTGCAAGCCACGCCAGTAAGCAGTAAGCAGTAGAGACTGTGGTCTTAATTGTTTTATATTTCTCTGTAGGTAATACCAATATAGGGAAATGTTCAAAATTTAAGCTCTATGTCAGCCTTCTTCAATAACAAAGTGGTATGTACTCATATGTAACACAGACCTCAGTTATATGTAACTGTATTATAAGAAAACTTTGTCCAAAACAATACAAATGTTTGTGTGCCATGTGAGCTCAATGCCACAGGACAGATGGACATTTCATGTCCACACATACCCACACAAGCTACTGAATAGTAGGTTCGCACTCAATAATGACTAGCATAGAATGCATCATAAATGTGTATATTTGACAGATGTGTACAGCAAGAAACTTTATATTTCCTATATGTATGCACACTGCTGCATGCACGCGCACACACTCACACGCACATAATGATGACCTGCATCAATAAGATGTAAAATTATGATGCATGAACTTTGCAACAGATACACACTTCTGTGCTAGTTTGCCACTACGGAAGAGAACTATCGTCAATCTCCACACCAAACCAAAACAGCCACTCTGCCACACTATAGCAATCACAGCACAAGCTGGTTCATTTTCTGTGCAGCATGTTACAACACCTGACACCTCGTTATTCCAGCAATATATATACACATTACAACTAAATACCAACTGTTGATCCAACAGCTGGAACACTACGGAACTTCTTGTATGCAGAAGGCAGTAGTTAAATCATAATAATTCCAGTAAACAAGCTGAGAACTTCCTAAATATTCTCAAATGATGCCAAGATATATATGTACATATACATACACAATGATGAGTATATTTCAAAAAGATTTACATCTCTGGACAAAGAATAAGTTGTAAAAATGTTAATCAAGTCACTGCTTACTATCGTAATCATCACAATCGCTGCAAAGCTCAAGTTTCATTGAGCTCTCCTGCCGTAGGACCCTATTGTTCAGAAGCTGGGAGCTACTCTTGTTGGTGTTGCAGGCAGCAACTCCATGGTTCTGCACACCCAGCCAGCAATATCTACATCCTCTTGCTCTGCTTTCTTTACCCATTCATGGTTCTGCAGAGAAAGGAGAGAGAGGGGAAAAAAAAGCCACTATTTCAAGAAAGCTGAAAAGACCATTCTTTCACAATATCACATGTGAGAAAAATTGTTTCATAATTTACAGCCCACCGTGGAACCTTCCTTTCTCACTAAAAGACTTAATTTTAAGATTTACATAAAATACAGTGTTTTTGATAATGCTATACATATTACTGTCAACAATTTGAAAGTTAGTAACACAACAGTAATAAAGAATGCCATATTAGTGGGATTTAAACTCCAGAAAGCAGTCATTAAAGTCTCACAAAGAACTGTAATGTGCACATGTACTTGTGTGAGCAGCTCTCTCAATAATTTCTTTCTTATGCAAATTAGTATTGTGAATTCAGTCCTGTCCGTATCTCGATTACAGCATTTCCTTTTGATACCCGCTGCAGAATTTTCCTCACAAAGAAGCAGTTTTTTACTATTCTGAATGTCACACTGAGAAATGGGGCATGTAACAAGTCTAATAAACAGCAATGATGATACTACCTTTCAACAAAGAAGCTCTCATCCATCTTACTATGAAATTCGTCTGTGGAAACCCATTGTTAAATTCACTTGAAGAAATAGGAATGGTATCAGAAGTACAATTTAAATGGTAAATTTGTAAATTTGTGTACAATCACCTCCCTCAGTCAATAAAGACCTTTTAGCCAATAATGTTAAAAGTTTTAAATCTACACTGAAGAGGTTCTTCTGTCAACATTCTTTTTACTCAATGAATGAATATTATCAGTATACTGAAAACAAGGATGTATAGTCCATCTGCTATTTAAATGGTTAATTTAATTTCCATCCTGTATAAGAATTATTTTTAACAACTAATATTAAATACAAGGTATTAATAATAGTATTTTACGTTAGTACCTATGGAATTTTTATTATATACTAATTTTTAAATTTTATGAATTGTATATTTCAGACTGCTATCGAACTGTATATATTATTTCCAGCAATTTACAACATGATTGTGACAATGATAACTATTTACCTACATTAGTTATTATAGTACATATAGTAATCTGACATGTTCTACATCCTAGGCACATTGTGACCAGAGAGGATTCATGGAATTTTAAAATAAATGAATGAATGAATGAATGAATGTGGTCAAGAAGGATGGGAGATGTGAATCCATATGGAATGTTATTCAAAAAGCCTAAAGAGAAGAGACCACCTGGGAGACCTGGGTGTAGATGGAGGATAATGGAACAAGAAGTTATGGGAACAACTAATTGTCTACCTTCCATTCATTACATACTGAGTACTTTATATGACATGGACTGCACAGAAAATGGGAGGTCCAACAGTTCTTATATTACTGTGCGTGTATTCACTACTGTAGGGTACACATATAGGCACAAAGCGAAAGTACACTAACAACACAGGAACAACTGGAAGTGGCATTTTCTCTGCAGTCCGACCTGAAGTTCTCTGTTCATAGCTGTGGAGTCAGCAGAGAATGAGCAAGAGGAGGCTCTGTTTCAAAACATGTATCAGTCTGGGAAAAATAAAAATATGGTCATGGGTCATAACAGACCTGAATGCAAGACTGGCGAGGCCCAGCTGCAGTTCACCCTACTGTCCAATCAGAACTGTCGGTAGCAGTCAGTCTCCATGTAGAGATACTCGAGAGCTGGACACCTAATCACCGAGTCGTTCCCTAGGAATGGCTGTCTCCACACTGGTTCTCTGACTGCATAGTTCCAGGTTTCAGACATCATGGCACATGTCACACACGCGTTTATACAATATTCTAATGGCCATCTCTTCTAGTTCCACTATTCCAGGTTTCAGGAGTTGGGAGACAGGCAGCAAGGTCATTTCATAAACCTTTTATTTTTTGAAAATAAGTAAATTTAGCTAAATTAATATTCCATTCATCCCTGGCAAGAAAATTTACTTTAACTGTCAGTAATTAGTTGGTCCACACTAATTACAATTTTTTTGTTAATTTTTATCATCTGGATTTAAATCTCCCACTAATTAGGCACTGGTGGTACTTGGTGGTAATACAATTTGTACTCAGATGCTATGCCTGCACAAACCAGCACATGTGCCAATACACAGGCAATAAAGGTTAATAAGAAATTATCTCAAAACTCCACAGTCAAGACTGGGGTAACAGTCTGGAGGGCATTTTGAAATTTCTGTATTACAGACAAGCATGTGCCTAAAGTTTCAATCTTTAAGAATGAACCTAAAAGACACTAATGGCTTTCAGCACAAATATTAGCATGAACACCTACTGAAAAAAGAAGTTTTTGGGAACCAGACATCCACAAGCAATAGCTACATACTTCAACAGCTAGAAATTATATTTTCTGCCTGACGTTAATGAAAAGTGTTGGAGTGATGACATTATAGTGTTATCATGCTCATGCCAAAGTGACAATGCCAAATTTTCATTCATGCAGGGGGAGAAAACAGTTTTATAAATGCCAAACCCAGATGAATATCTCACCATACAGTAGACAGTTACCTCATATTAGTGTTTCCGCGCAAGCATTTCTCGGGAGATCTGTACGTTTTTCCAAATCCGGAGAAAAATCAGTCAAGAAATTGGGAAAAATTATACAATTCTTGAAGATGCCTTTGGACTCACTCTTAACACTTAAACCAATGTCAACACAAAATGAAAGAGATTTTCTGGTCTGGAATATTTGTCATGAAACAAATATCAATACTACTGGATAGGCCAAATAATGTTTTGTGTATTTTAAAATTTCATTTTAATGATGGTAACTTTTAAATATTGAATATCTGTGGTATTATCTTTCAATTTGTAAATGTTTTTTATTTGGCATTTATTGTGTTAATCAGCCCTTCTTTTAAAGTTTTCTATTATCAAATGTCTGTATCAGTCAGAGATCATTTTCCATGTTACTAAATTATAAAATCTTGGCACAACATGATAATAATAAAAATCCATGAGCCTCTGAACTTTTAGTATAATCCTATCACAGAAAAATGATTCACTGTTTATTATTATGGTCATTCACTATTATTTAAATTCATGTAAATAAAAAAATGAAATGTATGGAATAACTTGTGATTTCAGCAATTCCTGAAAATTTGCAGGAATTCTGATCTCTCATTCTGAATCCTGAAGACTGATATCTGTCGGGAATTTGGAAACACTACCTCAGATAAAACAAAAATATTACAAGAGAAATTTGTTCTTAACTAAAAAATGAATTCAGTTGTGACAGCCAACAATACCCATACCACAATGTGAAGATAAATTAAATTCCCAACTAAAACTATAAATGAGAAGCGGGCTTGAAGTAGAGGGAATTCCACTTAGTACTAACGTGTTGAAATTTATTGTATATAGAACTGAGAAATGTGAAATACTCCACAGATGTGATGTAGGGCACACTCTACATTGCCTCAAAACCACCCAACCTTAGCCACACAGTGCAAAATTGGGTCACATCCAGAAATCTGTCCTGTCATAGAATCAGTGTGAAGAAAAATTCCAAGACCATGGTAAAACAAGGCTTGACCTAATCCTGCAATGAATACAACACAAATATAGGGAATAAGTCAACACTGATGGTATTGTTATAAGTTATGGGGGAATGGATAGTAATAGTGACAAGAGTAGTGCTTCTAAAGGGGATGAATTTACAAACAAGAATTTTCAACGGTGACTCTTAGCTTCAGGCGATCAGTAAATGCTTTTATCTCAGATTGCAAGCAGCAGCACGAGTGTGCTGTGATGTCACCCATGCTTCCAGATATACTGTGTCTGCTGTAAGTAACTGATCTTCTTACCATAAGCGTTTTCAAGTCTGGTCTCTCGGCAGGATTTTTCTTCAGGCAGCTGTCAACAAAGTTCTTGAAACTTGCAGAAAATATACCAGCTGGAAGTTTGGGTGGGGGTTCATTCACTATATAATCCAATAATTCAAATATTGCCATAGGCCTAGGGCCACTGGGGCCCTGAAAATTGTTACCTGTGGAATGAATTTGTATTATATTATTGTACACCTTTCAGTAACTACTTTTATAAACAGAGATGGTAAAAAGAATTTTCTCATTATATACATTACATAATGTTACTAAAATTCTTGTTCACAAAGGATGAAAAAAGAGGATTAATTTTTATGAATATAGATCAAATCAAAGAAAATTGTAAATTCATGGTCAAATCAGTGTTTCCACACTTTCCTTGTCTTTGAAGCACTTTCCTCTCTCAAAAATTAGGCACATGTAGGAATTACTTTTTAGCCTATTTTTCTTATGGTGATATAGTAAAACAAGGCTTATGAAAGCATTCTGCTGTCTGTGTATCCCCCTAATGTCCAAAGCCAGAATGGTGGAGCCTGAAGAGATGGCTTTTGCTAAGCTTATGCAATCACCTTGCTGTCTGTGTGCATGTGTCTCCTGTCACTGCTAGGCAATGACAATGAATACAAATGCAACAACAAAAGAACTCCTGGATGCAGGGTTTTCTATGCTGTCGATGTTTATGCAATCCTCAAAATTCAGTAAAAGGAAAGTAAGCAGTTAGTTCTTCCCAGAACTTCTTCCTAATTATGAGATGAGATTTCCCAGAACTTCTTCCTAATTATGAGATGAGATTTTGGCAAAATTTGAAGAATCAAAACAAGAACAAAACTTTTTTCTGCTTGAACACTGTTTTCTCTGTAATCACAATTCTAACATTAACCAATTTTTCACAATGCACCAAGTGTACTACTACTTGTCCCCCTTGACGTGAGATGCCAACAACACTTACGGGGACAGAAAAATTCAGAAAGCTGGAGAGAGATAATGTAGTAACAAACTGATTTCAGTTGGCATTGCCAACCATTACAATTCTCCACTTATGCCACACAAAGAAGTTCCAATTTTTAACCCCCAGAAACTTCATGATAATGACAAGAAACGGGTATGGAATATCACCTGGTCTTGACTTGTGCAATACACCAGCATAATGCTCATTAAGACTATCTTTTGGACTCTATCCATCCTAGTTACTATAGAACCATTACATTTCAGAAACTGGCTATTCTTCCATCATGAGGGGAACAAGAACTTACTGAGTTAGGTCCTGGCACTCAGACAACATGCTCAACAGACTTCTAAGCTGAAGAACATGCTGACCTTGATGTTGGTACTTACTGTTAACTGGTGAGGGCGGAACATGATTGTGGGCGTCTGATTCTGCTGTCTGACCAAATATAGCAGCCAATGTTTTGGCATCAGGAGGAGGAATGGGATACATTCCTAGGGCCATTTCAACCAATGACAGCCCAAGAGACCAGATATCACTCTGTACTGAATAATGTGTTCCTTGCAATCTCTCAGGCTAAAAAACAACAATGGTGACAACTTCAAGAATGTAACAGGGTAACAGACAAAATGTTTACTGTCCAAGATATAAGAGCACATTTTTAAGTATAAGATATAAGTAAATACAAATATCACACCTTTAAATAGCAGAGTGGACTTTATGAGAATTCTGCAACTGAAACCCAGACTGTATCATAAAAATTAAGTAATATTTGCATAAGATATCCCAAAGAACTGGGCCAGAAACACTGACAATTGAAGTGTCCACAGAAAAACTGCTTCAAGCATGTGAACAAGTGCAAATTACTTGGAGCCAGGTCTGCACTGTAGGGAGGATGGAAGAAATGTCCCAGGCAAAGTGCACATGCAAATGGTCTTTCCTTTCCGGGTGCCCCCTATACGTACTATGATCAAGAAGGCACAGATCATATACAGAGGGCAGTGAAAGAAAAGTATGGATCACTGGTGGCTTCATAATTAATGTGTGAAAACTGACAGAACTTGGGGACAACCCTGCTCCAGTGGCTTTGACTGCCACAAAACTCACATGAAATGAAACAGCTTTGAACATGGGCCTGCATAGTGAGAAGTCACCATCTCACCACCTCAGCCATGGCACAGCCACTCATTTCTGATACAATATTCATATTAATACCACATGTATACTGCTACACTTATCTTCACGCATTTCCAGCATACATCTCCTGTTGTGCGCACCAAATTAATTCCTTACATGTGTCCATACCTCATTACATAAAGGACCTGCACACATTAATATCATCTAAATCATAATTACAAACTTAAAAGAGAAACTACCGTATTTACGCATGTATAGGCCGCGTGCGTGTATAGGCCGCAGCACAATTTTCAGACAGAAATTATAGAAAAAATCATTTTCTTGGAATATTATTTCAGGAGTATTACACCCTGTATTACTAATTATGAATATAATTTTTTTTTAAATGAAGTGTGATTTCGAATATTTCGAATATAAGCCGCACCCCAGTTTTCCTCTTGAATTTTTGGCAAAAAATGTGCGGCCTATACGTGTGTAAATACGGTATGTTAAAAGGTGTGCAGAGATGAAAATGAAAAGATAAAGCACGGCTAAGGCAAAGGTTCACATATGTCTGTATCAGACTCCTGAAAGAGTTGGCATGTGATTACTGACCATCCCAAGTCCTGAAAAGCATGCACACATGTGAAAACCAAAGGTACAAGGACTAAGGAAATGTTGAAGTACAAATTATAATGAAAGGATACACCTAATACATTAAGGCTTACCGACATATAACTGCGTGTTCCAACAAAAGAATTTGCCATGGAGTCTATAAGTTGACCAGAGACTCCAAAATCACATATTTTTATTTCTCCACCGCTGTTAACAAGAATGTTGCTTGGTTTCACATCCCGATGTATAATGGCATGCTTATCTCTCAGGTAACTCAAACCTTTCAGAACCTGCTCACAGAATATTATAGTAAAATTTTAATCATAAAATACAGCTTGGCACAGTGGTTCTCAAGTGTATGTGATCTGTGGACTGTTATTTTCAAGTGCAGCACACTTTGTGTTTCAATATGAATACAAGCTCAAGAAATCTAATTACTACTCAACCATCTAAAAATCTTTACTGTGCAATAGAAAAGTGGTATTACACTAAACCCTTGCTAATCCAGATTAACTGGTAGGAGAGGTTATCCGAATTAACCGATAATCCAGATTAATGAAGTAAAAGAGAGCCCTACAAGATGAAGAAGAAAAGAAGACAAAATATACTGGAAAACATAGGGACAACTCAATGACATAAACTGGATACCTTGCTCCCATAAAGAAACTGGTATATGTATGTACTGTGAAATTATATTCCTGCATGAGAGAGAGGAAGAGAGAGGAAGCGAGAGGAGACNGGGGGGCTGATTAATGAGGAATTCCATAATTTTAACTTCTTTTTGTGTGCAGGTCATTTGATGGCACTGCCAGTAGCTACATATATATACACACACACACACACACACACACACCATAAAATGGTAGATAACAAAAGAAATATGAACTGCGGTCTAACTGAGATACTATATTGGCATTTGCCAGGACAGAGGGAAAACCATGAACAGCTTTTGTCAGGTCAGCTGGTGTCCCAGCCAAAATTTGAACTGAGCACTTCCCGAAAATGAGTTAGAGCATTATTGCCACACCAACCCACTCAGTAATCAACAAATATTACTATTACAATGCTAAATTCAATGAGGACAAGTAACACATGCAGCATACATGAACATGACAAAAAAATTCATTCAAATTTTAGAGGGAAGCCTCAGAGGAAGTGACCGCTTCGGAGACCTAGGCACAGATGGGAGATTAAAATATATTTTAAGGAAATATTGTATGAGGGAGTGGACTCAACTGGCTCAGGACAGCATCCATTGGCAGACTCTTGTGAACACAGTATTGAACCTTCAACTAGCTGCATGATTATTTCCTTCTCAAGCATTCTACTGCATGCAGTCAGTCAACTGTAGAAACCACTGCAGATGTTGTGAAAGATATGCATGGAACCTGGCAAGTCTGTATGATGGAACTCTAAATAATGCACTTTAACTCCTTGAGGCCTCCTAAAAGTTTCCTGGAATGCTATTTAACCCTGTCCTATAATCTGCTGGAAGGTTTCTGACATAATTTTCCTCATTCAGACACACTGCCAGAAACATTCTGCTGCATTATGTTCACTTGCTGAGGGTTGTTCAGTAAAATCTCGCTGTTCTTGTTACAGTGAATTGGGAAGTCAGACAATCTAGACTGAAATATGAAAAATGAAAAATACTGCTCACAGTTGAGGACATACTTAAAAGAACACATTGGATTTAGGAGAAATATGGATCAGAACAAGTGGACTTTCAGATTGTGTTGAGGGCAGCTGGAGACAGACTGAAACCACGCAAGAAAATATCCAAGATTGGCTTGAGCTGGATTTTGGGTTCTTGTCTTTTTACAGTTTTTAAATAGAGGCTCTACAGTGATTTTATTTCCACAAGCACTACCTACATTATTAAATTTTCCATTCATTTATTTTCTATGCTTTTGAGGGCTATCTTCTACTTCATTAATCTTGAGTATTGCCCCCTGTTTAATCTGGATAAGTTAATGTTTACTGTATATCCATGCTCTTGTCATTCTTTCACACTGCTTCCAGTAATTCACATACAGGAATAACAGGTGCCAGAAATTTTTCATTTTTCCTTTCTGAATCTTCTCCTTTTTCTAATTTTCAAGCACATAAATTTGTAACTGGTACAAGTGAGTTAGGAAATACAAAGAATTGGAAAGGGTTATACAGTATATTCCTCATTATGCATACACAGAGTATCTGATTTACAGCTTGCCCCTACACCTCTTTTTCAGTACAGCCACAACTCTGGCATGGCACCTATTAAGTTCACTCTATCCATATGCCTGTGTGTACACACAAAACTAATTATGATCTACTGGATGGTTTTGTATGAAATCTGATACTGGACAATTTTACAAAAAGTTGCAAAGTGGTGCCAACTGTCATTGCGTTTTTACATGTTAATGACAATGCAGGATTTGAGGTTCTCACAGCAGTGGTTAAGTTGAGTACTATCTTCTGGGATACAATGCCAGCTAGCCTTAGCTCTCCTTTTCACCTGCTTTCACGCTGGTTTCTTGCTCGGCATATTCTTCAACTCTGAAGGAGGAAGTAACATGTCCCTCTGAAATGTCAGCTGGTTTTCAATGGACCACACGACATATATCCCAGACAATAGTACTCTTCTTTTCAATGACTACATTACATGAAGACCTACATGAATTATTACAGATGTGTTCAGTGTAACTGGCCAAACATTTATCAAAATAATAAGTGTTTCAAATAAATTTGTAGAGCCAAACAAAACACACATGTCTGTAATTCTTACAGTTTTCAAGGTAATTAAATGAACTGGATGCTACACACTCCTTTGTGAGTTAAATTAATGTGAATCACCTAGGTTTTTTCAATTATTCATGCATCTTTCTCCCTTCAGTACCACAGATACTTGTAATATACTGTACTCCCAAAAGGGTAACACTATGCATGACAGATCAAAACCATGAGGAAGTTCTTCAGCCTGTAAGTGTCTTGAGGAGTCAAGACTATTTATTAGTACAGAGCATATTATACGATGCAATCTCACAGCATCACTTCAGAACAACATTAAATTGTAATTTTCATTTCATATATCCTGTTGTGTTATAATACACAATTTCTTTATTAAAACTGTCACAACACAACTATATTAAAGTCAGTGCCTAGTTTTTGCTCTGGAGAAAAATGTAGCAGAGCCAAAACTAGGCACTGACTTTAATACAGTTGTGTTGTGACGGTTTTAATAAAGAAATTGAACACTGAATTGTCTACACAGTAAATCCCTCAATCAAGTTGGTGGTGGTGGTGGTGGAGGTGGGGAGTTCAGAATTTTATGGACCATTCAAATATTTTTTTAATCATTCAGTTCTTTAAAAATTTGATTGCACAGGCAAATGTAAATCCCAGGATTGTAAATGTGGGATGTTACCGCATGTGTAACATACAGACAGGTCTGTGTGACTGAAATCATGACCAATTAGAAAACAAGGAAACCCCTGTACTCACAGCTGAAGTAATAGTGCCTAATATGGATTCTGGAATTCGCCCAGCTTTCTTCAGGATGAGATCCAGTGACCCGCCATCCATATATTCCATGCAGATACTTATTTCCCCATCACTAAAAGAACACAATCATTCTGCAGTTCCAGGACAGCCAATACAGGCACAACACATAAAACTGGGGTGAACAGCCCAATGAAAATTTTCAAAACATCAGTACAAGTAAAACAATATAATAAACATCTAAATAATTGGCTTGCTAATTTTATTAAATATTAAACCTACACAGTATCCAAGCTGCAGATTTCAAAAGCAAAAGAGTTCTGCACGTTATAAAATGACAGAGACTAACAGAATTCTGGTATTTGTGATTAGTTTAACTGCCCCCATTTCAGGACCAGGGCTAAAGCACTAGGAGCACAAAGCCTGCCAGTGGGTCCAATCCTGAGCAAGTCATTCATACCCATTTCCTCATGATCCCATTGACTTTTATTCTCCAACTTCCATTGGCCATCTAAGTACATTTTTTTTAGTTTCCCATCTAAATTCATGTATACATTTCATATTTCTCTGCAAAATATATCACCAGCTCAACACAGCCTTCTGGTTTTCTTATAGAATAGCAAGAACCATAAAAACACACAACAAATCACAAAGTTCCACTCCCTGCTTATGTATGAATCTCTTAGAGCCCAGGAGATCTCTGGGTCCATTCATTTCATAAGAATACAATTTGTTTTCTGTCACAACAGCAGGTCATGAACAGTGACTGTACAAACAACTCTATTTTTAAGTACCACCACCTTCACTGATTTATGATGCCAACAAGACAACAGCAGTTCATATATCCTGATTTGATTGTCTTTGATTTTTAATGTCAACCCCATTATAATTTACTTTTACTGTTCTGCAGCTGTCTTAACTTCTGATACATTTTTAACTCTCAACCTGCTGGGAGTGGAGAATGAAGTCACTTCCCTTCATCACTACAACTGCCTCCTTCTCACTTCTTTCTGAAGGATCAATCCTTGAAGTCATATCATCTATAAAATTATGACAGGTGTATTGAACAGTACTTCTCTGAGATCAAACAAGTTAGGAATTGTAAACACAGCATAATGCTGGCACATTCAATCCATTTTTGCCTCCACACAGCATAAAAATCCAGTTTGTTTAATTGACTTGGCAACTGTAAGGCTTACAGAAATGTGTATTGAGCATGAAACAAATTATAAATTTTTCTCTACAATTTTCATTCATAATATTTTTCACTCACACAAATATTCAACCATTTACACACTGGACATGCACATGCATGTGAGTTCTGTACAAAATATTCATTAGTGTTGTCTGAATGTAACCAAAACTAGACTGTGTAACAATTCACAGTAAAACCACCCAATACTGAATGTCATGAAAATGTATTCAGTGCTTTCTGAATTGTTGTGTGTTGAAGGATCGACAAAAACACATGGTTGATGTAATTGGTGCATTATTTTTATTGCAAATGTCCCTAAAATGGATTTAATGCCGTGACCAATAAAGAGAACAAGGGGAATCTTTAGTGAAAGATAATCCTTGTAACCAGCTACTAGTTCAGGCCACAGCAGAACCAGAGTCATTACCTTGAGCATGCATGCTGCAAATGGCAAATTACACAAACTCTGTATGACAACAGTCAAAACTGAGGCCAGCATTTTAAGCAAATGCTGGTTTCAAGTCTACTCTATATGTACAAATTAAAGGACTGTAACAACAAACACAATACGGCTTACCTGTAAAATGCCCCATAAAACCCCACAATATGTGCAAAATTGCAGTCGTGTAGAACTTTCAGCTCTCGAATTATCTGCTTCTTAATGGCAGGTTTAACTTCTAAATGGATTAACTGTAATATAAATGCAAAATAAATGCTTTTCTCAACTTCATAAAAAAAAACATATGCACGCACACACAGCAGTAAGTAGCAATATACCAGAGCATCACATTGTAGCTGACCACACAACTACTGTAGTTGACAACCAGCTCCAAGCTCCATCCTTCTACAACGTGTTGGGTTTGTGAGGTACTAACATACCTCCCATCCAATGGGTACTAGGGGTTCTTTCATTGGGGGTAAAGTGGCTGGGGTGTGTAGCTGACCACTCACTTCCAACTAGTGCCAAGGTCAAGAAAACGTGGATCTATACATCCCCTCCCCCATACATCTTCATGGCAGAGTGCTCAATTGGTTAAGCACTGGGATAACTTTATCTCTACCTTAAGTTAATGACACAAAATGGGTGCATACGTAAACCTTGTGCAATCAAGTCACTGCAGAATCCCCAGTTTGCCAACTGTGAACAGATATTCTCCGTGTCCATAACAGGACACCCCTGTATCATGTACACCTGCAAAAGCATTTCCACCTTCCTACCAATAGCAATAAAGTTAAGGTTCCTCAGTCCAAACTAACTCTTTAGCATTTCAGAAGGCATTACAATTATAACACACCAGATGCTTAGAACTAAACCTTCTTTCATACTTAACGTATGTTCTATGTGTTCTCTTTGTCACAAATATCACACATCTTAATAATATTCAGATATCCTGTGAATAAACTGAACATATGTTGTGGCTCGGGTTAATTTAAACAAATTATTAAAGCTTCACTAAATTACTTAAGAATATGGACTTAACTGTCCCAACATAATGCTACTTGGTATGTTCAACATTCTAAATAGTTTTTTTAGTTGCACCATTCAAGTCTATGATTCAATTTTTTTAAGTAGATGATCCTTGATTGTATTGTTTCTTGCTACACCGTTGACCCAAAATTGTCATCAGCATCACCTTAGACATTGGAGATAAATGACAGCTGGACTAGTATGTCTCTTTCAGAAGAAATTATTAACAAATTCTAGTTAAAAATAAGATAAAAGTGATATATGAAGAGAATATATATATATATATGAGGGGCACTTAATGAAAATGGGTCAGAAGCCAAAACATTAGAGAACATTTCTTACCTCAAAAGTAATCTCCAAAACTGTTAATACATTTATCCTACTGGGAGATATGACGGTCAATCCCATCCTTGTAAAAGCTTGTGGGCTGTCTATGGAACCACATCTTTACCGAGCCACACACGTTTTTGTCCGATGCAAATNTTATCATGAAGAAGGGTAATGCCGTTCGATAGCATTCCAGGGCGTTTTGACTTCATGACACGTCTTAGTTTCTGCAAAGTGTCTTCATAGCGCTGTGCACTGATTGTGGCCCCATGCTCGAGAAATTCAACAAGCAGAGGGCTCTTTTCAGTCGAAGAAGGTCATCATCACTTTACTGGAACTTGTATGTATGGCTTTGGATTTCTTCAGTGGGGGAGAATTCACATGTTTCCACTGTTGGCTCTGCCATTTGTTCTCGGGTTCAAAATGGTGGTACCAAGTTTAATCCCCAGTGGCAATACAGGACACAAAAGCATAATCTTCCTCGTGGTATCACTGCAAGTGACCCAGTGATGCAACCATTCTCTGAGTCTTCTGTTCCTCCGTGAGTTGATGTGGAACCGACTGCGAGCAGATTTTGCGGTACAGTAGGTGTTTTGTCACAATGGCATGTACAAAACCGTGACTTATTCCCATCAAAAGACTATTTTTTTTCCACAGTGATCCATCAGTTTGCCCAGGTATGACCATCCAACACAGCAATAACATCAGGAGTGATGACACGATGAGCCTCTCCTGGGCTAGCATCATCTTGCAGTGACACACGTCACTCTCGGAATCTCTAATGCCATGCCAACACGTGTGAACGTGACATGCTGTGTTCGCCATAAACAACAGACATGCAATGATGAAGTTCTCGTCGTCCTACTCCTTCAGCAGTCAAAAATCACACTACACTTCGCTGTTCTTCTTTGCCAGCCTCCATTACTGATGTTGGATGACCACACGTAGTGCTAACCTTACTTCCAGCACAATAAACAAACGACTAGTGTGCAAGGGCATGTCACTGTGCTTTCCCGAGTCCCCACCAGACGTTCATACCATAAGCAAATTCCAGTGTTACTAACTTGCGTGTCATGTGAGTTATGTGTGGTGACCTGTTTTCATTTGACTGCCCCTTATATATATATATATTGTAACATNAGAGAGAGAGAGAGAGAGAGAGGAATCTGAAGCAGCTGCCTCAAGTTGTTGGGTCTCAATGCAAAAACACTAATGCTAGAAAGTCATGGTCCTAAATGTGATACTGCTTCTATACATTGTATATGACAGTAGAACCCCTCCCCCCACCATGCATCTGATAGATCACCCTCAACAAAGGCGCCAGTATCCTGTGTTAGCCCATACAAAAAACACTGAGCTGGGATAAAAAATGCATGGTTTTAACAAGACAGAATGATGGAATACGGTGCGAGACAAAGCAAGAACATTCTAAGAATATTTCCATTGCAGGGCCAGCAAGAACTTCCAGTATTTTTCTTCTCAACTACCTCAAACTGTCATTATATAATTGAAAAGTCATAAAGCCAAATTACAGGAGAAGTAGGAATTGATGGTGACAGTGAGTGACGCACACTTGAGACAAGGACTGCAAGAATGTAAATGATGCTGGAGGGCACTTCAAAGATGCTGTTTTGAAGAACTAATCCGTGGACAAATACAGCAGTAATGAAATCTGCTCTCTCTTTTTTAGAATGTTCTAATTCAACAGCCACTTGCCTATAGCAGAGTACTGCATAATGTCCAAATTCACTGATGGACCCTGTATGTACAAAACATCAGCAACAACAATGCTCACGCTATATATTAAGTCATTTTAAATCTGCTGGCTCAGTCTCTTGACACTCCTCAGGTACTCCACTTACTCCAAAGTAGCATTTGTGTCTGCCCCATGAGGGGAAGACATGCTGGGCTGCCCAGTAACTAACACAACACATGATTAACTCTTTAAAGCCAAGTGGTTACTTTGTGTACCACTCACTTTAACATATCAAAACTCTGTATTCCACCCTTGGAGTGTGTTCATTTATTCCATTCGATTTCTACAGCAAATAGTGACTGCTTCCCTAAACAGCATTAACAGGCTGGTCATTGTAGCAGAGATATAATGTGTTTCCTCTGAGGTATGGACTGCATTTGTATATTTTAGATGATACTCAGTCTTTAAAGGGTTAAGAGAAATAGGCATGATGTGGTGGCATATATTCTGCAAGCTATTCGTTTTATTACCATAATTCTGTAATGTTTCTGCTGATAAACATAAGAACTACATTTTATAATATTATATTTAAGCATCCTGTTGCACTCCATACGATAAATGATATAATGATACAAATTCCATCCCAAGTGCAAACAATATATTATGTGTCCTTGATCATGTTCCTCTACACTACACTTGGGACGGAATTTGTATCATTAGATCATTTATTACATTTTATAACACAGACAGCAATGAACAAACACCTGAATAAATATGGCTACTGAATTCTTAGAGGATGAAACCTTTTAAGTGGTTATAGAAAGCTCATGTTAAATGCTCATCACTGGATCTGAGTCTTCTTTCTATAAGGTAAACTTATAGTTGATTCCAACGGACTGGTAATTTTCATCATCATCATCTTCACAGGATTAGATCCTTAAGACTTATTCTTACAAATCCCAACTACTTCATGCTTATTGTTTATCAGTGCCAACACCTTCCAGTAAAATATGAAATTTTGAAAATATAAAAATTTACATATAGGACAGTCTTATCAATATATCAAAATTTCTGATAAGCCGATTACTCACACATTTTATTCTCAATAATTTGTGGGAACATCCCACATTATCACGCATTTCTGCAACGCTCGCTCTTCACATCACTTTTCACCATCACGCGCGCTAGCCAATCAATTCTTGCTCCTCACTTTCGAGTTTGGCTCCGCCCCACCGACCAGCGTATAAAAAGGAGCGACCCCAGAGTCGAGTTATGCAGTTTAATTCNCATCAAGCAACTTCAGCCAGCAGGCTTCGTCGCCAGCGCTCGGTCTTCGGAGACATCGGCAGGCTGCGCCAGGCACGACTGCCTCGGCCCTCCAGCGCTCTCACACCCGACTCACTGGGGCACCGCGCCTGGACTCGCCGGTGGTCGTGTTACGGTCCGACCCACTGGGCCTCTGGCGTAGCCACTGCCTCATGGCTACTACGACCGCGCTCGACGACTAGCCTCCACCAGCAACCGCCGCACTGTGATCGAGCAACCTCCATCACTTGCCGCACGGCAACCAAGCAACCAGCTGCCACGGTCGCACTGCGGCCACTCCACTCACCGCAACTAGCCTTTCTCCTTACCGGCGCGCGCCGCGCTACCTCACCGATCAATCATCTTAGCAACCACGGTCCTTTTCAGGGCCAACAAATTGTTCCGAAGAAGTGGGTTGTCACAGGAGTATGACAAAGACACAACGTTAAGACATCCCCACAAATTAAAAACATAAAACAAACTCCGTGGCCTGTAGTCTGCAAGAGAACTATACTGACTGAACAACTGCCGCTTGTCAGCGAAGTTAGTACCAACTTTTGCGGATAAAGGTTGTCACATGGTCAGCGCACTGAATCCCCACGGCCATTAATCTCGGTTTTCGAGACCAGAGCCCCTATGACATTGCTGTCCAGATGTGTCTGCAGACAGACAAGGCCTTTTCTTATTATATTCAACAAAGATCAGCAAATGAACAATCACCAATGCACATGCACATGAACTGGAATAAAAAAAAGAAAGGAATTGGAAATAGCCAACATGAAACTTCAGACTTCCTTGAAATATTATGAGGATTCTTAACTAAGAAACTATGACAAGGACCAAATAATGGTCTCTCATAAACTGAAAAAGTGTCAGTCATACAACTGTGCCAGTGCTCCAACTGTTCTTACAGAAAGAGAGCTTTGCCTTTCTTATAAATTCTTTCATGGATAATTTGCAAGTGCACCTACTATTTCTGAATAAGAAGAAATATGCAGCAAGTATGTGTAAGAAGAAGAAAAAAAGATTACCTTTCTGGCCATTATAAGGCCGCTGGAGCGATGCCGAACTTTCGTCACAACACCTCCATTGCCAGCACCAAGCTCTCCAAGTTTGTCAAAGTCGTCATCACTTAATTCTCCAATCTTTTCTTTTTGGCATAAGAAGAATTCCATGCGTTTGCGCTGTGTATCATCCATCTGAAGCTCTTCCAGTCTCTCCTGAAGTGCTTCAATGCTTGTCTTCCCCACTAACGTACCTCGCCTAAAACAGAAGTTCTTCCCATTTATTGTTTGGGGCCTACAGATGATTCTAGAAATAACAAGCAAATTAAATGTTTGAAAATGCAGTGTTAACTAAACACATTACAGACACAAAGCAAAAATAGATGATGATGATGTCCTAACAGGATACAAAGAATAACCCATGATAGACTGAGGTCTCCTGGGTTATGAACNAACTAAACACATTACAGACACAAAGCAAAAATAGATGATGATGATGATGATGTCCTAACAGGATACAAAGACAGTCTGAATTTTTAACCTCTGTGGAAACATCAAATCCCATAATCATCTCTTTCTTAGACATTTTCTTAAACAGGTGAAAAACCAAGAAATTAATGAAAGAACATGGAATTGTTCAGAAAATAATTTTGCTATAAAGTTAATTGCATATTAAGGAAGAAATCAAAGGTTTACAGGAACAGAACCTGCAATAAAATCAATATTATGACAAATCATATAAACATGTATGTAGAACATGAATCACAACTTGCTTTCAGTAAAGAATTTGAAAAATCTCATCTTGTAAAAAATGAGTTTATAAAGCATGTGTTGCTAAGTTTATCATACAAAACACTTAAAGTGGGCCTAGACAGAAGTTTATATTTAATAAATACGAGTATGTACACATGTAAATAAATCTTTGCATCTTAAAGTGATAAAACATTACAAAATTAGATGCACCAATAGGTCATAATGACTTATGAAAGTTACTGACATATTGCTCAAAACTAGAATGATATTAAATATAGCATGTCTGAGCCCGCACCTTTGTGTGTCCAATTTTTCACGAGAGAAATTCATGGTTCAATATATGTCACATTTTATGCTAACAAATTTTCATGGTCAAATTTTCATTAGGCAAATATGTTTTACACTTTCTTTTGTTTATTTATGCTTCAGACAGAGGAAGTAACATGAGGCTAGTGGAAACTGTATAATCAGGAGTTTCACAATTTGCAGTCTCCACCAAATGTTACGATGATGAAGTCATGTAGGGTAGGACAGGCAGGGCATGTAGCATAAGTGGAAGGGATACGAGATGGACGAGAAGTTTCAGCTGTGGAAATATGAAACCTACTTGGAAGACTTAGATATAGGTGAGGGAATAAAATAAAAATGGATCTTGATCAAACAGGTTGCAGAGCACAAACAAGATTCATCTGCACAAGATTTGAGGTTTTCACAGCAGTGACTACAAAGAATGCCATCTTCTGGGATGTGGAACCATGTAGATCTTGTGTGAACCAATGTTTTTTGGAGGAACGTATTGCCTCCATCTTCATCTGGTTGAACGTCTACTGGTGAGCCCCTTATGAACACAATAACGAACCTTCAAGTTTCACAAAGGATGGAGAATTTCTTGATTAGGTGAGTACTTAAAGCTGGCCCATCAAAAGGAAAGATGACAATATGCCCTGAATTCTTTGAAACAAGGATATTAAGAAGAATCTATGGTCCAGTTAAGGAAAATGGTATATGGAGATAAGGTATAACCATGGACTTTATAAATTATATAATGAACCAGACATAAGTAAGGCACTGGAGATGGCTGGGACAGCTTTTCAGAATGCAGGAGCAGAATGTTAGCAGAAGTTAACTCTGCATAAACCAGAGAGTACTTGAACAGACAAACCTGCTGTCAGGTTCAGTTGAAGAAGACATGAAGACAATGGGTGTTAGAAATTGGAGACAAAAGTCAGAGGATTGGTACTAATGGCGAGAAATCATAAAAATGCCAATGTTCATATCACACCCACAGGACGAGAAGGAGGAAGAAGAAGTTTATGAAGTCATGCAGCTGTATTCAAGACATGTTCACTCTGGGAGAATGAAGGTCATGTTTGATCATCCACTTAAGACTCACTACCCTGCCTTTGCAAAATGTTAATAGAAAACATTAACATATGTGATGTTTCCTCACCACATACTTCATGCATATATGCGATGTTTCTACAGCACTTGTCCTCAAGTAAATACGCTCTTTGCTTATGTGACGCTGTATCGCGCAGCAGCTCAGTGTTCTCAGCACACATTATTTGCAGGGCTCCATTTTTGCTTTTAAAATACCTGTTTCTAATCATACACCTGTTTTTAATAGCCCTAATAACTTATTCCTTTAATATTAAAAGGGCAGATCATCAGGTCTTGACATTCAACCTTTTCAGCCTCAGAGATTCTGGGCCTTTCCAAATGACGGCTTTGGCATGCACTTTCTTGGTTACAGTACAACACCTTTCAACAACTGTTCCAAAATTTTGGGTACTTCAAAGAATCTTACGTACAGCAAACATATATTTTTTTGTAAGATTTGAGGCTTTCACAGCGGTGACTATGAAGAAAGCAGTCTTCTGGGATTTGGCACCGTGTATATGTGGTGTTAACCGACGTTTCGGAGGAACGTATCGCCTCCATCTTCAGGGTAGAAGAAAAAGTATAAGAAATCTGCAAGCAACAAGACTGTGAGAACGGTAAAAGCAGACTGGAAATAACACAGCTATGTGTGAGCAGAGAGGGAAGGGGGGAAGGGCAAGTATACAAGTGAAAGCAGTGGTGTGGGAGGGGTAGGGGAAGGGAGCTGGGGCAAGCGTGGTTTTGTGTACGGGAGAGAAAAAAGCAAGGTTAAAGGCTGGGCTCTAAACCGTAACCCGTACACAAAACCACGCTTGCCCCAGCTCCCTTCCCCTACCCCTTCCACACCACTGCTTTCACTTGTATACTTGCCCTTCCCCCCTTCCCTCTCTGCTCACACATAGCTGTGTTATTTCCAGTCTGCTTTTACCGTTCTCACGGTCTTGTCGCTTGCAGATTTCTTATACTTTTTCTTCTACCCTGAAGATGGAGGCGATACGTTCCTCCGAAACGTCGGTTAACACCACATATACACGGTGCCAAATCCCAGAAGACTGCTTTCTTCATATATTTTTTTCTCCCACAATTCACTTATTCCTAATTTTTTTTGTATGGTTTTAACAAAGGTTTTCTTCATGCTCAGATCTTTGGTCAAAATCAATATCACAGTTTCACTGTTCCCACTTGTTCCTTCTGCTCTTATCTTTAACATTGTGTAAATGTATGTGGAATCTCCCCGGTTTCATTGAAACTTGAGTATTTATTCTGTTTTAACAATTTATCATCCATGTTTTGGACAAACAAAACACTGCATGAATGAATACTTGGGGCAACCAAATAAACTGAGTCTCACCAACTATTCTAACTCAACAACTGCTCAATCATGTACCTGCCTGATCCAACATCAACCAACTCATCAACTTTAAAAGTTGCAAGCGCATACATCAATGCTGTTTAGTTACTGTCAGATAACAGACGTCTCTTTTGCTTCCGTACGTTATAACAATCATCAACAGATGGCTGTAGTTGCATTCCTGATGCATATTAAATTTGTATGGATCCCACCATACATGGGTATTACTCAATGAAATAGCAAAGGAGAGTATTCAGAAAAGTGAAGATGCTCAATACTTGATTCCTGTCACAGACTTGAAGAGCTACTGGCAGCCCAAACTGAGAGTAGCAGCTGAGTTACTGTACAGAGAATCAGGAAAACAAGAAAGGAAGGAAGTACTTTGAGTGCAACTACCAAAACAATAGAAAACCTTGGTTCCAGAGATTCAAGTTTCAAAGAAAATCTATCGTCTCAATAAATACGATAAAGAGTGGCCATTATCATCTAAAAGAGTGTCTTATTTGGTTTAACATCATTAATACAGAAATGTGTGAATGTAGCAAAGCCAAAGAAACTATACACCATATCCTATGGCAGTGTAAATTATTCAATGAATTTAGAGTGCACATGATAGATGATTTAATGAAACGTAAAATATTTCCACTGTATTGCAGCGAAGGCATTCTGTACTGTATGTTACTGGAAGCAGTAATCACGGTAGCGCGATTTATCAACATTGTTAATATAACAATATAACTACTTTCCGGATGATTCAAACTTGAAGCATTTATTTTATAAAAGAATTAAAAGAGTATTCTAAAGCTGTATTTGCCAGCAAGATAGGCTCTTCAGCCTAACGTCACTTGTATCTTTTCCTGCCAAAAAAAATAATATATATAAAACCATCAGCATCCAGCAGTTATATTCAACTGTATGATCTATAACAGTAAAATCATGGAACAGGCTGGTCTACAGGTAATGTTTCAGCTTTGTATTTAGGAGGTGCTTGATTCAAATCTTGGCTGGGACACCTGCTATCCTGGCTGAGGTCTTTTGTGGTTTTGCTTGACCCTCCAGGTAAATGCCAGGATACTGCTTCAATTATGTAACAGCCATTTCCTTCCAAATAATTTCCATTTCATCATTTGGCATCCTACCATCTGATGTTACCATCTTGATACTGAAGGCTTTGCAAAATAACCCACAAAAAAAAACATTCCAGTTCACCCATGATCACCATCAACATCTACCTCAAGGTAGGCTTTTATTGGCCTATTCCATCTCAAAGAGAACCCCCCGGTTGTTTTATCAGCCATCCAACATTTCTTTGTCACTCCTGATCACATGATGTTTGTTTGTTTGTGTGTGTGTATATATACATATTCGGTGCAAGTAGTACAGCCTTCAATGCAACTTCACAGATTATTGATTGAATCACCACATAGTCTATACTTTCATGTAAATTAACAACATATTTCAGCCACATAGGGCCATCATCAGGTATATATGCTAATTCATTCAAACTGCTATACTGTATTGTAACACCATATAGCCCATGAGGGCTATACATCTGAATGATTATTATTCTAAAATCCAAACTTGTTCCTGTTAAAACAACTAAATATATAAAATAATTTATAATAAATTTAAAATCATATAAAAATTATGTATTGTGTGTCACAGTGTTCTTCTTTCTTGTTGTGGTGTGTACTTCATGGATGGTTTCTTGATTATGTGTGTTCAGGCGGCCAGTGTGTGTATACTAATATAAATGTTTGCTCAAAGCAAGAACTGTGAAGCCAGCATAGACAGTCATTGCTATGGAATGGCTCTGCAAACAC